ACCTGCTATGATCTCCTACCACCAACACTGACATCAGCGCCTCTCATCTCCCCAAGAGAGCTCTTTTAGCATTCGCCTACTCCTTTCTTCTGTACCCTTATCTGGGAACACAGGCTTTTTTATCTCTGCATTCCTTTTCATTTGCGTTTCACTTGGGGGAGGGGCAGAACTCTGTCATCTGAGAGCCCCCAACCGCCCCGACCTGACAGAAATCACACTCCAACATGGTCACACACCCCTCGAGAGACCCAGGGGTCAATATGAAGGCGCTGGAACAGTTTCAGAGTTTGTCGTATATTCCATCATGAGATTCAATTACTATCAACCGGTTTATAATGCGTTTCTTGTTAAATGGTATGAAAACATTTTTGCCCGTTCAAAGCCTTGGGCTCATCTCTGTCGCTGGTTTGACCCTTTGAACTCAGTTTCAGCTCATTGGTGCTAATTAACCTCCCCACATACACAAAGCACTTCAGGCACTTGCAGGCATCACTTAAAAGATGTTTGTGTGGGTGTTTAAGGACCTGTGAGGTAAATATTTTCAAAGAAGATGGGGGAAAGTATGACAGTTTGTCAAAAGGATTTTCCCAGGTATCAGTTTATGGCAACGCCCACATATCAATCATGGTGAGCATAGAGGAACGTTTTTCACTACAGTTCTTTAGCAGAATGAATTTAGTTCTCTGTTTTCTCATACACAAATGGATAAATTGTTTAGGACCATTTGAAAGTTTACTTTTGAAATGAATAGCTCTGAAAAATTAAAAAATTTCAGATAACGTCTCAGAGAAAAAAAAAGAAAAACATCTAGGCCCGGTTTCACAGGTGGAGATTAAGACAGATTAGGTCTTAGTTCAATTAGGACATTTAAGTAGCTTTTATAAACATGCCTTAGAAAAAAACATGTGCATCTTGAGACAAAACAATGGCAATGACATATTTTAAGATATTTTAAACCAGCTCAAATTTTAGTCTGGGACTAAGCCTTGTCTGGGAAACTGGGGGCTAATCTGCATATGCTTGAAGGCATAGTTCATCCAAAAAAAATAATAATAATCCTCATGTCATTCCAAACCTGTATGTATTTATATTTTCTATGAAACATAAAAAAAATTGTCCACACAGTGAACATCAGTTCAATTATGTTTTGGACCCCATTGACGTTCATTGTCTAGACAAAAACTGTAAAAACATTATAGAAAATATTTTCTTTTAATAAAGTCATACAGGAATGGGACAGCATGAAGATGAGTGAATGATGACAGTATTTTTTTGGGTGAACTATCCCTTTAAACATCATCTGTCTATATTTCCATCATGAAGCTATAAACTAAAAGTTGACTGATGTTGCTTGTATTTATGTAATTTTTCCTGTTAAATTCAAAGGTTTCTATGAGATTGAATTGTGGAAAGGGAACCTATTAATCCTAAAATAATATAATGTTAATTGTATTAATATCTGATACTACTTTGGTTTTGTTGCTTCTATGTGTTGTGCTGTAGCTCATATTCTGCTGGTTGGAATAAAAGCCTTTGGGATTCAGAAGGGGGTGGTTGGTTGTATCAGTATCCACTAATATTCAACCTTCACCGCCTTCTAAGAGAGACCAGGGAGGCAGTCCATGAGATCAACGATCTGTCACTGATAAAATGAACTGTCAGCTTTCATTTGTCTCCCTCTGGCGCGCACTACTTTCCTCTCTAAATCATATGAGTGACAGAGCACCGGTTACACTTTGCCAAGCTCTATGATCCCTACAAACAAATCCACATGCAGGAAATTTGTCAATTCAATTATGAAAAAAAACGCCAGTGTTGGTTTTGAGAGTAACTGGCAACTTTCCAAATCGCCCTTTCTAAGCAGGTACAATAACTTCACTTCTCTCGACATCACAATCTAATCAGAGTTATACTATTAAAAATCTTGCAAGTTTGTTTTTACACTGCCTAAACCAATATCTGTTGGTTGCTCACTGGCAAGAACCCAGCCTGTGTGCTACAGGGCCTTGGAAGCTTGTCCCTCTCAGTTACTCAGCTAATAAGGCGGTGGACTGATTAAATCGCCTCGTGAGGACATGGATACGATTGAGCGAGAGGGGGATGGTCATATGGGTCTGTGTGGAGAGAGCAAGAGGAAGGCTTCCTGTTCTTCCTGTTTTCACTGAGAGGAGGAGGCTATCTGCATGTGGCCACTGTCTTAGCTGTTGACTGTATGTCTGTGAAAGACAAGAAGACATATAAAATGACCCCCTGACCCCTGTTTCAAGACCATGAATAGTGTATACAGTATTCTTTTTATCTCTTTGAGGTCACGCACCCCAGCAGAGTGACATGCTTCAGAGGGACTTGAACAAGACTCAGGAAGTCAAGCCAGGCATTTGATTTGTAAAAGACCTTCTGACAAGCACACCCAGCAGGGAGAGTATATACATCGCAAGCTTCAGATCTGCCCTAAACATCACCTTAATAGTGACCTGACAGCAAAGGCGGTGTACCTGTCAATATGATTTTTGTCATTGAATTTTTAATTTGTTATATCACTGGGGTTTTTCCCCCCGTCATTTTTTTTTTTCAATTTAAATATATTTTTTTAAATATAATATATTCAGCAGCTGAATATTATATAATATATTATATATATTATATTATATATTATATAACCTGAATATTCAGCAGCCTTTGCTCCAGTCTTCAGCGTCACATGGTCCTTCAGAAATCATTTTAATGCTGATTTGATACTCTAGAAACTTTCTTATTTTTTCAATGTTGAAAACAGTTGTGTAGCTTAATAGTTTTGTCGAAACTGCGATAATTTTTTTTTAAAGAATTTGAACGATGAATAGAAAGCTTAAAACAGCATTTATTTTAAATATAAATATTTTGTAACATTATAAATGCCTTTACTGTTATTTTTAATCAATTGAATGCATCCCTGCCAAAAAATTATAAAAATGTCTTTTTAAATAATATCTTACCAACCCCAGAGTTTTGAACAGTAGTTTATATATGAATATATTCTTTGTGGGGAGGTTTAAACATCCATATTTTTTTTTTTCATAAAAGGATAAAATTTTGCCAGCAAAGTGATATGCAATACTGTGGCATCATTTATCAGAATGTAGAGTGTGTCTTTCTTTGAAATATTTGCCAATCTTACCTGATGTAATCATAAAACAAATATTCCTTCTTCTTTTTTTACACAGAATGACTGACTTTTTGATGACTACTGCTGACTGCCTCTTTCCCAGCTACACATCTATCTCTCTCTCAATGTCTTTCCAAACATTTCTTCCCTACGCATGTTTATTGTTTGAGGATGCTATACTTTTATCTTCCTCTAATTCCTCCTCTTGCCCCGTGCACATTCTGCAGTGTGAGCCTTTTCTGCATGCTGACAACCTGGTGAAAAACAGCCTCCTCCTCCTCCGGGCTGCCTGAACATCTGTCTCTGCAGCACTAGCTCTTCCACTGAAGCCCACAGATGGGAGACCCAGTAGGAGCCCAGAGCCACACAACCCAAAAGGGCAAGCAACAAACACTACATACTTAATAACTTTAAGTACACATTGCATTGTTGCTGTTTTCTTCCTTGTATAGCTGACCGACTAGTATTTTTTTGTTTTTCCTTTTTCCACATGCTAGTTTCTTTTGTGCCATTATGACATATTTATGCACTATTTGAAATGAAATGAAATGAAATGAAATAATCAGCATCATGTCCTTAACAGTTTTTGTCATTTGAGTTAGATGGACTGACTTGGAACGGATTTAACTTCGCCATTTTGTTAGGGTTTCACCTTTTGAATTGATGTGAAATTGCTCAGTGTACATATCTCAATACCCTCAATAGCAGCTTTTGTTTTATTCATTTGTTTAAAATGCATTTTATTGTCTTTACTTATATTAGAGATTCAATTAGATTTTCAGTTTATAGTGGATAATTTGTTTTGGAGAGAGATAACACTCTGATTGACCTTTGGGAAGACACCCTTCTCATCCCCAGCTGGACAGGCCCATGGCTTTTGTGAATTAATTTAGGCCTGAACTCCAAGTGAACCTGGTCAGTGGAGATGGTGCTGACAGTGCGTGGCTGCTGGGGCAAATACTGTGCAAACCCAACACCCTGGGTAAATATTGGAGCAGTCCATCAGATGATCAGGGGAATGAAACAGGGTTGTCAAGTCTTTGCAAACTTTCTAGAAGAATTGAGGCTAATGGAGATAGTATCTAGGGTTAAACAGTTTCCCCCCCTCTCTGTAATAGCTCACATCTTTGCTTAGATTCTGAATCTGATGTTCCAAAAATAAACATCAAATGAAATTAATAAACAGATTTGCAGTAAAATGTTTATGCAGACGAAGGTCATTTGTTTTATTTCCCAGTAGGCCTATACCCCCGGTTTCACAGACAAGGCTTAAACTAATCCCAGACTAAAATGCATGTTTGAGATGTTTTAACTGAAAGCAACTTGCACTGAGATATCTTAAAATGTTAGTGCCATTGTTTTGCCTTAAGATGCACACCAGTAATGTTTTTCTCGAAGGCACGTTTATAAAAGCTACTTAAATGAAATTGAACTAAGGCCTTATCCTGGCTTAATCTAAGCCCTGTCTGTGAAATCAGGCCATTATAAATCACTCTTCTTTCTGGCCTTGTTGAAGAATGTTCAAATACGATGAAAAGGGCCTTATGAATTATCATAATGACTTGGAGTAAGGGTCTTACTCTTACTCAGCTACATTTCTTTACCTGCCATATTGTTGCGCTGTGCCAAATAGGATTAAAACCTCAAATCTAGACAGTGAGTGTTATTCTGAGCACCAAGGAGTGTTTACATGTTTAGAGAGCTTGGAGGCACAAAAAGGTGAAAAGGTCATAGGAAGCCACCCGGTGTGTAATGCAACATTCCTCTTGTCAAACTATACAGACTAGAGCAACACTGATTTAAATTAGGTCCCATTGTATTGCAACATCCTCGGACAAAGGACACAATCTTACCAACATCATGAAAAGCCTTTTAATTAAAAGAAAATCAATAAATTGATTTAAATCGGATGTAATTAGAAATCAAACATATTTCAGAAAAATAAAATATTTATTTATCACAATGTCACAGGCCAGGTTGTTTTCTAAATACATGAACATGTCAGTGTTTTCAACAGTTTTTTTTTCTCTTTCAACAGAGGAATGAATCTGTAGTGCAACATAAGATATCAACCAATGGCAGAAAAAAAATAACATTTAAAAGTCTTGCTTTTTACTATTAAGCATATACCCTGTTAAACCATGAATTCAGTAGCTCTAATGCAGCCAAATTGATTACTTTAAAACACACTTGCACACACTAGCACAATGCTGTGTCTAGGACAGCAGAATAAGTTAGGTAGTTCTCCACAGCACAGTGATGAAACAGAAGTTCGTTTGCCACAACTGCACGTAAGAATCAAATAGTAGTGGAAGTGTCTGAGGTAGGCGAAGCACCGGGGGATGAGCTGTTTGAGTTGTCTGCGCTTTGACCAGAAGAGCAAAGGGTCGCTCGTTTAATTATTGGGACTGTTCCTTCCTTCTCGCGCTTCTTTTGTTTCATTCTGCGATTCTGAAACCAAATTTTAACCTGCGTTTCGTTCAGTTCGAGGGTTGCGGCCACCTCCACTCTGCGAGCCCTGGTCAGGTACTTGTTGAAGTGAAACTCCTTCTCAAGTTCGGTGAGCTGCTTGGTGGTAAAATTGGTGCGTATTATGTTCTGCTGGCCGTGGATCCCATATTCGGCGACTAAAGACACAATTATGAATAAAAAAGATAAGATTAGAAACATCATTTGACAACATTTTAATATGTCAACGCCTTCATTCATGTAGTGGCCACTGTACCCCAAACTCACCTGTTTTAGGGGGGTTCCTCTTGACTTTCATCCAGTCAAACGTTGGCGCTTGTGTGATGTTCGTCTTGGAATCGCTGTCACTGTCAGGGGAGACCTGGTACTTGCTGAACGAGCCATAGCCGTGCGGTTCGAGTTCTCCGTAAGGAAATGACTGATAATGGCTTGCAGAGACCGAGCCAGGCCTGCAGTTCGAGTCACTGTAAGTTCCAATGTTGGATCCCATATTCACGACAGAAAAAGCAGGGGACTGAAGGCGCATGTGGTCATCTGTTTGAGTGAGAACGTGCTGATGTCCATAGTCCGAGAGAGGAGGTCGGGTTTGCTTGCAGAAATTGGTGTGTCCAGTTTTCCCCATATCCATATTGATGTGGTATGGCTGTTGTGCATAAGTTGTGCCATGAGTTTCATGCGATGCTGGTGTAAAAGTGTTTCCTCCGACTGGCCGTCCCTCGGGAATGTAACTATTTGTACTACTACTTGCACAAGCACTTGGCAAGTATTCTTGTTCCATAGAAAAACATCCAACCTTCGAACTGTAAGTGTTAGCACCACGGTTATAAATCGTATAATCTAAGTAGGAATTCATTGTTGACTGACCAAGCAAAATTGATTAAGCAGGGTCAATATACGCCGATGTGTGGTCCCAGTGCCCCTACAACCTCGAAGCAGTACGTCAAACCACACAAAGTTCTATCCGAGCTCATATCAGTTAAGTGACAGATCATGTGACTAATTTTGCACCAATGGTGTGCGACCTGCGGTAGCACTCTGGGCGTTGCAGGTGTCCATCAAACGATTCGTATTTACATGACAAACACATCAATCGAATGCACCCATCAATCTGATAAACTGCCAATGTAGATCTAATGTGAATTAAAGCGAGCACAGCGATTATAACAGTGAATTCATTGTATTCGTGACGGAGAGGACAACTGAAGTTGTGTTAAAGCTATAAATAAATAGGCCCTAAAAATTCATCATACCCATACGTAGACCATTGACTTGAAGTAGTCTGCCTTTGTATGTGTTTTTTTCCCTAAGGAGTTTCTTGTGTTAATTTTAAGTCAAAATTCCTAATTTTTTTAATGAGCTTCTATACAAACCAATAGCCAAAGATTGGCTTTATCTCTCTCTCTCTCTCTCTCTCTCTCTCTCTCTCTCTCTCTCTCTCTCTCTCGATATAGTGAGCCACTTTCTAAAATAATGCTTATAGGCCTAATCTCCCATTAAAGTAAGGTTTTATAAGATGCTAGAATATTTTGCTCCTATTTAAGCAGAAGGAGATCGTGAAACGTGCCCTTGGTTTATAGGATTTAAACCAAAAGATTAGATCTTATGGACTAAGCTATTTCGATTAAACCCAAAACATAATTTTTGTGTGCAAGTGACAAACAATTTCCATTCGAATAGAGAAAACTATTATTAGGCTAAGAGTTGTAAATTGTCCCAGATAAACTCTGATGATTATCTTGATTTCAAATGAACATCGCGAGAACCTTGAATTGAGCCCATCAGAAGCAATAGGCCAAAATAATTATAAATAACACGCACTAAAATGTCAAATTCACAGAGCTTTTCATTTTCACACAATAATTTGAATTATTACCCCAATGACGTTATTAAATCAACCAAGTATATTACTATAATACTTATTTACCATTAAAAATTAATTTTGGAAATATTACATCAAACTGGCATTTAATCATTTGAAGGGGGACATTAGGCTATACGCTCTGGGGAACATGACAGTTTTGTGGTTGTCCAGAGAATGCTACCCATTAATGTATAGACTGGATAAGCATACCCAGCCATATTTGCGAAAGGACATTTCACCTGAGGCACTAGATAAATAAATCTCTCGCATGTTTCACTCAAGACGATGGAGATGGGCTGTTGATCAGAGATGGTCCAGCTATAGCAACGAGAGACATTCTTTTCAACCTAGAATCCTCCGGTTTTGAAACCAGACTTGTATTTTCCTCTCGTTAGAGGTTTGAGTAAACTGGGCATTTTCACACGTCTTCGCCAGCACAGGAACTTCTCATGCTCTACAGCTGGTCACTTGTAGGCTATAGCAGCAGTATGTGCTCTTTTTGAGGCAATGACTCCCAGCGGGGTTTTCTTGTCACTCCTGGGCTGTTAAAGAGGATATAATTCATATTAATTGGATTTGAACCAATTATTTGGATAAAACTCGCATTATTTGAATTAACAACAGCGAACACAGATTTCCCACATTGTCTGTGAAATGACTGCGGGATAGGCTACTCACCACCAAATGCCGCGCTCCTCTTTGTCGTGTGCTTGAATTCTGTCATCCAATAAAATATGGGTTGGTAATACAGTTAGAACTTGTTGATTCCTAAAGTTATCTCCGGTAGTTTGCAGCAAGGAACACTGGCGTGTTTCTGTCTTGATTGAGGATGGTGTAACTACATTTTTTTTTCTCTCTCGTTTATACGTCCTCTTTATCTTGTTCTGTATTCCATCTCACTGTGCAAGTTCGTCTTTAGCGGTCTCTTACCCAAAGTGTATGGTGTTGTGATGGATTTTGTCATTACGTTCAAATGCACAACGAGATTGTTGCAAATAATTCCGCGACGTTGTGAGACAGGCGTTATTGTTGTTCGTTATCTGCATTTTCTGGACGGCTTTCATCAGTTATGGTCCTTTCTGGGGGTTTAGAAAAACTCTGTCCTCTCGTGTCATGTGACAGTATGATTCCGGAGGCCCGCTGGAAGATGACCTGCAGGGTCAGAGCAACACGGTGTGAGTCAGGGAACATGAATCCATCATCGCAACTAAAAGGACAAAAAGACAAAAAAGGGCAAAAAAAATATAGAATAGTGTTTATTCCGCAGAGCATGCACTGCCTGAAACCAGAATATCTCACTGTGCTGCTGACAAAAACACATAACAATAGTCTTTTTTTTCTTCATATAGGCTAACTGCTTATTAGTTAAAAATGCGCCTTGTGAACAAATCAAACTCAGAATAAATTAAATATAATATAGTAATGTATTTTAAAAAAATGTTTAGCTGACACTGTGCCAAAGAAATGGGCTAAATACATATAGCCTACGAACAATTGCATTAAAAATATGAAACAGGCTGTATGTAGCCTACTTAAAAAAATAATGCGTTTAAAATATTTGAGAAATTATTTTCCTTTTATTTTATTTTTTTCATGTATACCGAGGTAAATTCAGGGTGTCGAAATAATTCTACAGATTTGAGAAAAGATAGCATAGCGGAACAATTAATTGTTTTATGAAAAACTTAAAAATAAAAGAACATGTGCACGTCATATTCTCGTTTTATTAGACCCATTAGCTAGAGACATCTGATCTTTGTATTGCTGCGTAACATCGTCTGTCTTTTTCTATGAGAACAAGGCAATTCAACCATAAAAACAACGTTTGGAAAATCGTTAATCATGAGCATCAAAATAATAATGCTCTTGAATTAATTATCTCGAATGTAAGTAGACTACAACGAGATCTCAATTGAAAATCACTTAAATCAAACGGTTCTGGTGGCATTATGGAAAATAATAGCTGAAGTAAAATAAGAAGATGGTGGCTCTTTGAAATGACAAAATATATGTATTCTTAATCGTGACTGGGATGATAAAAACATAACTAAATAACGAAAAAAGAGACTAGTTGGGAAAAAACAATGGGAAGGGTTTGTGTGCAGTGGTCTAAAACAACGCACAAAGCCCAGTGAACTCGTCTTGAACCTTTGCCAAAATACTAGGGCTATTAATCACCCAGACAGATCCTCCGCCATTCACAAACTGGGAGCTTATTCTTCAGCAGCTTGATTTCGCAGAGAGTCACAAATCACAGAAATATTTGCTATTACATATAGCCTATATTAAATCCTTGTTGAAAACAATAATGTTTTCAGGTACCCGAAGTCCTGCTGTAAGTGTCACTGAATATGAGTCATGTCTTAATGTGTATACAAATGTTCCTCTCCATGATGACGATAGAAATGCAATAAATGCTTACCTATAGCCTAAGAGATAAAAGCCAAAGGATCGAGTGTATCAAATCTATGGGTGAGCAAAAGTAAATTATGCATTATGTGCATAATGAGCCAACACTAATCAGACACATTTTAGAAAAGAAAACATCATAACCAAACCAAACAAAAATACGTTAATTATCCATATTCTGTCTAAAGCGACATCAGGCTCCTGAAAGGAAATTGTCCTCTTCTCAGAGGATTACAAATGTCTTGAATGTAAAAGCTGATGGAGGCAAAGTAGGATGTCTCTCAGAGTTAGCAATCGATATAAATTGAACTGCGAAACAAACAAAAATTAAGCAAGATCAGGATGTTGCTCTGAAGCAGTATTGACGTGGTGTGCACCAAACGATCAAGAACACAAACCAATGAAGAGATGTGTGCTATTTTCAAAAAAATAAACAGATAGTGGCTCGTGTAGGTTAGTGAGATAAACGTTGAAGGCATTTATTGAGGAGCCAGTTAAAATTAATTTGAATAAAACTAAAAATAAATGCCTGGGAATTTAGCACAAGTTTTTCAGCAGCTAAATTACATAATACAAATAGGCTAGATGCTGCATAGCCGGACTATATCATTGGTTATGACGACGAAAACTGAAAATACGTTTTCTCTGCGGTAGGATAACGAGTCATATTTCTGAAAACACACAAATAACTCTGGTATGCGTGCATCATCAAAAAAAAAAGTTAGATTCTCCAATGTCAGCTAACATCTTTACCATAAAATGGTTGTAAATGCTTGTAAAGGGAACATCTGTTTCGAATTATTCGTGCATGATATTGTAATTAGTGATGTTGAAGATGAGAGAGTGCCGCTGTCTTGGGATGGTTCTGCGATCAATTCCCCAAAGGTCCGAGGGCCTTTGATCTCTCAAGTTGATCTCTAGTGTTCCATTGCTTTGCTCATGTCATTGTAAGAGTGGATTCGTTATAGACGGCCCAAAACTGATATAGTCACCATCAGACGAACCAATCTAGGCCTTAACAATCTAACCCTAACCATTTTGTTGATATTACCAGTCCTTAACCCAGCCTACAACACAATACGCTACTTTATATCGGCCACTTCATTACATGAATCATCAAGATAGACTAACTTGTAGGCAAAATATTTATGAGCGTATATTCTAAAAAATGCTGGGTTGTTTCAACCCAAATTTGGGTCAAATGGACGAACCTAGCCGTTGGGTTACATTTTTAAATACAATTTTTAACCTAGTTGGGTCTGTCCATATTTGACCCAAATTTGGATTAAAACAACCCTGCATTTTTTTTTAGAGTGCTCTGTTACAATTGTATATCATATATTGCATAAGGCTGTACAAAAACCTGCAAAAATCCAGGAAAAATAATTCACACACATATGCCTACATAAATGTTAAGAATAAACGTATGCGTTTATAGAAGAAAATGTAACATAAAAAAAAACATTTATTCCGTGACAATTCTTTCGCTATAAACAAATAGCCTAACACGAGGTAGCTACTTGCATTTGTAATATAGTTTAACAGGGTAGTGTTTTCATACAATTGTATTTAAATGAACGGATTATGATTTTTTCCAAAGACAGTGGAAAAAAAATATGCATCTTAGTATTGGCCTTTACATTTTCTCTTCAAGTCTGCGGAACAGTAGCATATAGCATCTATTAGCTTTAGATCTAAAGGCTTACTCACAATGTGTGGTGCTTATGCTGTGCGGTTGATCCTACATTTCTCCCTCGACTGTTCACAGCAATGAGGATAGCTTCTTGCTAGGGAAAAGCCCCAAGAAAATTCTCCCAAACTCACTCAAGTTAGCTCGGCGAAAAGCCAGTCTTGACGAATTGGCTGCGTTGCCTTTCTGCTCTGCAGCCTCTTCATTAATAATTTAATGAATCACGTGACTGGCAAATAAGGGACGTGAAACCAGTATCTTTTCACTTTTACTTAATCCACCTCTTTACCCTTCACCGTGAATTAGCTACTCTTTGTATCAACGAGAGACAGAAGTCTATTTTATTCAAGAAATAACAAAAATAGCCTAACCACACAACACTAAGGATAGGCTCTGACTTCTTCATTATTCATGCATTATGTAATCTAAAAGCAAAGATAAATCCAGTTGATATCTGGCAGTATTTCCTGATGTAAAAATTAGGCTACCTGTTTCTTGTCATGTTCCTTCTCAATTGTCTGTAGACTGTCCATTTGATGAATAGCATGGAAAACGTGTCCAGGGTCACACGCAGCCTCATTGGAATACACTTGTTGCTAGAAAAATAAAGGAAAGTAAAATCAGGTTTAATTAGCATAATGATACATTGAGTAACACCGTTTTGTCATATCCTGACGTATTTTAAAATTTCGATTATTGTATTATTCTTATGTAAATTGCTAGGCTTTATAATTGTTTTATAGCCTAAATGTTATGAGCCTCTGTGCGTTGATGGATTCATCTTTTTTTGCTTGATATCTGAAAAATACCATTGTCTGTCCCTGAGAACATGGAAAAATAGGCTACATTTCCCCCAGCTCTGACGAGAGTTTTAGATTCCGAAAAGGGTTAAAAACAAAGTGGTGACCAAAAATCACATGAATGATCCTGCAGTTTGTTTTTTAAATGAATAAATGCTGAAAAATTCCTCACGTTTTCGCAGGCCAGCAATGTGTCTCCATATGACAAATGATGTAGCGCCATCAGGTGTCTAACTTTCAAAACCTTCGCATCATGTTTAGGTTTTTTTTAAGCATGTCTCTAATAATGACACACACCCACCCACACACACACACACACACACACACAAATAAAATAAAAATAAGAGGTATGCAGGGGACAAAAAAGGTGCAGGATATCCACAATTCCACTATCGCGTCGTGTTTATGTCAACTACATATTCCCCAAGACACGAATTTGCGACTTTCTATTCACACAAATTCGGATCTACAGGGTATATATAGATGACAGACATCATCAGCATCTGTTAAACTTTTCTGCCAGGCCAAATGTTACCCCTTTATTGTGAATTTGTTGAAAACAACAACAACTGTTATTTGAGCACAGATAACTTTCAGATTTGCACCCATTATATCATATGCATTATTAGTTAGGCTACTTGCTATTTACTTTCCCTTATACCTCAATATTTCTAATCCAATACTAATCAAACATGCTATCTTAGGCTATATTAATATAACAGCTTGCAAAAAATAAAAGCAAGGCTATCACGCAAATCTGATTCATTGCTTATTTGGATGAAATCCTGATATCATAAAGAGATAAGTAAACTTACTATGTATGTGCCTCACTCTTTTTCACAAACGGTGGTCCCCATCCGGTTTCTCGATGTCTCTACATTTTCTTTGCCTCCAGTAGGCTACATTTCACATTGTAAATCCATTTGTACAATTTTACGTATTAAGCATATGGCTTTTTTTCCTCTCGGACTTTCATTTCGTGTGTCTCTGCAGGACTAGCCTTCCAACAGCTTCACTGAAGACATCGCAGAACCTTTTGGGCGCATAACGATCGATTAAAGATGAAAAATTCAAGATAACCTTAAGCGAAATATCGTTTATCAACTTCATTAGGCAATCCTGCTGCTGCACACTTTCGATTAGTGCTTTCCTGAACGTGTTATCGCACTACAAAGTACAGACAGACCGCTGATTAAATATTCCCCAAGAATTCTTATTTTAATTTAATTTAACTTTTATAACTACACATATATGTTTTAAATGACTAGACACCTAGCAGTATGGTTATTTATTAAGTTATTTCAATTATTTCGAAAAAAATAGGCTTAGTAGGCTACATCATAGCTTACAATATAAATTATCTGAGTTTTATAAGTCACTGCTCTCAATTTTTATTTATGTTTTTTCAATTGTCACAAAAGCTGAGAATGGTGGCATCACAGAACATAAGCTGGATGAGTGACCTCAGCATGAACTCTGATCCTTCACCATGCCACGCACAGTATTTTTTTTATTTTATTGTTTTATTATTATATTCTATAGGCCATCTAGCTATGATATTTGGACATTTCCACATTTAATATTTCTACCAGAAAGCGTTTTTCTCATTAGGTCCCATTGCTTTATGATTACACCCTTCCTCATAGTTTATTTAATGAGCTTATTTTAACAATTGTTTAGACGAGCCCCACACCAAAAACCAACAAAAGACAAATTTAAGCTGCCACATTGAAAAAGCTTTCCATTGTTGAGTGTTACGTGTTTTTTTAAATTTAATCCCTAAACATAGCCTAATTTTGTTTTCATGGAAAAAAAAATTGAAAGCATCAGAATGTCCCGCTAAGCAGAATGAGTAAAAACCGATCAGGAGCTCGGTGTGAGGCGGGCCCTGCTGGTGATGAAGCAACATTACATCAATCTAAATAGCAACAAAATTAACGTTCAGAGACATTGCTTTTATTTATAAATCAAGCAGAACAAAATTCATAATAATAGAACGTTCAAAATAATTTAATCTGTTTAGCGTTTCGTCGACTAGGCTACTCAATTTACTTGCTCGTACAACTCTCCTACAAAGTCTGTCCCTCTCAACAATGTCGTTTCAGTACAAAAATGCCTTTAAGAGAATTAGACCGAACTGAGTGTTGAGTGAAAATGTATTCCAAAACTACGAAGGATTACCATCTAGTCAGTTTGGCATGGACCTTGTGCTTCTCTCGTATAAGGCATGTGTGCCACTCTTGTCTCCTGACCTCGGAGTGATCCCTTCCCAATGAATAATTGATGAGAACAGCGCCCAGATTACCCCTATCAATATGCAAAACACATTATAGGGGTAAAATGGGACTTTAATAGTTATGAATCGAAGAACCGTTTCTATCACGAGAAAATAGTTACATCCTTACATCCATCCTAGTATCTTTAAAACACACACACACACACACACACACACACACGCTTCAAACCTCACCTCCAAAATGTTGCACCCATTTCAAAAGTCCAGACAAAAAAATAATGTGCAATACACAAAAGAGGGTAAAACTATTTTTTTTTTTTTTTTTTTTTTTATTTACCATGGAATAGAATAACAACAAAAATGTAGGCATGTGAACTTTCTCTGTAGCTGTTTAACCATGATAAAATGTCACTATTCCAAATTTTTGGACATCTGTTGTGAAGTAGATTTTTAAAATGATGTAAAAGTGAAAGAATTTATAGATTTATTTCTTCAAGTATTACTGAAAATATAAGGATAAAATATATTCCATAATCCACGCAAAATAAACAGCTTGGCAAATACAAATGTTAACTTATTATGCATTCAGCCACACATATAAGGTTAATGACTTTTTTTTTTGACCGAGTCAAAATCCACCGTGTTTTAAACATGTAGGCTATTTTATCATTAAATAATATGTAAAAAGTCTGCATTATCTGACATTTATAAAGCTTTAAACTAAATAGTAAATTGGCTAAAATTCGTGATCCTTTAAAAACAATTAATTAAAAGAATGAACATCTGTAGCCAAGAAAGAGACTTACTTGAGAACTACAGAGAAGACATCTTTTCGTTTCACATCCAGCAGAAATATTATGAAAATCATTGTTGACAGCCATAGTCAGCATGGGATAGACTGTCCAGTTTGAGAAGACTCCGCATGCTGCCCACAACCTTTAGAATCCCGCTGAAGCAGTTAAACAGTCAGTTACATTCAAGAATGTGAATTATGTAGCACATTGTCAACCCCCCTAAAACCATAAAACTAACTTTATGGACCTCACGTGACTTTTTTAGAGCTACATGTTGGTGTTATGGACTGGACTTCAGAAGAAAATAGTCAGGTGGATGATTTGTGTGTTGTGTTTCCAACCAAATAATGCAGATGGTTAGAATATCGTTAATAAGTTAAGGGGTTGAGCTGTTGTGCTGTGACACATAAGTGCTGAGTTAGAGTATTGCCGTTTTATAAGCCATATTCTTTATCTTTACCGATATCTAAAGTTTGCTCGCAGAGCGCAGCACAAACTGAACGACTATTGTTTTATTTGCAACAGAACACATTAACAGTGACACCCATGCTTAATTTAAGATAGCCTATACATGTACAATGGTGATTACATTTAAGAGAAAATGTATATTTAAAGTGCAATATCAGGTGATGAACTGGTGGGTGAATTAAGAACTAGTGTCCCATGTAATGAATTGTCCAACATTGGGATCACTAACCAAACAGGCCTAGACAAAAAGAGACTTTCATCTATGACTGAGAGAAAACTTTATTTTTCTTTTTGGATCAACTCATTTTCAGTTCAGACACAAATACAAAAAAATGGCAGAGATACCATCAACATGTCAATAACAAAAAAAATTTTTCTCCCAACTTTTAACACAGAACGTTCATAACTCACGTTGTGCACTACAAATAACATATTGGTCACTACTGTATAAAGACATTCTTCATGGACATCTTACGAGCCCAAAGTAATCTTGTGCTGCAGCCTAAGTACACAAATGTAAGTGCGAAAAGATTATTTGTCTCGCGATGCAGGTATCATCTATACGAGAAATCAAAAAGCCCGGCACATAACAAGAATATAGCATGTTGCGTGAATAATACATGACGTTTCAATACAAGTTCAAGGATACAACAAAAGTTTCTCTTTTTTTTTTACACTATCACTTAAGATAGTTAGGTAGTGCGAGTTGTACTGTACATAATTCTTGTAACAGGTCTAGAATACGTTGCACGAATAGCTCACATGGAACATGCTTTCCTCCACGAATGTATAAACTTGACACACTTGACATTCACACTCATTTTATGGCAATTGTAACTAGTTTAGTATATGTGATAACAATATTCAAGAGCTGACAATTTTTGAGTTGCACGGGGGAAATCACACGTCGTCAGGTGATACCAACAAGCTGAAAGGTGCAGCGCTGTAACAGTAGTCGAATTTTCCAATTAATGTGACGTGATTTGCTCAATTTTGAAATGCGCTCCCCGCCGTAGCCAGACTCATGCTTTTCAGTTTATTGTCCTTCTTCCATTTCATCCTGCGATTTTGGAACCAGATTTTGATTTGCCTCTCTGAGAGGCAGAGAGCGTGAGCAATCTCTATTCTCCTCCTGCGTGTTAGATATCTATTGAAATGGAACTCTTTCTCCAGCTCGAGCGTCTGGTAGCGAGTGTAAGCTGTTCGAGCCCGTTTCCCATCAGGTCCAGTCATATCTGGCATAAGCAAGGGCAAAGAGATAATAAGCAAACATCACCAAGCCATCAAACGGAAATGGACTTAAATGTCCGTTACATTTTGGATGTCGGACTGCTGGCTGATTAGAGTATATTCAAGGCGACGTGTAGTTTAGTAGCCTACCATTGCATTTTATGGCTTTATTGCTGCACACATGCAATAATTTTACATGCAGTCACCTCCCAATAGAGTGGTTATTCTCTATTTAACCTATACTTGGGTGAAATCAATGGTTCGTCAAAGGATTATTTTTTGTAAGACAAACATTAGTTCTAAAAAACAACAAAAAAACATGCATTTAATCCACGTATAATTCAACTTCTTTAATAAGCTGTTATCAACCAAATAAGGCTTAACATTTTCATAATGCCTAAATAAAAAAGGAGATGTGTATACCATGGTTAATGTGCAGCTTCCTCATCCATGGGAATATCTGTGGAGTTTGACCGTCGTTGGGTGTTGTAGTCGAGGTCGCCACAGATTCTTGCTTCTGCGTACGTGTGGTGCTGGTGGTCTGTGCTCCTTCCTCGGTCTCGGACGAGACATTGGTCTCGTCTGTGTCCGCAAAATGTGTGCTATTGCTGCTGGTGAGATTGTTGCTGTTGGTGAGTCTGCTGTTGCCGGTTGGTGTGCTCTGATCAGATGGAGGAGATGAACCCTTCAGTTCCAGAGTCTCGCTGGTGGCACAAGACAGGGGATCTGGAGACGAGAGCGAGCAGCTCGACTGTCTGTACCGGGTCTCCTGACCCGGATTTTGGAAAGAGCGAGAATTATCTCCAACTTCCCCGAAATGGCCATTGTTGGGACGATTTACACTAAGGTCTATTCCATTGTAGTTGTAACCGAAAGACCCGGAATGCATGCTGGTGGAGTCCCTGTAAGAAGCGTTCATAGCGCCGTTAGTACCATAATTTAGTAACTGATAGTCAGACCCATTTGGATAGCGCCCTGAGAACGAGTTTAGAAAATAAGAGCTCATTTGGATGTTTTAAAATGTCTTGATTTGTAGATCTTGGTCGTTAAAATCCAGCGCCGCACAATTTATGATGTAATAATGAATTATAGCAATGCACTGTACTTCGTTTTTGCCATGTATGCGGCCAAATATGGGAGAGCGTTAGGGCATCACGTGCCTTTGTTGACCAGTCGTAAATTCTCTCTGATGACTTCAAGAGGTAATTCATGCTCTATGGTTACAAATGATGACGAAATGATGATCGTTAGGTTCAACTCAATGGTGCCTCCCCGTCGAGCGCCGCATCCCACGTTAGCGGAGGGCGTCACCTACTGGAAGAACTGTAACATAACCAAACACCTGCCCATTTCGGAAAGCCTTTTTGCTGCATAATTTTGTAACACTATTGCTATTGGAACACAAACACTAAGTCGTATTTACAAATAGATGTGAGCTAAATTAAGGCAAAGTGTGAATATTTCACGTCATTTTTCTTTTGCTTTTTTTTTAGTTTTAGACTCTCAAAGCAATCTTGTCTGTTTCAGCGACTTTATTCAGTGATTCCATATAGGCTACCAAACCGCATAGGTGGCTTCTTAACATAGTCAACCTAGTTTTGATCGTCAAACTAAGACATAGCCTAGATCTACAAGATAAATAAAAAATAAATTAATCAATTGAATAAAATATATGGCCAGATTCCTATTTCAAACTGGCCCGTTAGATCAGCACAGCTTCACGAGGCAGTAAAGAGTTGGGAATTAAAATATATACAGGCTATAGCCTAATAATAATAAATATAGGCTATATATATTTAGGCCTAGCAGATGTCTATCAGATAAAATATTTTATAACAACGCATAAAGCTGATAATAAAATGTCTCTGGCTCATTGAGAAGATGCCCATAGAAATAAAGAAGGATAAACCACAGTAATTGTTAAACAATCATTTTATTGACAAAATGACATTGCTAACAAAGTGTTATTCTTAGTGCATTCACATACACATACACAAAAGTGATGACCCAATAAATTAACCATCAAAATGTCCAATTTTCTTCTTTTTCTAGCACATATTCAATGTAGCCTATTAATCCCGATGTTTTAAACATGAAATTATGATTTCTTTCAAATTATAGGCATTAGAATGGTCAAACAGCGAGAAAACATTTGTATTATTATTTTAGATAGGCCAAATACCGCAAAATATAATTGTGGTAAAAGCACCTCCCATATATTTTACCGTCTTTACAGAGGTGATTTAGACGCATGTTTATTTTTTATGAAAAAAAAAGAAAGTCTCTCTTGAAGCTTATTAGGGCAACATAAAACTTATTAGGTAGTTTTTTTTTTCTTGTTGGACAGACCAGTACTTATTAGTTCAAACTACAGGCTACATGTTATGTACAATGTTTCCAGGGCTTCGTCATAAGCTGCTTTTAACATTTACCCCGCCTTTCCACCATCCTCCTCTTCGCTGCCCTTTGCGGAGTTCATCACTTTATTCTCCTTTTTCCATTTCATTCTACGGTTTTGGAACCATATCTTTATCTGACGTTCCGTCAAACAGAGAGCGTGCGATATCTCAATTCTTCTCCTTCTGGTCAAATATCTGTTAAAGTGGAACTCCTTTTCCAGTTCAAGAGTCTGAAACCGAGTGTAGGTTTGACGACCCCTGCGGCCAGTGCTTCCAGGCATTCCTGTCAAAAAGGTGAAAGAAAGACATAGGTCAACATCCAGTAAACATACAAACAGGACAATAATAAAAGAACACTGTTACAATCGTCACAATTATCATTATTACGAAGAATGTTATTACTGCAGCGACATCAGATTTGACATCTGCATTTTATCTAGCCTATACGTTAAAAAATTATATTAAAATTCGTTCAGTTGAATGTATCTTACTCTAATAGATAGCCTAATAAAACGTGGAAGACTTTACGCGCTAATACTTCAGGGTTACTAAAATGCGCAATAGGCTATTCAGGATCCAGCTTACTGCATCCGTAAGCAATTTATTTTACCTGGGTATAACTTTCTCTAAAGATTGCAGACTGTATCTCTTCTTTTATATGTTGACAGAGTCGTAGTGGAAAGTAGTGTGGCATTCTCTGACATGCAAACGTGTCTTACCATTACACGAGTTCATCCTCTGCATCCACGGGTAAACCGGGGTACACGGTTTGTCTTCACTGTTAAAATATCTCTCTGTAGCCTGTTCAGAGCAGTCCGTCTTGCACTGGTCCTGAGTTAGGACCAGCGAATCTTCCAGACCTCCGATAGCGCACGAGCGGTCAGCGGTTCGGTAAATGTTCGGTGTTGTGTAGTCACAAGCACTGGTGGATCCGCTTCGTCCAAAAACGCCCCCAGCTTGCTGGTAATACGAGGAGGTGTAAACCTTGTCCTGGACATTGGTAGCTCCGAACGTAGCGCTTGGATAATGTCTTAAAGGATCTGTATATCCAGAGGAATATAACGGTATCTGACCCAAGAAAGACTCCTGTCCTCCGGGTAGGGACACGGGAAAAGTTGAGTTGACGAAATAGGAACTCATGGGGTGGCCAGTGTTATTGTCCGAGTGTTATGATTTGTTGTGTTTTATAGTCCAAGTGGTTTTTGCCATTACTTTATCTGAGATTTGGTTTTAGCCGAAGGGGGGTGGCGAGGTGCCAATCTGTGACCGCGGGGAAACGGACCAGCTGATCAGTGCCTGACCAATCCTGAGCACTTCTGACAACAGGATAACGTGTGGTGGGGGCCCTCTTGTTGCACAGAATGGAATCCCCAGGGCATATCAAAACACTCAGATGCAAGTGTTTTTCCCCGTTTACCGCAAAAAATAAAGAACAAAAAAATAAATCTAAAATGCGATAATATCAATAAACAATTACTTTATAGGAGTATGTGGTTAATAATCAATTTCCCCAACACATTTTCTATTTTTTAACGAAATATTCAGCACGCCTCAAATATAGGCTATGTGCAACTGCACGTCATTTTCATTTCGACTGTCTTCATTAAAAAATGTCCAATGCTCAAAATTTTGAAAATCATGCACACATCATGGCTTTTAGGTGCACAAGAGAATTTCATAGACGTACAGACGGACTCTCACTCTCCAACACGAACTTGTACTGACCTTTACCCTCTTTAGCCTAATAACACCGTATTGCTGTTTACACATACAGTGCGCCCTCATGCTATAAAAACAAAACAAAAAAACAACACAGCATAGATTAGACACGTACACAACTTGACTTCAATACGCTAATTTATGAAGAGTGATTATGCTCGTTTTAGAAAGACATAATTTGGGCGCATTTTCAATATAGGCCTTCCGAATCATTCCAAACAATTAATATCTATCTATCTATCTATCTATCTATCTATCTATCTATCTATCTATCTATCTATCTATCTATCTATCTATCTATCTATCTATCTATCTATCTATCTATCTATCTGTACAGAATGGCTTTCACGTTGTATATCGAAATATTGTGTACATTTTCTCCATGCAGATGTGTAACATATTTAGTGAACTCAACATGAAAACCTGCTTCAGCAATACATTATGTAACCACAGCGGACATACAACCAAGCAAATTTCCTATATCAATAAAAAAACATGCATCACTGGTAAATAGAAGAAAATACAAACTCAACAATCCACGTTTAAAAAATAGGCTTCGCCTAACACTTCCATTTTAAATTAACATTCCATGTCGTTCTTTGTTGTCGTCTTGTTTAAAATAGACAACGTCAGAGTTACACAATTACAGGACCGGTTTACATTTTATTTGAAAAATTGTAATAGTGTCCTTGAAATATAAAAATAAAAACAAATTAATAAAGTTAAACATTCTTTGAATTGTAATATTGAAATAATAAAGTGGCTTAAGCCGTTAATACGAAAGGAAACCTCTCAGAAAAGCTAACCATTAATCACTATTTTAATCACTGATTTGTAAATTAATAAAAATTGATCTTTAGAGGTATTATTGAATATCGATAGGCTGCTGTAAGTACTTCATGACGTTATCGTTGTGAGTTTATCCCTTGGAAGGAGGATGGGACATTCTCGTATATATTCTTAAGACTGCAGTGATTCTTTTGTCGTTATAATTTGATTAATTAGATGTCTGATTAAGTAAATTATAGATATGATTTAAGTTTTTCCTCACCCTCTGACAGGATATAAAACTTTCTTTTTTTAATCGAAAGAAAGAAAGAAAGAAAGAAATTCGAACGAGGACGTTACACAATTTCAGTGCAAGGTCAATTTCTAAGAGCAGAGAAATATAAAATATCGTTGAGCAAGAGAAAAGACCATTACAAATTAGACACAATGCAAAAACCATTCCCAAACTGCATTTGTCGATTACTAGCTCATTGTAGGCACACTTTGGTTAAACATATAGGCAACAAGAAGTCTTGAGTCAGTCAGATCACTTGCAGAGAAGACCCAAAAACAGACACTGAATTTCACCACAGTTACCACATCTCGTCACTAGATGACATCACAGAGCAAGAACTGAGAAAAGGTGTGCTTCTTCAGGGACACACCAGAACAATTTTTTTATTGTGATTGTAATTCAAAATCAAACATTATTTTGGTTATTCAGATTGACAAAATTATCTAGCCCATACAAAAATAAAGCTCCAAGTAGGCTATATGCATTTTTCCCCCCCAACAACAACAACAATTCATCAATTAGAAAGCTGTTGATGCTTTGAGACATACTCCCTCACAAAAATCCTCAGAAACATGAATGAATGATGGAGAGATGTCATGGGTTTGAGCAAATTCCGTGAAATAAGCTATAAACAGGAGAAATTACAATGGCTGAAACATCCAACTTTTACAGCCAACTTTGCAGCCCTTAATTTAAAAATAAATCACAAAAGGACTTTGCAGATTACTGTTATTATGGGGCATTGCCTTGCTAATAAGAGACTCAGTAATGCTGATTTGTAAACTCAAAGTTAATGTAGGCTAAATCTCATAATAATCATTTGAATGCAGCGGCCATCTTGCACCTCTGTAAATAATACCTCTTTTTAAGCATACATTTTAGCCAAATAAAACAGTCAGCATTTTAAAAACATCGATACAAATAGGCCTATTTACGACACACATCGTGTCGATCTTTTTAAACCGTCTTACGACGCCTTAAGTCTTAGGCTACTGCATGTTCATACTAGTTCTTATCTACTTCAATGATCTATCTTTGATCTGTTTGTGTTATACAAAAGACATGCTCAAGAAGATGATATTGTGTAAGGAAATTTGTTTTTGCATCATGACATCGCTGGGATAAGTGGAGAAGCCTACAGAAGCCTATAGGTCCAGTCCTACCTTTTCTTTTCCAGTCCATCACCGCTTCAATGGAATGATCCAAAACAATCTCGCAGATTCGTCGGTTAACCAGGATCTCGTGTCGTATCTTTTGGATGTAGCCTACGGGTAAGACCGACAGAGCTAAAACTTGACAAATTAGAGAAGAATAAACTAAGGTCCTCAGTGAATTTTGACCCTTGCACTCTTAGCTGATGTGAAAATCTAAAGACGCTTCGTACTAGCGTGACGTCGAGCTTTCCATCCATATTAACGCACACAATTCGCCCAGCTCAGGAGAATTTGTCTTTCCGTCTGCTTTAACAAAACGTAAAAAACATAAAGGACAGAGGTGCTACTGACTGCGCCCTGACCAAAAGAATGCTGCATTATAGCCACTTGGGAAATCATAAAAAGTTCATGTTCACAGAGAGCTGCTCACGTGACCCCTGTCAGCCAATCCACTGGCAGAACCACACATAAAGTTCTATCACAAAGTTGTAAATTTTCATAAACAGCTGTGAGTTTATTGCTTTGCTTCAGCAGCAACTCGGTCGCCGCCATCTTTATTCGTTAAAAGAGAGGAAAAAAGCACGACTTCACTTCATTACCAGCCAAAGATATTGGCTATATGCATTATTTTTTGAAGATGAAGAATTAAGTCTATTAGGCTACTAGCATTTCAGTTTTATAGATGGTTCCATAGACCAGCTACACAAAGGTTTTGCCATTTTTATAACTAAACACAACGAAAATGTAACGAAATGTAGAGAGAAAAAACGATTTCCATTCAAGCTAGACATAGAGGCTCTTTTGACCAGTTGTGGCTAAAACTAAAATGGACCAATTACACTAAAAATTAAAGAGAACCATTCCCTGTTTCTCAGTAGTGTGCGTTCTTTTGTCAGGTGACTTTAAGAGAAGAATAGACAAATGGAACGTGAAAGCTTTTTACAGCACTAAACATGCGTGGAGGAAAGAATTGCTTCCTGTATCTACGAACAAACACTTATTTCCGACATTTATTGGGGCCATAAAACAGTATAACCCAAAAGTGACCGAGCATGGTCTGTAGGTTATACCTCGAGAAGGCAATGCTCTTGAAGATCAGCAGCGCGTGCTGTCCAAAAAAAGGCACAAAAAGCAGCATACGAGGTATACATTCAGAATTATATTCATTTCAAATTTTAGCGTGTAGTAGGCCTATATTCGTTTAAATGAATTAACTCAACAAGCATGTATTTGAATTTGTATAGAAAGCTACATTTTTGTTTAATAGACTGCTAAATAAAATATAGAATCAAATTCTTACTCATTTAGCTTTACAAACGATATGCATTTCAGTGTTTTTCGTTATTGTATTCTTAAAACTTAAAATGAACAAAATAATTATTTCATCCTCATAATATAAGCGTTTCCATCTGTTATATTTTGAGTTTAGTAATTTCTATTGAAGTTTAGCTTAAGAAAGAGAAAATAGATGGCATAGACTGAGAATTACATTGAATATAATTGAATGTAATATAGCCTAATTAAATTACGTCTTTCTTTAGGCATAAACGATTCTAAATGTACTTGAAATCGTTAACTGTATGGCCTATACTTTAAATAACTTGTTTTAAACTGTTTTATTAAAAAAAATATTATAAATGTATTTATTAAAAGGACAATTTAATGCATGATTCTGCTAATAGGCCACACGATTTTAGCCCACCGAAAACGGTGGTTTATAATATATATGTAGCCTATACCACCGTTTTCTGAGAAGAGTGGACAATGTAGGCTACATATTATGCATTTACACACAAACAGAAGTCTTTTTACATTATATATTCCTTCAAACGTATTCTCGTCAATAATAGTATTCAGATAACAAAATGTTTGCCCATGAGATCAGATGAAAGGCCCTACGAAGTGTGGCATAATATATTTCGTTTTTTATTAATTTAGGATTACATTACAGCTGAAAAAATATATATTTAGTTGCTCCCGTGAGATTGTTTTAGATTGTGATCTTGATAGTCTCAGAAACATGAAAATAGGCAGCTTTTCATAAAGAAAACTTCCGAAAATATCTGATATAATAATAATGGTACATTTATAAAATATATAAACAATCTGTAACACCTCTATATAGGTCTCTCTAAGCCTGTACGCCCAGCCTAAAGAAAACGCTAACATTTTCTTCTGTCCAGGCCTCAAAATTCGTTTAATATCTTTCTTTAATAATACGGGCTTTTAAAATGTTTGATTTCATGATGTCTTCATGACTTCCTCATAGAAAAAAATAACGAAATAAACCATTATAAAAATATTTATATTTATAAAGAGTTCTTCTTGTTCCCGACTGTAGACCCTTGTCAACATCAGGTTTAATATTTTGTGGACAAAAAAAAAAAAAAAAAAAAAGTCAGGCTTGCAGCATTGGTTTCCTTATATTAAGAACCATTTGAGTGGCTGGTTGTTGGATGTTTTATCGTTCTTTGGAAGTTAAAAAGTATATCTGTAAAGCTCTAGCGAAGCTTTAATTGAATATACAGCTCAATATCGTTTAGTCTTCAGATAAACTTCAAATCAGTTCCTGTGTTTATATACCCGTTGCATACATTGTTTTTGGCCTATACATTTTACCTTACTTCTGTTGTTTTGGCAAACGAATATCATGCAACATTCATATTCCCATTATTTCGATTTCTCTTTGAACATTTAATAGGCCATAGTCTCTCTTTTTCTAGAATATTCAAGATATTTCTGGTTGGTCGTGCACTTCTCGGTCGGCTCATTTTATACATGAATACAAATGCAGATCACATTTTGCCAAAATAACGGAATTGGTGCAGGCTACCTCTAAACATATAGGCCTACATCGAAATTCGTCAATTTATATTTAATAGCCTGTATTCTTCAGTAAAACGATCATACCAATATAATAGGCTTACAATATTATTTGAAAACATTTTGGCTTACATTCCGTTTAACTAGACCAAAATCATTTAATTTCTTGAATTCAAATTAAGGAGGAAAAAAGCATTAAACTGCTATCAAACCATTCTTGTTGTTCTGTATATTGAGGGTATAGGCCTATTATCAGCTTAAATACGGCTTTAACTTTAATTAGAATTTAGAGAATTCTACAACTTTGTATTTTTACGTTGTCACAGTTTGTTATCTTTGGTTTGAAATGATAGATCAATGATAATGACAATACTTTCAGGTCCATTTTAGGACGACATAAAAAGTAAACAACCTAGTTGATCTATTTATTTAAACTCATTCAAGGAATATATAAATACATTCCAAATCACACTATACCAGAGTAAATTACACACCACATTAATAGACCAGAGTGTACACAGAGAAGAGCTCAGTATCTTCAAATATTTAATCTCAGGCAATGAATGTCCTAGACTAAAGGTAGCCAAAAGCTCTGAAAAAAAGGTATAGCACAATTAAGAGGCATCTGGCACTTGCTGTTCATAAAGGAAGAGACAGAGATTGAGACCAGACTGCTCGGGAATCCAACCAGAGTAATAAAAGCCTGTAAACTGCCTGCAAGTGCTCATATTGAACTTTTGGCTTGGGGTCAAATGGTTTCGGTGGTCGACACTTTGTTGTCAATATATGTGAATAAGGAAAAAGTATACAGGGTATAGGCTTATATTTGTTCATTAATATTATTGCTTGGTTATTGTTATGGCTCTAAGAGTAACATACCCTTTAGTTCCTTTAAAATATCCTCAGATCCAGGTCCTTTAAACACATTTGAAACCCAAGACAACTTTTGGCCACCCATGTTTATTGCAATCCATCTCACATATTAAAAAATTATAATCAAAAGGCTAAGTTATGACAACACGTTTTTACATTGCTTAACTCATCAAAATAAGTTAAGCAATTTTCAACTTTTTATGTTATACAAGATTCAACACATTTTTGTAGTCAGTTTAGTGTAATTTAGGTTGAAATGACTTAAAAACCAAGTTGATTGTACTTAATTTAAGGCAGCACGATTTTTATGCGATTATTGGTTTACAATTTTATTTAATTTTTTATATTGATTTAGTTTACTTGGGCCTATTTTCATTTTTATGAGATTGATTTACAAATTATTAAATACATCATGGCTATTCGTTCAATCGAGGCTTTTATATTTGTTTATTCAGGTTGTGGAGTGAGACAATAATTGAGAACAATTTGGGTGTTTGTGTTCTGAAGGAGAAAAAGAAAACCTTTTATTATAGGCAATCCAGTGGAAGAGGAAAAAGAACAAAGGCGACGAAGGCATTCTTTTCTTATATTTTATTGTGGCTTCTTTCAGGAACCACTTCCAGTTAAAGACAATAGAAAATACAATAGAACAGTGCTTCCACGAAATATTTACACAGCATTTTAAGAATAACATTGTGCGTCTGAACCATCCTCTCCCAGGAAAGCATAACGCATGGATACACTGACATAATGATTGACGCAATGACCCATATATTAGGTAGTTCGGTTGTAGATTTGTAAACTTTAATAGGCGAACAGTAATTAACAATCACAAAAAGTGCATTTTCTTACAGTAAGAGATACAGTAATGCACTCACTAATGCTGATTCCTCACCCATGTTATATACGCTGTAGCAAAGTTACTGAAGAGAACTTGGATTGTGGAAGATTTGAAGATAGGAAATAGCAAGACGCCATGCAGACCATATCCTTCTCCTCATATGCCCTCACTGCAACAGTAACCTCAAGAGTAATCTACTCAAGGACAAACACCAGTGGAACCTTACAAAACTGAGATTGATACATCATCAAACCATAAAAAGCGGAAATAATCACTGTTGGAAAACAGAAATGCCTCAATGAACGGAATACATGATTGGCTTTGTATTTGATAGCCTTTGCTTGTCGACAGACGTCATTTTGAACCTCAAACTTATATATTTGCAGCGATGGTTTTCTTTTGCAGTCGACAGCCTATTTAGAATTACTGGAAGTCTCCGAGTCATCTTCTCCTGATGTGTGTTTTTCTGATTCCTGGCTCCCCTCTTGCCCCTGTCTCTCAATTTCCTCTTGCTCCGTTTTGCTGCAGGGAAACTTGTCTTTGTTGTGTTCTTTTTTCCACTTCATGCGCCTGTTCTGAAACCAGATCTTGACCTGCCTCTCGGTGAGGGCCAGTGCGTGAGACACTTCGATGCGCCGCTTGCGGGTCAGGTAAGGGTTGAACAGGAACTCTTTCTCCAGTTCCAGCGTCTGATAGCGGCTGTAGGTCTGCCTGCCCCTTCTCCGGCCGGTAGCTATTGGGGGAAAAGAAGCGTTATTTCCGGCTAAACAGTGTTTGATTGATCATATATCTATCTCTGTAAACGAAATAAAACAACAAAGTCTTAAAACTCTCAAAGTTTCTATTCATTGCCATTAAATAACGTGTACGGAGCAATCCGGATTTTCTTAAGGGGTGTTAATTCCTCACTAATCTATAGGTGCCATAAAGCGTTTAATTGGGGGTAATAAGTAGGCCTACCATTGTCTATGGTGTTTTATGTGGGACTATAACAGACTAGGTGTTTCTCTTCGCTCATCTCACCTTGTGGTCTCATCCATGGGAAGAGCTGCGCTGCGCACGGTTCTGCACTTTCCAAATCATCCCTGATACTGTTGACCTTTAAATCCCCAAATTGCGTAAAATCCGCATCTGGGGCGCTGAAGAACGACTGTCTCTGTAAAGTGTCCTGGCCCAAGATGTTTCCCGTGGCATCTCCAGAGAAAGCGACTGCGCACGGGTTCTGTTGGTAAGATGCGTGGGAGAACGATGATGTACCGTGGTGGTAGAATTCCGGGAACTGAGCCGCGTGCTGAAACGCAGATCCTGTGTTGTGACCGTACAGCACAGATGGTCTGCTTCCGAGATCCGGCGCGTACCCTGAGCAATCATAGCAGTTGGAGCGCAGAGAATCGCCTCCTTTAAACTTAGTGAAGAGGGAATTGACGAAGTAAGAACTCATTGCTTGTAAGATCAAGTCCCCGATCAACTTTGACAACTGTATTGCGATCAAGCAGTCTATAGATGAATAATATTTTTGAGCAAATGCAGGCCTATCTTATTACAAGAAAAGCGAAATCATCCAGGTGGAAATTATGCGCAAAATGTCGTAAATATTCATGCAAACAAATGTATCCGTAGCTGCACCCACATGACTCCTTAGTAACGGTCCCCGAGCAATAAATACTTTTCCTTCTTTACTTTCTTTGATAGTGAGTTGCATTTCATATGAGCGTCAGTTATTGATTCCTTGTATCATTGGATGGACTCGCCATCTCCAAACAGACAAAGCGCGATCTTGTGATAGGAAGAGCTGGAGAGACTGAAAAGAGGAGATGAAAAAGGGGAGAGAGGGAGTTCTTGGGGAGGTAGAGGGGAAGGCGGAGTAGGACTGTTATTGGTAAACCATTTCAGTGCCAGAGCACATGCACACGACAAACGAAATGTTTCCAGTGGGATAACAAAACTAGATTTATTCAGGTCCATCGTATGATGAAAAATATACCACATTTGTAATTACATTCATGTTTGTTTTGATGATTAAGGGCGGCTATTCTTTGTGTCCATAAGTCTAATAGGCTATACTGACATAAGGCTACTTCCCTTCCGCATAGGAAACGTCATGAAGTGCAGAGTAGTTTCAAGGTGGAAAGGATTTTTATCACTCAACTCAGAGAAGAAAAGACCACCCATGTTTAGGCCTATATCAAGCTTGCATTTCACATCAGAGAAAGTGAGAGAGGGGTTACTTTTAATATTTGGGAATTTATGTCATTGTTTCACAAGCTTTTTATTGACTATATTTGAGAACTGTAAAAAAAGAGAGAAAAAAGTCAAGTTTATATATATATATATATATATATATATTTTGTAAACGAGTAAAGCGTGAGGATCTCTCTCTTCAGGTTAGACTGGGAATTTAGGCGAGTTATCCTGTCTGGTTTTAGAGTAACACTGCCATCGTGTGGTGAACATTGTAAGTTCACTCGAATTCATTCAAGGATGACAAAGAATCTGTTGGTCTACAATGGGAGATAACGGAATAATATAACGAATCCATGCGCACAAAAACATTACACTAATAACATTGTTTGCTTTTAACTGTAATTTTTTCTTGGACTATCGAAAAACAAAAAATGTTTTTTGAGTGCAAGCTATTTTGGTTGTTTTCTCTCCCTCTCTCTTTCTGTTTGCACCATGAGAGGGAAAGGAGAATAGAGTAATTATGTGGAGAAAATGAGAGAGCAAACAATGCGGAGCTGAACAGCTGCACGATATTTTCATACCACATGCTTTCATTTTCCGCAGTTACTTTACGACCAGAGGAGCAACTAATTAGATTTTTACTGCCTTCATTTTATGCACTATTAGATCAAGCCACGCGAAATTAAGCGTAGGCCTCTTCTGTATCAAGACCTCTGCTTCTGCATTTAACTCGCATTTCGCTGTAAAACAACCCCGTATTATTATTATCTGCTTTTATCTGTAAAATAATATGATGTAATATATTCTTATTCTTTAATAATAATAATACATTCATTTGCTAAAGTAAATCTGGTGTGCATCGTTGAAGCAAAATGCGTTTAAAAAAGGAAAAAAGAAACTGTTCATATCTGAACTCATTGCTTAGCCAGACAGGATAAAAAAAAATAATTTAAATAATTCTCCAAACTAACTCCAAAGTAGGACGATGCAAAACTAGCTATTCAGCAATGAGATGAAATTACACGGATGATTTCGGCAAGCAGTTTGCTTTAACGTGCGATAAAGGAAATCACATTCACAGAGTAATAATTTAACTAGATTTTCTTTTCTTTTTTACTTGTTAAATTATAACTACGGCTGAAATAAAAATAAAAATAATTTAATAATATAAAGGCTTTTTTTAGATAAATTATTTTAAGTTTAAGGCTTATCCTATAGCTAGCATCTGACTGTGGTCTGACTGTAATGTTACATTACCCGTAATTTTGTATTATTGCCCTCTTTCTTTTTTATTTATGACCACATACATTTAAAAAAAATACATGAAGATGTTTCCCTAGTATACAAACCTTTTTAATTATGTTTTTGTTAAACATAGTGGAGAATTTACCTGCTCAATTGTACCCTAATATTTTATTCAGAATGTCTGATATATAGGCTACTAGCTAACAACAAAATATATCAAATCTGTTTTGCAGCTGAAAATTGAATAATGAAAATAGTTACTCAACTTCATGGTGTTCCAAACCTGTATGACTTCTTACTTTCTTCTGAAGAACATAAGAAAATATTTTGAAGAATTTTGGTGTCCAAACAACATTGTAGCCCACCCCATTGACTTCCATTGTATGGACAAAAATGATCTTCTTTTGTGTTTTACAAAGTTAAAAAGTTTCCAGGTTTGGAAGAACAAGAGGGTGAGTATATGATGCCAGAATTCTAATTTTTGGGTAAGCTATTCCTTTAAGAGTTAGGATTTGCATGCTAGAACTAATAAACAAAATACTATAAAAAGTTCTATTGAAATGTTTATTCATATTGGCTCAGTATGACATGAAGTCGTGAAAATAGCTTACAAAGGCTGTGTTAAATCAAAGAATGTATAAAAGTATATTCACATTATTTTATATTAAAATAAGGGCTGTCAAACGATTAATCGCGATTAATCGCATCCAAAATAAAAGTTTGTGTTTACATAATATATGTGTGTGTACTGTGTATAATTATTTTTAATACATAAATACCCACACATGCATGTGTATTTAAGAAATATTTGCTTGTATATACTGTATATAGACTGAATGTAGCCTATATATAATGTATATTTTATATAAATATAAACATTTTATATATAAATAACATATTTTTCTATAATATATACGTGTGTGCATTTATATACAAAATAATTATACACAGTACACACACATATATTATGTAAACACAAACTTTTATTTTGGATGCGATTAATCGTGATTAATCGTTTGACAGCCCTAATTAAAATCATTCACTTATGGCTTGTTTCAAACTAATGTATGCTAAAAACATTAAAAAGGCTACAGCAGGCACCAGCCCACTGTCCAAAATCAAGTTTCCTGACTAACTAACCGATTTACAGAAAAAAGTTGACAAACCTGAGAAATTGCTTTATATTGAAAATAGCAGAGCGAAATTTCACATTTCCAGTATGGAATACAGACAGTGAAGGCACACCTTCTCGTGCACCTTGTACTCCTGACTCATACTGACATCTCACTGAACAGTTTCCTTAGTCTATACTTATTGTATTGATTTACTTGGTTATGATGAGCTTGTACACGTCCTGAGTCAGTGGCTGTGCTCATGTGGGGGGACTCTGCGAGGGGCCTTTCGAATGGCGTGAGAGAGGTGTGGCCTTGGGACAAGAGGAGCAGGGATGGAAATGACGTAGAGAGACTTGGGGTCACGGAGCATCCCGGCACCCTGTGGTCGCCTTGGAACGAGGGGAGGCACTCCTAACATTGACGCTCTCGCTCTTGACTCGGCCGAAGAGGAACTCATACTGCTCTGACGCCAAGAGAAAGACCCACCTACTGTGAAGCAGAGAAAGAAGAGAGGTGTATTTTCTATGAACAATCTCTTATTAGTGTTATGATATGGGAGTAAGAGCCAGAGAACTATTCGAAAAGTGAATCACTTGTGAAAGGTATCCGCTGAGCACTAGCAGCTTTCATTAGACCAGCAGATGCTTGTCGTTCTGCATTTGACGCCGCCATCTCTTCTGCTCCACAGTGCGCCAAACCACCCAGTTCAGTCTGGACTGGCTGGAGCAGACCATGTTCCAGAGAGGGCCACGGCTTTCGGTTTTGCAGCGGTTGGGAATGCACACACCGCAGACAGGGCTTGGCTTTTGTAGACACCTGCTGCATGATAGTGCAGATGTTCTTCTGTCTCCAAGACATCTCTGCAATGGAGTCCAACTGGATAGAAAGAGTAATTTATCAGGAGAACTGACAAAAAAGGTGGTTTAAAATAGTGTCTAGTCAGAGAGGAGAAACTAAGCTGTATGACTTTCTTTCTTCTGTGGAAACACAAAAGAAGATATTTTGAAGAGTTTTTTTTTTTTATCTTTTTTGTCCATACAATGAAATGTCATTGGGGTCCAAAACAACATTGGATGAGTGTTGTTACTGTTAACTAAAACTAAAATAAAATAAAAATAAAATATGAAAAACATAAACTTAAAAAAATTTTTGAAATATTGCGTTGGTAACTAATAAGTTGAAGTACAAAAATGACTAAAACTAAAACTGAAATAAAACTAAATGAAAGCTAAATAGAAATAAATGAATACAAAATAATAAAAATGAACAAAATGTCTAAAACCTAAACTAAAATGAAAATTGAAAATATAAAAATAAAGCTAATTCAAAATATGAATAAATGCTATAACAGTAATGTAAATAATACTAAAATAACACTGCACTGAACCCCATTGACTTATTTCACACATTTTTTCAAAATATCTTCTTTTGAGTTACAAAGAAGATCATACAGGGGCCAGTTGCATAAACGTAGCCATTATGTTAAGACAGTGTCTTAAGAACTAGTATGACTAACTAGCAGTTAGTTAGGGGTAATCAGCCTAACTGTTCAGTATCAAATTAGACCAATGTACGTTTTTATGTAACTAACTTTAAAAAGTTATGAACAGTCTTGAAGAAAAAAATTTGATGACTAACTTGTAAGACTAGTCTTAGCAGTTTATGCAACTCGCAGGTTTCAAATGACATAAGTATGATAACAGTATTTTTATTTTTGGTTGACCTATCCCTTTAATATGGGCTTTTTTTGTTCACATACCTTGTGATCATGTCTGCAGTGTGGGGAAAAGCTGGCTTGTTCATGTGAGTGTTTGATAAGTTCAGTAAGATGATTGGCACTTTGAAGTAGCTGGCGCACCTGGTTAACCACACCCATGTTCAGCAGCAGAGTCTCTCGTTGGTGAAGTTCACTGACTCTCTCTGCCTCCTCTTCCTCTATTACGTCAAGAGCAACAGGTGTCTCTCCCCTCAATGTGGTCTGATCTAACATAGGTGTTAGCTAAAGAAATCGATAAGACCGAAAGGAATTCATTAGTTATTCATGAGTTCTTTAAAAAGACAGCAGGGTCCCTCTAGTGGTAGGTCAAAGGACCCAATGTTTGTTTAGTCAACGAAAGAAACTTGTAATAAACATTATCAAAGTACACATATAAACACAAGAGAATGACTTACTGCATTGGGGTTTTGGTGAGGAGGCAGAATTCCTTTTGGTTTTGCTCTTTCTCCAGCAGATTCACCTTGAAGATCCTGCTTACGCGATCCTTTCTTTTCCCGTTCTTTCTGTTCCTGCTTCAGACGCAACTCCTGCAGCTGCTGCCTACAAGTATGCACATTTTGAATGAACATTTTTCTGTCTAAATTTAGCTTGATGTATTCCTGCAAAACAACAAGCAGTATGTGCACACCTGGCACACTCCTCCCTGGCTTTGGAGGCTGCAGTTTCCTGGAAGAGAGAGCTGCTGTGTTGAAAATACTTTTCGTATTGCTCCCCTCCTTCCCGAGGGAAGATCCGCCGGAATCCACCCATGTTCTTTGCCTCATATTTCTGCATCTGCTCCATACTAGCAGCCTGAGACTGACGAATCTCCTCATTCCTTTTGAGACAACACGCTTGGCACTTAATAGACAATGTAGATTTTTTATAGACAAAGGAGTACAATATGTGCAAAGTCTTCTTTTCTTTTAACAAAAATTGTTCTGTGTTTTTCCATTGTGCATGAGTGCATCGCATGATCTATCAAATATGGAGATGTTTTTGTTTCTTCTGTTTTTATCATGCCTCATCTATATCAAGGTTGTGGTTCATTCACACCTGTTCTCTTACGCACATATCACGTAGCATATAAGCTGAAGGCTTTCAATAAAGATTTGACTTTGAGTGAACTACACTTCTGTGTCGGCATCATTCTTGGTCCCTGATATCAGTGTCACTCTCTGTGTCTTTAATTCGATAAGGAAGATGCATAATTATTTATCTAACAATTTTATATCTTGACATCTCGCAAATCAGAAATTTTTTCTCTGGAATTCTGAACACCCCTCAAAAAATATAAACTATAAAATTACAATCCGATGAAGCATTAAGCATATATATATATGCATGTATAAAAACAATATATTTTAAGTTTATTCGCAGTTCTTCATTGGAGTGGACAGAGCTAAAGAGACATTTTGACTCTTGATTGGTGTAATAATTTGGGCTGATGGCTTCAACAGAAGCGCATACTATGGATTACCAACCTCGTAGCTCACAGTAGGTCTGTCTTTAAAGGTTTATTGTTATCATTAAAAATCAATTTCCCTATGGAAAAAATGCATGTTTTTACTTCCGGAACCCGACTGTTGCACTCTATATTGTAAGTCATAAACTTGGAATTGCGAGAAATAAAGTCAGAATTGTGTGTTCTGCACTCGCAATTCTGAGAACTTGCGAGATTAACTCAAAATTGCAAGATATAAAGTCATAATTGTGAGATAAAAAGTAGCAATTAGGCCTACCTTTTTTTTTAAATATTTTATTCCATGGTGGAAACAGGCTTCCATTAACTAGTGCTGTGTTTAAGTGCAGCTGTGGTCATTGTTATACCTGGCCTCTCTAGAGCGGTTCTGCTGGAGTCTCTCTTTTACCCGGCGCTTCTCCTCTTCTGTGATCTTCCTGCGGTCACAGGCTCCCAGGTTAATCAGCACCAAAGTGTCATACAACAGACCGTCCTTCACCTCCCGATCTAAACGGGAGTCTGTGGTGAAGCTAGGGGAATGGTTGACCTAAACACACAGGTTCAAAGATTGCATACAGCTAGAATGAAAGCAATTCACATTGATTTTGTTACATCATGAAGTCACAGGTAATTAAAAATTGTATAAACTACTTCAAATACAAAATAAGCCTCAAAAGGAGCCCAAACCTCAAGAAGCCAAGGTTTAAGTCGACGGTCCAGTAGCACATCAAATCCGAGGATCTCAAAACAGGCACTGCCAGATGCATGATTGGGGAAGCAGGTGTGGTAATTGTGTTTGAGAATGGGGTGGGCAGATATTAGTGTCTTAATGATGACGTCTTCAATGTCTCTCCACATCTTCTCAGTATCATAGCACATGGCTTCCAAGTGCTTCTTGAAGCTGGAGAGTTTTCTATGAAAATGGAAAATGGAAAAAGGGTTTCCTATACAATTTTAAAGAAACACAGAAGAAAATCATATTCTGTGAGAACATATACCGGTAGGTTACCGTTTGCTGCCGGTATCTTCGTCACGTACAAAGTTTTCACTATGCTTGTTGATGGCATAGTTAGTTAAGTGCATGCAAACATCCTCCTGTAGAGTTGCATAAAGAAAAGCAAATAAAAATATCTAATAGGCTTTATGCCAGCGGTCACATGAACAAACAGGAAAACAGGTCTCATTGCATCCGCTTGTCGGAGTGTTAACGGTAGTACGTACTGACGGCGATATCTACAGGGTTCATACAGATTCTGTAAAATGAAATTCCATGGGTTTCAAGGACTTTTCAAGCATTACTTTTACAAGCATTACAAAACGCACTTGATTTTCTAAAATCAGCACTTCAGTCTGTTCATCCTATAAAGCCATTTGAATAAACCGCTCAATTCATATGGATTAGTTTTACAATCTCTTTATGAACTTTTTGAAGCGTCAAAGTGGTAGTTGCATAGCTGTCTGTGGAGACACAGAAAGCTCTCAGATTTCATCAAAAAGATCTTCATTTGTGTTCCGAAGATGAACGAAAGTCTTACGGGTTTGGAACGACATGAGGGTGAGTAATTAATGACAGAATTTTCATTTTTGCATGAACCATCCCTTTAAGAGTGAGTTAGTAGACAGTTCATTAAAAAACGCTGATTCATTCTGGAATGAAGCAAGGTTAAAACATGGAAATTATTTTCACTTTGAACACCACCTTATAATGGATTAAACACAAATTTCTTATATATTGTATTTCAATAATTCAAGCACTTTTCAAGTACCTCTTCATAAATATGGCTGTTTTCCAGGTTAGGGTCAAATTCAAGTACTTCAAGCACTTTAGATCTATGGACTTTTAAGGTAATCAGCTAACCTAGCTAGTTCTTTTTTTTTTCCTTTTTCTTTTACGATTTAATCATTGTATTCTATTTAAATAACTAAATGTTAGTGACAAGGAAAATTAAAAACTTTTAGATATCAATCTGCATATGCGATGCGATAGACATTGGTTATGCTCATCTTTGCTCTCTCCTTCAAAGGTATTTGAGTAAAACGGCTCTATACTTAACGAAACATACAAAAGACCTGAACCTGAAGCGGCGCGACCTGTTTTACAGAATACGGAAGTTTGCTTCGCGTAACCCCCATTAACCACTGGTTTGAAGTCAGCATTTCAATACAAGCAATTTTCATCTTTCTATGAACCAGTGTGCTTTAAGCCAGTGGTTCTCAAAGTGGGGTCCGCGGACCCCTGGTGGTCCGTGAACTATAGCCAGGGGGTCCGCGAAATAATTTATAACAGCCTACCGTTTTTCCCGACTGTAAGTCATGTTTTCTTTAGCATCTGAAAACTTGCTATTTATTCCAAAGTGACTTATATAATGCATTTAATGTCAAATAATAAAAAAGTAGGCTCTTAAAGGTTTCTATAGATAGATAATCTATCTATATTTCTTATGTCTGTGCGTCAAGTATTCGCTGTGTTTTGGTCGATTTTTGGGCACGTGCGCCAGAAAGGAGACAGAGACGGCAGAACGCGCATCCTGTTGTGTTCTTTATTTTTAAAAGGCATGACATTTTGTAGTCATTTTTAATGTATACACAAATAAAAAATAGACACTTTGCCTTTTTGAATGATGTACTCTTATCTTTATGACCATAAACAAGAGTATTCCTTTGTTTCCACTGCTGAGGAAAAATCCAAGTGTTCGCGCCGGCGTCTCGTGTGCGCGCACAATATGTCAGTTCTAGCACTGCTAATTTGACATCAAAACCTGTTCATTATCAAAATAAAATACTCACCGAACTTATAAAAAGTTCTGCTTAATTTAATTTGTCTGTTGTACACTATGAAGGCAGTGACGGTCAATCATATACTGTCGACTTGCTGTTGTTCCAATCTCATTTCTCCAAATGTGAAGATGCTGATACGTGTAGGCCTATATTGGGACTGAAGCATGAAGCTTTCTTTACATAAATAGTTAAGCATCCAAATGTTAGGCTACATCGCAAATATGGACACTTTGGACCGAATGAGAGATGCACGAGCCCAACGTCTGCAGTTTCAGTTTCGATTCAACTTAATTCGTTTAGACTTGATGTTTTAAATAAATGTTGTCTGTATACTATTATTATTATTATTTGTATTATTATCTATTAATAGTATTATTTTTCATTCTCGTTTTGTTCTGAATACCATTAATTTAAGGATTTGCTGTGGAGTGAGGGGAAGTAGGCCTACTACGCCTCAAGAACGCAACAAAGTATTACACACTCAGGTGCAACTTATTTTCTGAAAAAATATAGTAAATTATAAATTTGTGCATAGGGACAGGGTCGTATACCCACAATTGAGGTCCCTGAGGTCCGGGCCTCTGTAATTTTTCTATGTGTATAATGAAAGTTGTGAAATAATTGCCTAATATTAACTCTAATTTGGTGCTGCAAGGATATTAAACATCGCGATGATGATAACTGACCTTCTCATCTGAGCGGTTTCAGCAGACTAACAGCGCTCGTCAATGTCAAAATGTTTGAGTCGGAGATTAAATCAAGGCGGGTTTATGTTCACAGAAGCTGCAAGCCGAGCGCGAATTTCCGCATGACGCTTCAGTTATTCGGTCATAAAGTGCGAGATAATATGTAAATCGCTAAACTAAACAGCTGTTATAGAAGTTTTAAACGAACGACAGAAACAATCAGTTTGCAAAGTATCAACCGGGAAAGGAAATATAGGGGATAGCGGGGTCAAGTGGGTCATGTTGTCACACTGCGTTACAATGAATATGTTTTGAACTATGTTGTATAGCTTTTTTGTTTGTCTTGTATATTTGTTTGATTAGATCAGATAACATTTTAATCTGTCATATGGTCATGTTACAATGTGCCCCACCTATGGGACATGTTGTTGTCACATTGCACTTCCATTCTTTCTGGGTATATCAAGAAAAAAGTAAAAAATTTTGGCCTTAAAAACACCTTAAAATGCACGTGTAGATCAAGAAAATCTAAAATTCCTCGGGGGGCATGCCCCCGAACCCCCCTAGCAAGATCAATTTTGGGACCTCAGTATGCTATTTAGAAAACCCTGCATATGACCCTGGGTCGAGACTATTTGTGTCAAAATATTTCATTAACCGCTCCCACATTAACTTTAGGCTCAGTCACTGTTATAAATATGAGGGGGTCCTTGGAAATGTTTTTCCCCTGTAAGGGGTCCCTGGCTCCAAAATGTTTGAGAACCCCTGCTTTAAGCAATACTTACTACTAAAATGCATGAATCTGTTTCAAGTTTATTTACTGTCTTTAAAGCCCCTCACCAAATTGCTGCCAGTGGGCTCATTATATTCAGTGGTGCAGAAACGGACTAGTCCCTCGTTGTACATGAAGACGCCGAAGGGGTCACAGCTGGTCACTAGCACATAAATGCGCAGGTCAAACTTGAACCCATCAATGATGAACGGCTGTTGAAACAAAGATTAATTATATAATAAATGGAAGATATTTTATCAGTGCCTATTTATAATGATCTTTATTTTTTTTTTTTGGGTAGCACTTTATTTTACAGTCCTGTTCTCCATGTATTACTATGTACTTATTATAGTAATTGTAATAACTGGGTAATAACTAGTAATAGTAATAATCCTGAACCAACCCCTAAAGTAAACCTAACCTTAACCCATGTAGTTACCTTATTTTACTCAGTACTTTCTTAGGTAAGTACACTGTAAGTACACGTACTGTAAAATAAATTGTAACTTTGTTTTGAATCTAATTGGATTTTAGTATTATGACAGAGGGGCTTCTTGTTGTAACTGTGAATTTATAAACATTTTGTTACCTTGGATATATACACCTGGCAAATCATGTGTTCACCTGGCCGAATATCCTTGTTGGATTTGGTAAGATAGATACCACGACCTTGGCAACCTGAGTCTGGCTTGCAGATATACGTTTTGTGCTTTTTGGCTCTGGTGTAGGCTTGGAAGTCACTATAACTGAAGGACATCGAGAGAGTGGGGAAAGGGAAAAGATTAAAACTTCCATTTTATGCTCATTAAAAGATCTGTATTGTAACTCGAATCGAATGTATGATTGGACTCGAATCGACTCACTCTGCAGGGAGGCACCATGTGCGAGGAAAAATGTTGTACTCCTTCGGGAAGAGTTTCAGCATACGGTTCATATTACGTGCGAGTAAATCCTTCCTGCAGATTTCATTCATGCCAGGAAAATGGTTGATTTTCTGTGTGGGGGAAATTTAAGCATCTTGTTAACCACAGGGTTACAACGAACAGGACAATAAACAAGAGAAGAATGATGTTTGACAGCAAACACCTGGTAACGCTTCATATCCATGACCCTGTCTAGTGAGACAGAGCAGTCGGTCCAAAACAGGGTCCAGTCTTCTCCTTCTGCAGCCTCTCGTAGCCCATATCTGCGAGCAGCACGACGCACTTAAAAAAAACAAAAGCATGCCATTGGATAAACAAACGTATACTCAAGGCTTTAATAATACAGTTAATTTTGAGACTATATCGACAAATGTTTGGAGTAAAAAACCCACCACTTTCATATTTGCAGTTGGTGAGATTTATCCACAGTCATCTGAAAAAGAGGAAGAGGACAAAGAGACAGACCTGTGCATTGTTCAGGAATTGAAAAGCTCCCTTTTTGACTTTTACACAACAGTTTTTACACGTTTAATTACAATAATCTTGTTCAAAGGTCCCGTACCTACAAATATTGCTTATAGTTACTGATAATTTAAGGTAATAATTCTTAATAATAATTATGTAATAATAAATACATAAATAAGGTTATAGTTATTAACACTGCGTAATGCAATTGATATCAAGAACTAAGTGATGATCAACATTTTTACTGTATTTATTAATCAAAAAAATCTATAGTTGTTAATTCATGTTTTCTCATTATACATTATTAATTAATTAATTACTTGATTTTCTTGCCACTTATCCGGGACTGGGTGGTGGTCATTATACATTTTCTAATGTAAAAATGTATGCTGAAATTAACATTAACCTAGATAAGTATTGTTCAGTGTTAGTTTGTGTTACCAAATGCATTAACTAATGTTAATGATTTAAAGGTACAATATGTAAGAATTTTGTAATAAAATATCCAAAAATCACTTGCACAGTGTGATATATTTCCTGCAGTTGTGTACTTACAATATCCCAAAAGTATCCAAAGATTTTTTATTTCAGAGAAATTCCAATTTTAAATAAGTGGCCGTCCCGGAAAAAAAGGTCGCCTGTCAATGACGCAATATCCGCGCTATCCTCGGTTTCCGTTCATACTGCCATAGCCATGACGTAACCATGGCGACAGACGTGGACAACTGCGTAGTGCGTAACGTTTAGCGGCACGCAGTTCTTGTTTCTTTCAAACATAGACCATGGCAAGCAGACTTTGGGACAAACAAGGAGAACTAAGATGAGGATCAATATCAGCGTGGCGTTTTTGAGATGCTGAGAGCTCCACGTACGCGACTAACTTGGACTTGACAGAGGTTCACGAGTCACGACTTGACAGCTTTATTAGACAGGTGAGCAAATGTACATAAAACAAATCAATGTTATATAACGTTAGCTCAACATGATGAAATGTTAGAATATGGTCAGTATGTTATTCTAATGTTGATCTAGCTTACTGCTAGTTTCGTATAGCAAACGAACTAACACGTAGTATAACATTATAACTTTCAACACACATTTAAATGCCGTTTAGTGTGATAGTGTAACGTTAGACCAAGTGAAGCAGCGCTGCGTTACCTCACAAGTTTAATTCGTCTAATAAACTGACCTGTGTCAGCACTTGCGGGTAGTTCAGTGGAATTAAATGTCCTTATTCCTTTATATTCGCGGGACTCGCGTGTGATATCTGTCTCTTTAGCAATCGCGACCTGCTTCATACCACTATAATGTTAAAAAACATGAATGTTTGCACTCATCCATAAACATTATTAGATCCATCAGCTTGACAGCAAGTCCCATCATTCAGCTCATCACTGCGTCATAAACCTACGCCTTTGTTATTGTTGGAAACTGTGCCCTCTTGTGGCGAAAAAAACCTACATATTGTGCCTTTAATATCTTATGTACACTAACGTTCAAATGTTTTCAAGTCAGTCAGAAATTCACACTTTTATTCAACAAGAATGCACTAAATTGATCAAAAGTGACAGCAAAGAGTGACAATAAAAAGTATCACAGTTTCTAAAAAAAAAAAAATAATAATAAAAGCATCAGCAAATTAGAACGATTTCTAAAGGATCATGTGACACTGAAGTCTGGAGTAATGACTGCTGAAAATGTCTGTAAAAACAAAACTTTACAGACCCCAACCTTTTGATCGGTAATAAATATAAATACCATAACATAGAAATGGCTTACTTCTTCTTTCTCTTTTTCTTCTTGTTCGCTGCAGGCAGAGGGATTGGTGTGTTACAGGGCTCTGCTTGAGTGTCACTTCCCCAGCCTTCTCCCTCCACCCCTGGATCAGACTCACGCCTGCACACTTCACTCACTGAGTGCTCCGCTGGTGTCCCCATTCTGAGAACACACATAAAACTTTGATGAAGACTGAGCGAGGGCTGAGAGATTTAGTGAAACACCTATTTAAGAACTTATGAGCTGAAAGATCTAATATTGCTGCGTGATGTCACATCTTCAATGTGAAACTTAATCAACCCTATCGGTAGTGTGCTTGTAAAGGGCAAAATACTAAGGCTTAGCATCATGTTTCTGTCCCCGTTTCTCTCCATAGTTGAGTACCACACCTGTCAACAACATGATTGAGGTCACTAAATATTTAAACTGAAACATATTTTCAGTATTTAACCATTTCAATGGGTCCAATAAATTTACATCATTAATATTAAAGTCGGCATGAAATGGAAGTTGCAAAAGTATTTTCCTTATTGTGACGTAATCCAAATTCTTCATGAACAAGAAAGAATATAGGGCGGGACTTGACTTTATCCATTGGGAATTTATTGGTTTGTTGTCGTTTGCTATAGAAGTGCAACAGTGCCCACCCCCTTTTTTAGCACCACTGGTTCCAGAAATTATTTTTTTTCTGTAGGGATTTAAAATAGTCTTTGATAAAGAGTTATAAGCCATGAACCAAGCCAAGCAGCTATAAGGTGAATCACAACACTACAGACTTTGAAGCAATTTGATGTAAAAAAAGATACAAAAGTGTGTAGGCTACTTAACGGTTTCAGTGAGGGAAAGAACTACAATTCCCTTGAACTTGTAGCACTGCGAACAGCATAATCGAATTAAAAATGATGGAGAAATATAAAACTACTCATTTACAAATGTTGATTATATGTATAAAAACATTATAATTTAAGTTTATTGCAAAATATGCATATATACAAACATTTCAGTATTTCGAGAGCGTAGAGAGATCAACTCCATTATGTCATTCGCAGTGCTTCATGGGAGTGGGCGGAGCTAAAGAGCTATTTTGGAGCAGCATGTTGCTTTTTCTTACTCTCTGATTGGTGTAATTTTCTGTACATCATCATGATTGATGTAGTTTTTCACCGGTAATTCCACTGTTAATCACCATTATTTAAAAAAATAGGCTGAAATAATGTGGGCTGACGGCTTCCGGACCATAAGGAGAAAATGAATGGAGTTTTTACTTCCGGAACCCAACTCTGCCTATTGCTGTGATCTCATGTGAGTGACAGCCAGGTCTTCCAACCCTCACGCCAGTAACTCGACATCAGAGAAGAGTCTCTGCATAAGGGGAGGGAAATTATTTTGATTTAAGATTATGAGAGCACATGAATTAAAAAAATGATGATGTGCAAGGATAAATCATTTAAAATAAACACTGAAATATTCCACAAGAAACAAGAATTGGCAATTGATTTCATGGTGACTTTAAAAAAAAAAAAAAAACCTAGCCACACAGGATGCACAAAGCGACATCATTGCGGTCCAACTGAAGTTAAAGGTGCTTCTGTATGCAAGTGTCAGTCAGCAGAGGGAAAGAAGGTCAGAGTCCTGAGGTAACAGTATTCTGATCTAGAGAATGTATCCTGACCATGACCTTTTGGTCCTGAGCTCAAATGAAATGGCCTACGAACTTATTAGACAGTTAATATTTATTCAGTGAGAAAAACTTTTAAAGGAGAAACATTTCACCATGAGGATTACAAAGATTACAAGGATTACAAGAAAATAGGTGGAAGGAAAACAATGGCTTTTTGAAACTATCGATCAATGTAATATGTAAAACTACCAATTTATCCAATAAAATCAACACATTTTTATATCCGATTCAACACTTACACCAACCTGTGATCTCTTCAGCTCACAGGCCTCTAAGACGTAAAAGTCTCCTGTCCACAGACACACCACTTGGCTTTAGCTGTCCAGTAGAAGGCTATCATCATCCCCGCTCCGAGCTGTCCTCTGGAAGTGGGTACTGGCACGTAATCCCTGACAAAAAGGAACAAATTCACCTCTTCTTTGATGGGTGGCTCAACTTGGATATACTTACATACTGACACACTGAAACCTTAAGATCAAGTGACCTATTAGAAACACAGGAGACCTAAACCTGATACATGAACATGAAAATAAAGGCCAAGAGGCAAGCAAGAATCAGAGAAGAAAGACAATCCCTACTTGTCAAATGTGATGAGATAAGTGCTTGGTTCCTGGAACAAATATTACATGTGTAAAAAGAAGCTGATGGTTACATTATACTGGGATTTGCAACAATAAAGTCTTTGAAATAAGATGGTAAGTTTATGTAATAAGGACAACAATTTAAACTCATTACTGAGTTTCTTAAATAAATCAAATTGCTCCATTTTAAGAAATAAGATTTTAAATAGTGTGAATTATCACATGAAGAACAGATGCTGTAACGTTAGTTACATTTCAAGAAGCAGAAAGCAATAATCACAATCTTTCCTTTTTCCAGTTCACCCTAAATTAACGTTAACGTTACTCAGTCTGACATTAAGTAAAACTCAAACTGTACCATAGTGTAACTAAAGACTTCAGATTTAAACAATCTAAACTACTTTAGGGCATTATATCTAACTAATCACAACACAAAAATATTATTAAACTAGCTTTTTACAAGCCAAGCTAAACCAAAATAATGGCGTACTTGATTCCCTTGCGATGCAAGTCTGCGCACGACTTTCCCTGTACAATTGCCATGGCAACAGAACGCGTTTCAAAAGCAGGTTAGCTAGCTAGCTGGCTAATATTCTTAAATAAATACAGGGAATAAACTCAATGGGTCCGGTGGAATTAAAGTACGTACCTGTTGCTGTTTTCGTCAGAAATGCGCAGTGGTTTCAGAGGGGGCCAGTGGTATCGCGGACTGTATTGGCTGTTCAAAAGGAAATGCCATTGGATTTTCTCATGCTTACAATGTTGCCAAGTGCTCTCAAAACGAAATGAGAGCACGAGGTCAAGGGGACAGAGATGTCCAATCTCAATTCACGTTTGCAAATACTTGATCTCTGATTGGTTCTCACTCTGGTGATGGTAATCTGTTCTTTAGATCATTGATCCAAACCGTATTAACGGTTACTATTTAAACAACACCACAAAAAACAAACATAAAAAAAATAAAAATAAAAACCGACAGCAGAGCCGCACTGATAGGACCCTATGGATAGGACAAAGTCAGTAGGAGAGCCATTTTACCGCAAAGTATAAAAAGTTACATCCAGTCATAAATACCATGTCTGCTTATCAATCTGTCACCCCTGAACATACAATAGCCTATGCAATGCAATAATACAAAAGGGTGGGGGAAAAACATTCTTTATGATTTACCAGCCAAATTTACTGAGACAAGATGATTTCCCTTAATGACAAAAAAGCAGGATTTCCAGAATACATTCATCCCAGAATGACCTTAAGTTATTTGTTTTTCAACATTAGCCCGTATCTAACCATCCAAGTCCAAGATCACATGCAGCGTTAAGAGCTGGAAAGACCGCCATAACTGGCAACTCCGCAGCGCAGAGACTGTGTTAACAATAACATGCACAACTTTTGTTTCATTCGGACTGAATTCATTCCGATTATAAATCTGAATGCATTGTAGTTTACATGAACGCTAAACATCGGGATGTGATACATGATCGGGTTGATGTGCGCGTTTATAAGTCCAAAGATTCAAATAGGAATAGATTTTTTGACATGCGCACACTACAAATATATACAAAGTTTCCCGCTGTCGCCGCTTAATAACCATTCTTCTACATTGGTTCTTTATTTGTTTTAAACAGCAGACTTAATATTTATCCAATTCTGGTCATAATTTGGAGACTATGAACATATTAACCGTTGTGCCGTGCTGTTTGTAATTTATCACGCAGTAAAAATGCCCAAAACTAGTCGTCTGTGGATGAGAATCTAAAACAAGGACGGGTGAGCCCGAGCCGTTGTCCTGCTTCAGACGCAGTGAAAGAATTATAGAATGACAGGACACTCATTTATATGACACTTTATTCATCAGGAGAACGGCTCGTTCGTGTTTACATGTTCTCTCGATAAACCACCCCTTTCAATCCGATCGAAATTATTTGTAATAGCTGACACTTTTAGTTTTTAATGGGTTATGTTATAGCCCTACTTGTTTTTAATGAAATTTCTGTAGTGACTGCATGATCATCATATCACCGTATTATTTACCGCCATGCGAGCCACAAATTAAAGCTTGGCGAGTCGCGCAATGAGTAGGCTAACACTGGGCTAGAGGGACTTTAACTCATCTACTGAGGTAATTCTGCACTTTTACAATCACAGCCTTAACATCCATTGTAAATGACCCAATACCAAAGTCTCCTTGTTGAACAAGAAAATCATGATTAAATTAAATGATTTACAATTTGAATAAGAATTTAAGATGACATCAACAATTAGTGTATTTTTTGGTCTTTTTATTCAACTTACATTTTTGTTTCAATCTTTCAAGTAAAACAATGTGGAATTACAAGGGAACATAAGGAATGTAACAAATTAGAATAGACAAATCAAAATGAAAATAAGACCATCACCATATTCTACTAAATACCCCCCAAACATCTTTCTGTCCAAAAAGGGCAAAGAAAAGCTATCTTACAATTCACTTGACTGCCAATGTTCAGCAAAAAAAGAAAAAGAAAAAAGAAGAAGATATTCCTCTTATGAAGTTATTTCAGGTGTATCCTACCAACCCAGCATCGGTCCCTTCATAAAAAAAGGACCAATACTCCAGAAGTAAAAATAGCTGACCGTAGCAATTTTCACTGGAGAACTGATTTCAGTTTTGGTTGCACAAACAGAAATGGTGTTGTTACGATGAAGGGTGGAAGAGCTTATTACACTTAAAGCACTACAGATGACCAAATGTCTATACGTTAACATGGATCCTTGTATGGATCAACAGGCACTCTCATTTTAGCAAACTCATTTAGATTCTGTGTTTGAGAATACAATTGAATGTGTAAAGATGATCATGACGACTAACACTTTGGGAAAGAGATAAGAAAAATAGCAAGATGTTGTCTCCCATTTCTGTACTGCTATAAAGCAAATGACAAGCAAATTTCAAGATTCATCACAAGCTCAAGAGATACACATACTTTAGAGCTTACAAAATGCAGTGAGGTACCAGTAAAGATGTACTGACAAGTTGATGTTCTGAAAAGAAAAAAGAAAAACACCTAAATCACAATGCACAACTCCAATGTCTGAGACATTTCAGATGTGCCAATGGGGGAAAGCAGGCAGCAGCAGAATTTAAAAGTAATGGACTGAAACATTACAAAAGACAGGTGATCTAAGCAAATTGTAACTCCAGCATAGTGCAGAGGGGGGGGGGGGGGATCTAATTTTTTAGACCTGCCCTCTTCTTCATACCCTGGAAGATATAGAAGATATTTTTGTAATTCATCAACTGACTTAACAAACAATAGTCAAAACAGCTGACAAACATTATTCAGAATGCAACGGTCTAAAAACTTTACAATTGTACAATCCCCAATAATCATTTCAATGTAGCATTAATGAATTTCTTCCTCATCAATACCATTTGCAGCACTAGTAAACTCTGTAAAAAGTGTACAATCTATGCAACAAATCCTCTAACATATACTTCACATAGTATTTCCAGTCTTTATGATTACAGTACATAGTGTGAACAAATAATAAATCTTGCCTCTTGCCCAGCTACTTTGAAGTTCCAAAGTCTTTGTGTCAGGGTAAAATATTCTCTGGTTTTAACTCAAATTATTAGGACACATTTTTAAATAGGTGACCAAATGATCTTCATGTAATTGTCCTGCATCTACAGACCCTTTCCACACAGTAAATGGCTTGACTTAAGATAGCTGAGTGGCAAAGTCGAGGTCAGATCTAATTACAATGTGCAACAGATCTCTTTTTTTCCCCCCCGTCTTCTCTCACAGCTAAACCATGGCCTTAAATAAAATTAATCCCCATTCCTCCATAAAATCTGCATTATCTCCTTGCTGAAATTGTCATCTAACTCCTTGTTTAAACCTAGAGATGATTTATCCACTCCATATCACGTCTTGGAGTGCCGGTGTTGGGTGGATGAAGAGCGTGTGTTGCTAGCTGGAGTACGTGCCTGAGCGGCTGCCAGTGCAGCTACACTCCTGAGAACCCTGTCCGGAGTCCCATCACTGGACCCAGCACTCAGTTCAGGTTTGTCATGCTTCTGGGACCTCTTGTCTTTCCTGCTCTCCCTGTCTCTCCCTCCATCGCTCTTCCGCCGAATACTTTTGCCTCTCTCTGTATCACTACCAGAGGAGGCTGCTCTGGAACGGGAGCGGGTAGGCTCTGTACTCTGCGAGCTTAGACTGTGGGTGCGCTGACTGCTGTTGCTGCTACTCCGACTTCTACTGCTGCCTGCTCCTCTTTCACTGCTTATACTACTGCAGGCACTATGACCTCTTGAAGACCTGGTCTCTCTATTTTCATATTCACCTTCCTTCTGATCAGATGCCTTTTTCTTTTCTTCTTTTTTAACCCTTTCTGTTTCCAAGGGGGGGACAAGGCTGCCTGGTCGCTGCCGAGTGGATCGAGCAGAAGAGGAGGACTGTGGTGATTCAGTTGTCTGATTGGGGGTTTGCCTACCACTCTCTGCTTTACTGTTATACATCTTAGGAGAGTCCTGTCCTGTTTTCCCCTTGGGTTTACTGCTTCTTTCAGAGGACAGTGCTCTGCTTTGCTGTACAGCATTCTTATTTTTGGGGCTAGGACTGGGTGTGTCTGGTCCTCTTCCCCTCATTGCAAAGAGTTTGGCTGCAGCATTAAGGGCTGAGCAGCGTTTGCCCAGGACCTCAGGTTCAGGGGAAGCTAAAGTATTGGATTGTGGGCCAGCAGATTTCCGGGTCGCTCTTGAACACGTTTCACCACTGGACTCCCCTTCTGTGGTATTGGTGGTTTGACCCTTCTTGTCTGACCTTCCCCTTTGTCTATTACTGCTCTCGTCATTTTTAGCAATAGTGCCATCTTTCTCCAACTTCTTTTGAGCTGATCTTGTCAGACATCTTTTTATACTATAAGAGTCCTCAGAGTCTGAAGATGAGGAAGAAGAGTTGGACTGGTGCTTTCTGTCAGACCCTTCTTCAGTTTTCCCCTTTTCAGACTTTATATCATCCCGTTTCCTTTTTGAAGGCCTCCTACTCTCTCCAACCTTTTTGGACTGAGATGATCTTGTACCACTGGAGGATACAGAAGATGGGGAAGAGGAACGAACTGACTCCTGGCTGCTTTGTCTACTAATGCTTCGTTTTTTGGCAGAAGTTCTGGTCTCTCTGTCCTCCGTTTTCTCCTCTTCTGATGGGTTAACAGGTCCATCACTCTTGGGAGCATCATGAGTCTCAATATCCGAATTTGATGAGGCAATTCCAGAGGCACTGGGTGTCTGTTCCTTTGGCAAACTATCCAATTTCTTTCTTTTTGGCTGAGATAAAACACCATCATTTCCTCCTGCATTATCCTCAGCAACATGGTCTACTTCCATTTTCTCTGTCTCCTCAGTTACAACCTCCTCCTCCTGCTCAGTTACAACCTCATCCTTGGATGAATGTTGGCCTTCATGATTATCAGCCACTGGCATGTTTTGGGGTGGAGAAGAATCTGCATCTTTATAACTGAATGTTGACAGAGAATCTGATTTTGTCTGATTATCTGTAGATGGAGATTGTAAAGATGTTAAAGACATTTTGTGTGATACAGGTGCTGAATCTGTTGCTGCTTCAATGGCTGTAATTTGAAGTTGTGAGGTAGGAACAGAAGTTTGATCAGACTTCGGTGTTGACTGTTGGACTGTTGACAGAGTCAGTGTAACCGAAGCCTCTGGTGCCTCTGATTTAGATGAAGATGATTCTGGCTCAATCCCAGAAGTCAAAGCAGGTGGAAAAGGTTGGGTGAATGTCTGATGAGTGGCAACAGGAGATGCAGCTATATTGCAAATGGGTTCTACAAAGGTTTGTGAAGAGTCGGCAGTTGCACTGCTTCTGTGTAAGGGTTGTGATGTGACATGAGTTGATGTATTTGAGCACTGCAAATTATCTATTTGTTGGTTAGTTGTGAGTGAATTTTCCTCAGCCTCTACAGCAGAAGGTTCTGAAAATGCTGTGATTTCACTGGTCTTAGAAAGTACAGGCATTTGGGTAAGTTCCTCTGCATGGATGAGGGACAAGTGGGTACAAGTGGGAGGCTCTCTTAGGGGACTTGGAAGCTGTAGTGTAAGGGAAGAAGCAGCACAAGTCTGAGAGACCTCTGCAATAGAAATCTTGTGTGGTGAAGTTTTAAGTGTGTTGGTGTCAGAGTCAATGCATGCAATTACAGGGTTTGGACTGGTGTGAGTATCACCTTGTGAGTCTACACCATGTTCTGATGTGGACAAGGACATATTTTGAGAGTCTCTATACATAGAGGACAGTAAAACAGACGTAGTGGATTGATTTGTTTCTGAATCAGGTTTAGAAGACGACAATTCAGCAGCATTTGAGGGTGAAGTGGGGTTGAGTGTTGGAGAGCTTATTGGTGAAGTTTTACTCACAACAGGCAAAGTCACGGGCATAACATTGGACGTTGACAAATTAGGCTCTAGGGAGGAAGGAGCACCTGTAGAAGGAGAAGATGGTGGTGAGCTTGTAGTTGTGGTGGAATCTTTACGTGGACGACCCCTTTTCCGTTTTGGTGAGTGAGGGGTACTCTGCTCAGGACCGGTTTTCTGGGTTACTGGTTTCTTGTCTTCTGGCAGCTCTGGTGCCCTTGGGGGTGTTTTAGGTGGCCTGCCCCTCTTGCGCTTCACTGATATAAGATTGGTGACATTTGAGTCAGTTTGAGCAGCACTGTCCTTGTCTGAATTAGTTTCTGGTTTCTTTGGTGACAAAGCAGATCTCCGATCCACCCCTCTACCTCTACCTAGAAATTGCTCTCCTAACTGTGCAGCCATTCTAGACTCTGTCTCAAGCCTTCGGCGCACTGGTAAGTTCCGTAGGACAGGCATATCTGGTGAATAGTGTGTTGGGGAACAGGGGTGGTGCCCTCTCCCTGGACTATACTGTAACGGAGAGGCCTGTTCCTGCTCTCGTGGTGGTGGTGGTGGTGGTGGTGTTAGTGACGAAGAAGCTAAGGATGTGGGGACTGATATAGGAGGAGAGTCTTTAAGAGTTTGACTTGCTCCATCAGATGCCTGAGTGGCTGGTTCTTGAACTGGTTCTAGCTGTTCAGTGTCCTCTGATGAACCCTCGTTGTGCACTCCTCCACTTCCACTCATTCCCCTCCGTCTCCTTTTGGGCTCCTTCTCTTCCACCACCGTGACTAGACGACCTGGAAGCTTTCGAAGGACTTTGGCTGATGGAGAATCTTCTGGAAGTCCCTTGAGAATTTCACTTTCAGCAGACTGCCGCTTTCGTGGTGAACGAGAGTTAGGAGATGTAAGAGTAGGAGAAAGGGAGAGCTGACCATCCTGTTCAGAATGATGCTCAGGAGAACAGATGGAGTCTGATGATGCAGATGCTCTCCTATCTCTCCTGCTACACTGTACAGTTTCAGACACTGCCTCTCCCCCCTGCTCTTCACTGTCCTCTGTGCATGCAGCAGAAGCGGAGGACTGATGGCCACAATTGTTTCTGTCTATTGCAGGAGATACAGCAGCTGAAGGCACAGAGCTTGATGGGGAGATGGGCTGCAGGTGGGGGGATGGCACATTTCTAATTTTTTGGACTGAGCCCTGCATAGCAGGGGACAAGGTTGTTGAATCTGAGAGCTGCTGGTTGGTTTGGACTGTCTGGTTTTCTAATGACATGAGCGATTCAGATTCTTTGGTTGTCCCTCGCCCGCACGGACCACTGCGAAGCTTCTCAGGCACTTCTCTGTGTTGGGGCGACTTTTGTGTGGACCCAGGCGTTTGGCTTATACTGCGCTCAGAGTTCATCCATGCCCCCCTCCTGCCTCTTTCTGGCGACAGCCGGGTTAGGGGTATATCGTCAGCAGGTGTACCTCTGAGCCTGCCACTGACCCTTGTAGAAGGAGCCCCTTTCTCTTTGTGTTTGCGAGGGCGACGGGTTGGAGTAGGTTCCTCGGTACTGTGAGGTATGGAATCCTCTTCATCACTGTCAGATGACTGATGCAGTTTCAAACCTTCTTCCTTTGCCTGATCCAACCCTTTCCTTGCAGCCTCAACTTGCTCCTGTAAAGTAAAGATAAATCTTGTGGGTATGACTGCTAAAAGTTTATTCAACCAGAAAGTAATCAAAGCTTGGTTATTGTTTTAATTGTTACCTCTGCCTGCTTCAGCTCCTCTTTGCAAATATCTTCAAGGGAAGCCTCAAGGAAATTCATGGCATATCGTTCTATGGGAGTGAGCTGTTAAGAACAGGGACAATTGAAATTTAGTGGAAAAAATTATGATAAAAACAGGTAAATTCACATTCTATAAAGAAAAGCATAAATATCATGACTACCTGTTCAACCAGGGCATTGATTTCCTGCTCAGCTTTGGAAAGCTCCTCCTCTTCCTGGTCTCGGCTGTCACCATCATCCAGCGGGATGTTCTCGTTAAACTCTGCAAGCTCAGCCACCTGCTCAGCCTTGGCTTGAGATGCAGCCACAATATCTTCTTCATCCTCAGCACGACACAGGGCCTAGTATAAAGATAACATAAAATAAAATGTTCAATGGTTTGTAACAAATTGAATACATTTCTTAGAAACAAACAAATACACAAAATACACAAAATGGATATATTTAAAATTACCTGTTCCAAAATGGTGGTGTGTTGTTTATTGATGGATTCTTCATCATATGTCTGAGGCACACTCAGTTCAGCCACTTTCTTCTCTCCCTCTGACACATCAAACAACTCTCTGATAGTTTGCTGTGGGAAAGAGAGTTGGGCAATCAATCCTTCTAAAGTTTATTCCAATCTAGGATTTCACTGTGAAAACTACATTCAAATTAAAGCATACCTCCTTAAAAAAGGCAGTGGTAAAGTTTCCCCCTTCAATAGCCATATCTCCCAACATCCTTTTTTGATTGGCTTTTTTCAGAATATTTTCTTCAACTGTACGTTCACTGATTAGCCTAAACAAATAACATTTTAAAATGTCAAATGTGCTTGTACAATGTTAATCATTTATTTATTTAAAAAGGAACAAAAATTGGTCCTGTATGTAAAAAAATCTATAGGTTGCCTTTACCTATAGATGTGGACATCTCTTGTCTGTCCAATTCTGTGGCACCGGTCCTGAGCTTGGGCATCCATGGTTGGGTTCCAATCACTGTCATAGAACACCACTGTATCTGCCCCAGTAAGGTTAACACCTACACCTCCACTGCGGGTGGACAGGATGAAGCAGAATATGCGACGGTCTGCATTGAAGCGCTCCATCAGAGCCTGAAAGGTAGAAAAACATTCCTATAATGTCACAGCTGAGAGACAAAACACATTCTTTGTTCTGCTTGCCCAAGTCAAGTTATAATAAAATCAAAAAATACACAATTCGAGTACTTCACCTGTCTCTGTTCTACACGTGTACTTCCATCCAACCGCAGGTAGATGTGCCCATGGTAGTTGAGGAACTGCTCAAGTATATCTAGCATACGTGTCATCTGAGTGAAGATGAGGACTCTGTGCCCTCCTGCCTTCAACCTTCTAAGTAGGAGGTGGAGTGTCTGCAGTTTACCTAAACACAGATAAACAGCCACAAAACATTTATTTTCCATTTATTTTTGTATTTTTGGTACAACACACATTTTATATGTTTATTACGTATAAACATGGTAAATTTAAGTACAATGAAACACTAAAATGCACACTCTGGGGTCCCAGTACTTACCACAGTCATACTGAATAAGCCTCAAGTCAGGGAAATGTGTCCTCATGTTACACTGGATGCGATGGAGCGTGTGTGTAAGCGGGGAGAGACGGGAAGATAAAACAGAGGAGAAAAGAGATTGCTGGTGTCTGAGGGAGGGAGGTGGGTGGCAGCTGTGCATGGTGATAGGCTTTGCCTCAACTGGAGGAATGACAAAAGTGAACCTGTGGAACGAGGGCACACATTTAAACGCAGTGTGACACTATTATTTTCAGAGACAGTTTTTATACTTCATTTCTAAATCAAATAAAAGTTTAGTGCTTTATGTATGTTTGTGAGCTATACCTCTCTATGACCTCAGAGAGAAGTTGAAGCTTGTCCTCTGAGTTGTTGATGGCTTCCTTCAGGACTTTGCTCTTTTCCAAAATACTACTTATATCGTGTGACTGAGCCGTGAGGCAGGAGCTATAACCCGAGTAACTCCAGTTGTTTACAACAGGACGTGGCGGAGATGGACAATGGCCTGGGAGGAAGGTTAGAAAGTCCAGCACCTCACGGCCATACACAGGCTTGGCACTGCAGTGCAGCTCATTGATGCGCATGATTTGAGAGATTCTGTCGTCTCGCTGAGCCTTTCGCCTGTCTGCAAGCCATGACTGTCAGAACCAAATAAGTTCAAGTAACAAATAAGTAAGAGCTACAGAAACAGACAAACAACTAATAGGTCACCAAATTTTTATACCAAGAATAAGGGTACAGAAAATTTACCTAAATGCATTATGATGTAGTTACTGATGCTTGCATTTAGAAGCATCTATATTTGCAAAATATTACACACTCAGATGTGGGTTGTCATTAAACAGATTTAAAGTAGAAACAGTGTTATGCTACCTTTTGAGTTAAAGAATTAATCAATGTAAGATTAACACTCCATTTCTTACCACGTAGAAGGGGGAACGTGGTGGTGGCGGCGGCTGAATGCGGGGACGCTGAGATGTTGACCCACTACTCTGAGATGAGGATGTAGGCTTAGGAGTGCTCATGTGCAAAGTTATCACATCATTATTACTGTCCTCACGTACTGATGATGAATTTGCCTTCGTAACTGAAAAGTACAGAGTATTGAATGCATAATTATTCTACTTAATATTCTTTTTTCCTTAAAATACTGCTTAAACTTCAAGTTAATTCTCAAAACCACATATGGGCTCAACTTACCTGGTGGTTCTGGGGCTGGTGCTGGTGCCTGTACTACTCTCAGCACAGGACGAGTGGGTGGAGTCTGGGAGGAAGCAACAGTTCGGGGAGGAGCAGCATAAACCGGAGGCCGGTGTGGAGGCTGTGAAGCAGCCGACGCTCTAAGAACAGGGCTTGGAGTGCCATGTGGGTGAAGGGTGACCGACTGAGGAGGAGCAGGACGAGGAGAAGGAGGCACGGCTAGAGTAGGGATTGACCCTCCTTCTTTACTTGGTGCCTGTCGTACAACAATCTTTACAATTCCGGGTCCACTTACAATGGATGTTGGGACTGGAATTAAAAATAGAGAGCGAAAGAGAGTTTACTAACTACACAAGTATTTTGCATGGAAAGAAAGTTCAGTTAGACTGGGCACCAGACTATTGATTACAGTAGCAGAGCTATCAATACAACATCTTGCATTTATCAAATACACTACTGCTCAAAAATGTAGGGGTCAGTACTATTTTTTAAAGGTTTTTTGGAAAAAAGCCTCCTATGCTTAAAGCTGCATTTATTTAAATAAAAAAAATACAGTAAAACAGTTATATTGTGAAAAATTATTACAACAGACTTCAGTGTCACATTATCCTTCTAATATGCTCAATATGGTGCTCAAGAAATATTTCTTATTAAAAATTTTGAAAATCTGCTTCTTAATATGTCTGGAAACACTGTATTCATCAAAAAATCCTGAAAGAAATGTATCAAAGTAGAAAGAAGATGAACAGAAAATAGAAAAGATATATTTGAAATAAAAATCTTTTGTAACATTATAAATGTCTTTACTGTCACTTTATAATGCATCCTTGCTGAATAAAAGATTAATTTCTCCCAAAAGAAAAAAAACTATTCTGACCACAAACTGAATGGTAGTTCAATTCTTTAGTATTTTAACTCTGTAGAAGAATGGACAATTACAACTTCATAAATTTAACCTGCATACTTTAGACTTAAAGGAACAGAATAAAACAAAAAACAAGAAAAAGAAAAATTGTGAAATGAGAACAATTTAATCCATGAACTACATAAAATTAGAGCCCGACCGATATGGATTTTTAGGTGCCGATGCCGATAAAAAACCCAGATACCGATATATCGGCCGATATTATTTATGTGTATATTATAATACAGTAGCAATATTATGTATGTGTATTATAGTACAGCCCCTGTCAAAAGTTTGGACACACTTTCCTATTGGTGTGTACAAACTTTTGATGGGTACTGTTTATAGAATACACAGTATAAACAGAATAAATATATAAACGTTTTGCAATGATCACTCAAATGTGGTGATCAAACTCTTGTGTGACAAAGATATGTAATGGAGACAGGGTGAATGATAGAATGAGAATGATACATTTGAGCTGTAACCAAACTAGTTTGCATTGCATGTTATATTATATTCTAAATACTGTTGCATAATCTTCACTAACGACTTTGTCTTTTAATTTGGTCACGTTATATAAAACATAGCATATCAATAAATATATCAAAAGTGTCACTGACAAAACCTTATTATTCAATTCAATTCAAATGTATTTGTATAGCGCTTTTCACAATACACATTTCAAAGCAGCTTTACAGAAAGTGCATTTCAGAAATGTACATAGAAAAAATACAGTTAGTTAATCATGTATTAATGTAATGTAAAATATTATCTTTTATTTTTAGTCTTAATTCCTCTAATCTCTACCAGTGGAGGAAGAACTCAGATCTTTTTACTAAAGTAAAATTAATAATATCATAATGAAAACGTTTTTAATTACATATGTACAGTACTTTTATACTATTTTTAAATAAGTAGTAAGCAAAATGTACTAAACGTGAAACATAGTGTTATAATAGGGCTGGGCGATATGGCTGAAAACTGTATCACGATATCAGTGTTTCATATCGGTCGATATCGATAATTATTGATTTTTTTATGACCCATTTAAAATAAGGACCAGGAGAAAAAATATATTACATTTAAACATTTTTATTTTAAACTTACCCTTCCTCTGATTACAATCCCAAGACAGAAATGTCAACACAACCATGGAAAACTCAAATAATTAGAATGTAAACATAAGTCTAAATTCACAATCAGACCGGCAAACTCCTCAGAGTAAAAAAGGTGACAGTGGCGCGGCGGGACGGGGGTGGTGGGGGGTTGTGATCGTACGTGCCCCCTGCTTGATTTCTTTTTTGAGACATCACGGTTCGGTACGATTTCGGTACAATGGAGTAAAAAGCAAAACAGAAATATATTAGGCATTTTTATAAATGTCTTAAGCCTTGTATTTTTTAAATAAGTTTTATTAATAAAGGCATAGAACCAGTTTATTTATAGTGCACTGATAATAGTTTTATATAATTGGTTTATTAATTAAACTAATAAAAAGATAGATATGAGATATGTTTGGTAATTGTACCTGAATGAATTTAAAATTAATTTGCTATATTTCAGATCAATATATTTGTTTTCCATAATTTTAATTAACCCTAACTTTATTCTCATCAGAATTATAAATAATTGATTTCCGTATAAAATAATCTACCAACATATTTCACTTTCTTTTTTAATCAATGTGTAACTTAAAAATAAACAGATTAGTGCTCTGTTTTGAGGACAAGAAATGAAAACCAATGCGATATGATGAATGTCCAAAAGATGGAACACACAGACTGTTTTAAAAAGGGTTGGATAAATATGTTTTGCTTTTAAAACGGTGTGTGACAGTTGTAGGTTACAGTTTGACAAGAAATACAGTGTGACAAAAGCACAATGTTGTGTTTTATTGCGAGTATAGGCCTACACAAATATAAGTAAACACTTTGCAGACTGAATGATGTCCTGTATTAACAAAATGACGGAGTATGTTTTTATGTCTCCACTGTTCGATCGCGCCCGCGTGTCTCTCTCTCTCTCTCGCGCGCGCGCGCGGAGTCGGACACACACACACACACACACTCCAGCATTGAAATCTTGGCAATCGCAGCCTGTTCATTATGCTGTGTTCACATCAAACGCGAATAGAGCGAATTATCCAATAATGTTTCGCAACTCTAGCCTGCATGGCATGCAGATGAAGGGCACTCATTTTCTGCTTATCAATCGCCGGTTACTGAAGAGGAACCCAGCAGCACGAGACAACGATATGGCGCAACAAAACTGACACGTTACATGATTGCCTGAGCGTGTCACTCCCTACGTTGCTAGGTTACCAGACAGCGCGTGCCTTTGATAATGCAACCAAACTTGCTTCGCAACCTGTGGTTTCTTCCGACGAAGAAAAAAAATATCGAACGTTTTATCGAACACATTTTTTATTGATATCGATCACGTGTCTATCGCGATACATATCGTTATCGTTTTATCGCCCAGCCCTATGTTATAATTATATAAAGTATTGCTTGTGTAACGTAGCGTTAGGCAGAATGAGCTTCAACACTGTCTACACCGGACGCGGGCGTTATTGCTCGCGTCGCAACAGCTGTTTACCCGAGACGCGAAAAAGCGCCCGTTACAAAGCAGAATGGGGCATCAGTTTACTGTCGGAGATATGACGCTCGCGCAACGCATTTTAATCAATGTTTCATCAACCAATTGCCTGGATTTAATACATAAGAAGTAAATATAGCAGACAATATAATCAGGATTTCTCAGCTGCGCGCTTTCCCTAGTCATCACAAGCTCACACAATACGTGACAGAGGCTGGTAGCAGAGAAATCAATTCTGTGAATTACACTGCGCAAATCAAAAGTAATAGGCTACTACCCACCGGATGAAGAAGGGTTGGCTCTCAACAGAACATAAAATATTCTTTTTTTTTTGTTTTTTCGTGTTCGCATTTATGAGGAAAAAACAACGGACTGACAAGCTCTGAAAGCGGCACTAAACGACTTTAAAACTTTCACAGAAGCCCTCAAAACAGAAAGCACAAAGCCTTTCATTAAAGTGAATTTCGTTTTGTATTAATTGTATCTTAATTTTAATCAATGTTTCATCAACCAATTGCCTTAATAAATAAGAAGTAAATATAGCAGACAATAGATAATCTCGACAGGTGCCGGCCGGCGCGTGAACGGCAACTCGTCTTATAAACCAAAACTCAGCAGAAATATATCTATATTGAAATGTCTACTTTTAAACAGAACAATTCAAAACGAAAGACAGACTGCTCTCTGCTGTAATCCGTATGAAATGTGCATTTCTCTCTGGCCTGTTCACTGAAGATCGCGAGTCAGCGTCGTCAACTTTGCAGCGACACTGACTGAAAACACTTGTTTATTAATAAAAAATTAAAATGTCTCCTTGCTATATTTGATGTATTCACAATCATTACTTTTGCCAGTTCTTTGTGACAGCTTTTATGTGCTTTATTGGCAGCGCCACCCTTACATGAATCACCGCACCCGCATTTTAAAAAATATTAATTTATCGGCCATTATAAAGGCCGATACCGATAGTTAGGAAAATGCCTAATATCGGCCGGGCTCTACATAAAATAATGAACAAATAAATAAAAATGCAAAACAAACCAAACCATTTCAAACATCATGTACCCTCTACAACATTTGAATTAATAATTGCAGTGTTGTTTGCATTTATCTTTTTTAGATTTAAAATACTTAATTCAACCGGACCTATTAATTAGCCAACAAACCATCCAAATAAGCTGTCACATGCAGTTAGAAAAAAAAGAACCAGTGCCAGAATACCCATGCACATGCTCTGCTGAGTAACAGGTAGTTTGGTACCCAGGATACAGGCTGTACCCAAACAAGAAGGAACTCAAGGACAGCACCAATACCTTGAGTAGCGGTGAAAGGTAATGCTAGTCCAGAGCAGGTTGGGGTTGTGCTGGCTGGGTATGGATTTGCTGAGCTGCTACCTGTCTGACTAACTGTGTGAAGAACTGCCACCTGAGCTGGCTGACTAATAAGGTGGTGCTGCCCACTACTGGAAACCAGATGCATTACATTTCCTAAAGGGCACAACCACAGAAGAAAGTGTTAGGCTACACCATACACTCACAGAAAGACTGAAGGCGTGCAGGAAAAGCGAAACCTATCCAAAGCAGGCAGTGGATTATTTCCACAAGCAGATAGTTTTTTTTCTATTTATGTGGAAGACAGTGGATACCTTGGATGGGTCGTGGCTGTGGAACTGGGACCTGGTGCAGCGGAGTCCCAGAGAGTGTGAGCTTGTTGCCCTGTAGCTGGAAGGTTACTGGTTTACTGCCCTGAGAGGACGACACTGGTCGGCCTGCCAGGGAGGCCAGCTGAGCGATACTTACAACTTCACCGGCTGTACACATGGGAGATAAATTAAAATAATTTAACTATGTGCAACTATTGTTTCATGGCAATAAACAATGAAGTGAAACAAGTGTGATGCAATTAACTTACATGGCAAACGAGCCTGCATATCTGGACTGAGCAGGACCCTTTGAGTCATAATGTTGCTTGGTGGTTGAGGGGGAGTGGACACCGTTGTGATGCTGGAGGGTGCTGAGGGACGCACAGTCACTGGCTGGGGGGCTGGCGGCCTGACTGCAGGTGCAGAAGGGACGCTACTAGGAGCCACTGGAGCTCTTAATGTAGTGACAGGAGTAACAGGACAAACTGAAATAAGAGTAAAATGTTATTCTCTTCCCAATTACACCATTACATGAAAGACACTTGCTGATCAGGATGTGAGGCTTGGACCCTTGAGCTAACCTTGAGGTGCTGGCTGGGAGGGAGCTTGTGAAGGGGTAACCTCTGTGATTAGAGGCTTTGGAGTCTGAACCGTGGTGGTGGTAGGACACGCTGACCGAGGGCTGTTCACTGCTGAACGCCCATCAGACTTAGGAAGAGGCTGGAGCATCCTGCAGAGAAGCAAGCACATGCTGAAACTTTATTAAAAGATATGAACAAAATCACAAAACAAGTCAAAATAATAATAATTTTACCATTTATTTAACTCAAGTGAATATATTATACATCAGAATTGTGTGCTTAACTATTTTAACTCTTGTGCCTCATTTAAAAAAAAGTTACACATAGCTCCATAGAGGACAAAAATGTCCACGTCAAAAAACTGTCATAAAAATTTGAAGCTTGGGAGCACAGACTTAAGTTTGGTATCATTTTAAAGAAGACCCTTGGCAGATTATTGCTGAAGTAAGTCTTAAAGGTGCTATATGTATTTTCTAGCGGCCTCTATCGGTGATGTTTCAGATTGCAACCAATTTTTACAAGAGCACTCGTGGCGTGCTCTTGCGCGTGCTCGAACACAAGAGCGAGCACTCATGGTACCGGCCACACTGAGACTTTCAACACACCGGAGAAAGCATCACACATCATGCTGGAAACTCATGTAAACTCCCACTGCAACGTTACAATAATAGGCTACTTTTATCAGCTTGACGTTGAACTAATGCTCTATGCTCGTACCTAAGGTTACATTGACTGCATTTAGCCGACATGTGGTGTTATCTAGCACAACGCATTTCACTAACTATTTGTGTATCTTTCACAATCAGGCAGCAATGTCAACATAGCCTAGATGAATGTATAATATGGTAACGAAAACGGTTAGTGAACTAGACTGAACAATTTCAGTGTAACAGTAAGATAGTAGGAAGTAACATTACTGTACTGAAGTCCTAAAGTGTTTTCGTCCTAAGTTGATCCGATTCACGTTTGGCCTGACGAGCTTCAGCAGATACATTTTTGTTTTGTTTTTTATATTTATGTGGAGTTTGTGTTGGAGTCTGTGTTGTGCTGGAGGCAGGTCGTTGTTTGGTGTTATCAGACTCCATGTCGTCAGCTGCAGTGCCGTCGCATAGACTGTATATAAAAAGGAGAGAGGCTCGGGAGCGCGCATGCACGTCACATACGATGGATTTCGCAGAAAATCCGACCCGGAGACTTCACATAGAAATAGGAATACTGGCCTTCAGAGGTAATAGCAAAACCAGACAAGTGGATCATTGTAATGTGTGATTACAACCCCTTCACACACAGGCAATAAAAAAAGATTAATTTTAGAAGAAAAGTTACAAAGAGCACCTTTAAGTAAGCCTTACTAAGTCCTGAGGGAAACTTGGTCACCCTGTCTGCAGAACAAAAAGTCGCTGCAATAAAAACACTTCAAATCTGCCGAGTCGTCTTGTGTGACCATCACCCACTGTTGTATAGCGAACGCAAGGCAAGTTAACTTTGACCTCAATACCAAAACTACGTCTGGGAAATAATTGGGCACAAAATGTTGTTTTGAGTTGAAATATTTTACGTCACTCACTTGAAATAAACGTGAAGTGGCTTTGCGCCAAAGAGAAATGAACAACTTCAAACAAGACTATTATTAAGAGTGATATTTTAAGGGATAGTAATGTATAGATTCATTGTACACTTACACCGACTTTTACCACATAATTACGGGGACATATTGAATTGAGATTAATGTTTTAAATCTTACCTGTTTATAAATCTATTTTGTACAGCGTACAAAACAATCACCCAGACAAGATGATCACAACAATATTATCAAACTCTGTAAACAATAAATCAACTCTGATTTCATTTTAAATACATTTTAAATAAAAAATGGAAGACGCAAGACGGCAAGTTGTATTTAAATGAAACGAGAGAGCACGCCCGTTGTGATACATGGATGTGCGCCGTGTAATAATGCGTTGCTATTGACGATGGTCATTATAAAGAAGGAAATGCCACAGAATAGAATCTTGCTTAAAAATCTGCATAGAGCTGCTTGTTTTATTTGTTGTTTGTTGATTTTCAAATATAAAACTTGTTGAAATGTTTTCAGTGTGAGCATCAGTTCTTTTTGAACACTTTCATCTCATTTTAACAAAACCGTGATAATATTGATAATCACGATAATTTTGGACACTATAATCGTGATATGAAATTTTCATACCGTCCCATCCCTAGCACACACATATACACTCACCGGCCACTTTATTAGGTACACCTGTCCAACTGCTCGTTAACACTTAATTTCTAAGCAGCCAATCACATGGCGGCAACTCAGTGCATTTAGGCATGTAGACATGGTCAAGACAATCTCCTGCAGTTCAAACCGAGCATCAGTATGGGGAAGAAAGTTGATTTGAGTGACTTTGAACGTGGCATGATTGTTGGTGCCAGAAGGGCTGGTCTGAGTATTTCAGAAACTGCTAATCTACTGGGATTTTCACGCACACCCATCTCTAGGGTTTACAGAGAATGGTCCGAAAAAGAAAAAGCATCCAGTGAGCGGCAGTTCTGTGGGCGGAAATGCCTTGTTGATGCCAGAGGTCAGAGGAGAATGGCCAGACTGGTTCGAGCTGATAGAAGGGCAACAGTGACTGAAATAACCACTCGTTACAACCGAGGTATGCAGCAAAGCATTTGTGAAGCCACAACACGCACAACCTTGAGGCGGATGGGCTACAACAGCAGAAGACTCCACCGGGTACCACTCATCTCCACTACAAATAGGAAAAAGAGGCTACAATTTGCAAGAGCTCACCAAAATTGAACAGTTGAAGACTGGAAAAATGTTGCCTGGTCTGATGAGTCTCGATTTCTGTTGAGACATTCAGATGTTAGAGTCAGAATTTGGCGTAAACAGAATGAGAACATGGAACCATCATGCCTTGTTACCACTGTGCAGGCTGGTGGTGGTGGTGTAATGGTGTGGGGGATGTTTTCCTGGCACACTTTAGGCCCCTTAGTGCCAATTGGGCATCGTTTAAATGCCACAGCCTACCTGAGCATTGTTTCTGACCATGTCCATCCCTTTATGGCCACCATGTACCCATCCTCTGATGGCTACTTCCACCATGTCACAAAGCTCTAATCATTTCAAATTGGTTTCTTGAACATGACAATGAGTTCACTGTACTAAAATGGCCTCCACAGTCACCAGATCTCAACCCAATAGAGCATCTTTGGGATGTGGTGGAACGGGAGATTCGCATCATGGATGTGCAGCCGACAAATTTGCGGCAACTGTGTGATGCCATCATGTCAATATGGACCAAACTCCCTGAGGAATGCTTCCAGCACCTTGTTGAATCTATGCCACGAAGAATTGAGGCAGTTCTGAAGGCAAAAGGGGGTCCAACCCGTTACTAGCATGGGGTACCTAATAAAGTGGCCGGTGAGTGTATATATTTTTTATAACACACATACCAACCACACTCTGACATCCATACTAACACACCCACACAAATATCGTTGCATAATTTATCCAATTGGCTCTATAATATGCCGAAGCAGAAAACAGGAATAAAGCGAGAATTTGCTTTATAGGCCAAACCTGAAAAAATGGCACCATCTGATAAAAAAAATAGTAAAAATTTTAATTTTGAAGCCTTGCCAACAGAATGAAAGCCTCTTAACAAAGATTGCATCATTTTATAGTTAAATGGCCCTGGGATAAAAAATAAAAAAGCAGTGTTAATGGGTTTCAATGGGGCCATTTTTGTCCAAAAGGCACTGAGAGGGAGTATTTTGTGTACCTAGTGCAAAACAATTTTGTTTAAGGAAATAGCAGTGAAATAGTAAAATTACAATAAAAATACACACCTGTGCCAAATTTTATGCAGTTAGCATTAACACAGGCAAAGTGATAAAAAAAAAACAACTAAAAAGGCCAAAAATGTCCCTAAGGAGGCACAAGGGTTAAACAACATACCTGTTGACCTTCATGCGAACAGGCTTCGGTCTGGGAGGAGGGTCAGGGGACTCCATGATTTCCTGAATAAGCTGATGTGTCACTTTCCTCTGAGGCAGGAAAACATCTGCCTGGTATCGAGACACGCGCTGCTCCAGGCCAACCAGGTCAAATATGGACAAGTCACAGCGCTTTGAAAAGAATATAATTTTTTAATTAACCTTCACTGAGGGTTCGGAAAAGAAAAAAGAAACACACATGACTAAAAAAATTTCTGAACACAGAATTACTATGGCAATTACTACCGATAAAGATTTTATCATTCATACCACCTTAGCTATACATTAATGTGAGCAATGGACAGGGCTACTTCATTGTTATTTACATATGGGAATGATGGAAAAAACATGGAAGAATGTGAAAATACAGAGCTCAAAGAGTCTAAAAAAAAAAAACATGTTTATTTGTATCGTGCTTTTCACAAAACATTGTAATTTTGGGAATACTGCCCACCCCTGTCCAAAGACCGAAGAAAATAATAAAGGGTTCAGAATCAGATCAAAGGTGTCCTGCTCCACCATACTGCGGAGTTTAGCTCTAATCCCAATTAAACACACCTGAACCAGCTAATCAAGGCTATATCCAAAAATGCCCCATATTCCCTCATTCACCATTTCCTACATTATTCTACTTATACAGTCCACTGAATGAGTGAATGAAAGCGACACTGTGTACCAGAAATGCTATGGGTGGCATCTCCTGGCAAGACATGGGAAATTATGCTGCATTCACACCATGTCGTAATTACCGTAGTCTCAAAATGACAACACATGACGTTATATTCGGAGCTGTTCACGTCCTCGGACCGGAAATTAGGCGTAACGCAGAGAGGTGCGATAAATTACATTTATTTTATGTGCCAAGCATTTGTGTGTTGGATGCATAGGTTGTTTATCCAAATTTGATCAGATGGGGCCTTACTATCTTAATCTATCTTACTATCATCTCACCGCAGCATAGGCACGCCTGGAAAAACGAGTGCGCCGCGTGCGCCGCTTCCATTATGAGCGCACAGCAAACATTTGAAATAACGAATTTGCACACGCAAATAATGCGAAATGTGAACATTAGTGATGGTGTCACTAAGTCGTGCTGAAAAATTGTGGCCACGTCAAGAGAAAATACAACTAATCTCCAGTAATCTGGAACGCAACCTCAGGGAGCTATATGAAGACTTCAAAAAGTGTAAGCCAAATCTACAAACAAAATGCCAAGTAACAATAACAGTCTCACAGACAACCATTAATCAAAGTTTTGCAAGTGTAACCCCTTATGAAAAAACTGAGATATTCTTGAAGATCAGAATAATATCTATTACCTGTTTATTTTAGTATTATCATTACATATATAAATGATTATATTTTTAAAAGCTTAATAAAAATAGCATTTCTCTAGGGAAATGTTATATCGCAAGAAATATCGTTATCGCAATACTCAACAACATCGCATATTTTCCCAGTATCGTGCAGCCCTAGCATAGAGTGTGATTTCAAATACAGCCACTGTCTTCAGGATTACTATAAACTTCGATGCAAATGTGTTGGGGCAGGTTGGAGCTAAACTCAGGCAAGACATTGGCCCTCCAGAAGCAGGATTGGACACACCTATTATAGATAAACAAGCAAAATTAGAGGATAGTGAAGGTTTGCTGGTCTTCTACCATTTACCTCAAATGGTGAGGTCTCAAGAGCCCGCTGAACCAGTGAAGCAGTAGAATAGATGATGGCCTTTGTGATGAAGGGAGAATGTATGGGCCTTGGATCAAACAGGTTAGGGTGATTACACACTTTCCGCAGCTGCATCAGGATGTTGATGACAGACATGAAATGACCACTGGCTAAAGTCTCTCGTGTCCTGGGAGTATATGGGCACAAAAAAGACAAACAATAAGAAAAAAAAACATACCATCTGAAGTATGAACAAAATTAGCTAATTAATTATCCTCCAAGGCCTGAGCTTCAAAGTATCTTCCTCAACCCAACCCATGTCAGCTTGCCCTGGTTACTCACGAGGCCTGGGCCATGAAGTCATCATAGAGAAAACGCTGTCTTTTCGAGAGTCGACAGCGCACAACATGCTCATATTTTTTGGGCATTTGTTTCTCCACATCTGCTTTTATTCTTCGCAGCAGAAATGGTCGTAGCACCTAGAAAGAGAGGGAGACGAAGGAAGCTTATATAAAGCCAAATGCATAAATGCTTCCCTATAATATTACAAATAAACAGTTCCCATGTTTCTCTTATGAACTTTGCCTGTGTTTGTGCTACATCCATAAATGGAATAGATCAAATAAAATGTCCAACACAATTCATAAACTAGTACTACCTTGTGAAGTCGTTTGATCAAGCCCTCGTTGTACTCCTGGCTCCCTTCAATCATGCCAGTGAGCGGGTTTGAGAACCACTCCTTGAACTCACGGTGGGACTGGAAAACGTGAGGCATGAGGAAGTGCATAAGAGACCAAAGCTCCATTAGACTGTTCTGGAGAGGGGTACCTGTGAGCAACAATCGCCTTTGACTGCAGGGAAGACAGAGAATTGAGAGGAAAAATAGTAAATAAACTCATTACATTCTCATAATTAAATGGGCTTTACACATAAAATGTAAAGAAATTAACATTAGAATGGGACCTGTGGCGATAAATTATCAAGCGCATCATAGAAACGACTGTATACAAGTCATACCTGTCAACACTCCCGTTTTTCCCGGGTTTCTCCCGTTTTTTAGCCCTATCTCCCGGACCCCTCCCGGTTTGTTATTTTTCCCGGGAAACTCCCGTAATTTGCATGGCCCAAACTCCTTTATGAATAATCGGACCAATATGTTTGTCTAATGTTGACCAGTTGCCAGATTGTATTAAATGCATTATATTCACACAATCCACAGACCATTTACAATTTCAACCCGTTTGTCACCTCAACCTGGCAACCTATAACCCAGTTGCGCAGTCGCGGAAAGTTTAACCCGAAAGCGAGCCGATAGACATGATGGCAGGTGAAGGTGGTGTCCCCGCAATGAAACTGAAGTACAGATTGTAACGCGTTGCTTCAGGAAGATTAGGGATAGCTCACAACTGAAGATATTGCATGCAGAGGCCAGACAGACTCACGGAGGCGATTGGCATCTCACAACTCGCACTTTATTCCCAAATCGAACTCGTCTAGCCTAACTGTCTTTCACACGTTCTACCGTCCACATCGTTAGCCTACTTAATAAACAAAATAAGATAAAAATTAGCATCAAACAGAAATTACCCGCATACATGGGGTGTTTGCATAGACAGTAAAAGGGGTGTTCGAGGCCCAAGGCACATACAATACAATACTGCCGACAGTTCAACAGGGAGCGCACAGCTCTTAAAGGGGCCACACCTTATTTCCAGTCGTTACAAGTTGTACATTTACCCCCCCCCCTCGCCGGAAAGAAATCTCCCGGATTTTGAAAACCAAATGTTGACAGGTATGATACAAGTACCTGTTAAAGTTGAGCAAGCTTTGCCAGCGCTGAGACTTAAAGTTCTTGATGTTCTGGGCTTCATCCAGAATGAGGTACCTCCAAGACTTGCGTCTAAAAGCCTGATGATCTTGCAATACTAGCTTATACGAGGTGATGCAAACATGGAAAGCATTGGGTTTGGTCCAGCCCTGAGAAATTATAAAAAGAGAAAAAACAATTCTAAAATCACAAGGATTGAAAGGCTAAATGAACAATAATTGCTTTAGAGTGTTTTGTAAGGTGTTTTTAAAAGGTATTCTTTGTGTTTTTAAAATATCTTAATTTGTAATAAATATGCTCATTATTGTATTCATTACTTGTCGCTTGAGTTTGCGCTCCTTCTGGCTGCCATAGTAGGTGAGGATTTTGAACCCTGGGCACCAACGCTTCAACTCCATCTCCCAGTTGAGCATTACACTGGTGGGCACAATGATCAAATGTGGACCCCAGTTACCTGTAAGAGAAATAGAGAAAATGTTTGTCAAACTGCATATATCGACTATATTTTCAAAACACATCATAGGGAAATATGTATTTATGTGGACTTTTTACCCTTTACACAAGCTAGATGAGCTAACAGAGCGATGGTTTGGATGGTTTTGCCAAGCCCCATTTCATCTGCAAGTATGCCATTGAGTTTCTTCTCATTCATGGTGACCAACCAGTCCAGTCCAATGTGCTGGTACTCACGCAAAGTACCATGAAGCAGAAATGGAATCGGTGTTTTGACCTTATATTAAAAAGAAAACAAACAACTGCAGTTAATGATAAACAGAAACTGTGTTCTTCAGTCATTGTTTCTGAGGGTTTGTGTTGCTACCTTTGTTGTTGCCAGTGTATATCCCTTAGGTTGAAGGCTCTCAGCAGTAGCAGCAATGTGGCTGATTTCTTTCTTAGGTCGGGGAGAGGTCGTGACAGTGGGACTATGGTCTCCCTCTCTCAGCAGAACCTCCATTCCCTCACCTCCATCATCCTCATCATCATCACTCTCTTGCACTTCCTCATCCACCTCTTCTTCGTCACTGTCTACAGCTGCTTGGGAACCTGAATATTGAGTGGATCACAGTAGGAAAATCTGATGATGTGCTTTATTTGGACACTTCATACAATAATTCATAAGATTCAGTGGTTCTATCACCATAAATGTCAGCTCACCTGAGGAGGAGCCACTATCATCAGCACTGTCCTCTCCTTCCGTCTCTTCCTCCGCTTCCTCCTCAGTTCCCTCTGATTCTTCTGAGGAATCTGGTGATGCTGAGGGCTCCTCAAAATCAGAGGCATACGCTCCTCTGTACTTCTCTAAGAGCTCTTCCATGCTCATCTCCCCTGTGAAATAAAGAAACCACAAGTAACAATATGACCTCAAGAAATTACTGCTTAAGTCATAATTAAACACTCTTTGAAATATTATTCAAAGGTTTTGAGTTCAGTATGATTTTTTAAAAAGAAATACTGTTAATGAAACTGATAAAAAATAACAGTAAAAACTTTTGTGATGTTTCAAAAGCTTTCTAATAAATGTCAAATTTCAAAATAAATGTGATTGAACTTTCTATTCAAAGAATCCTAAAAAAAACAACAACAAAAAAAAAACATTGTACCACGGTTTCCACAAAAAGATTAAGTAGCACAACTGTTTTAAACACTGCTAATCAAATCAGCACATTAGAATGATTTCTGAAGGATCATGTGACACTGAATTTTCAGCAGCCATAACTCCAGTCTTCAGTTTTACCATCACAGGAATAAATAACATTTAAAAATGTATCAAAAGACAAAACAGTTTTAAATTGTTTCACAATATTACTGTATTTTTGATCAAATAAATGCAGCATTGGTGAGCAAGAGACTTTAAAATAAATAAAAAATAAAAAATGTAAATAAAATTGGTACAGACCCCAAACCTTTGACCATTAGCGTGTTGTGTGTATTTAAATTATAGAGCTACACTTGAATATATTTCAGTATTTCATTTACCCTCTTTAGCAAGATCATCCAGTTCCTCTACATGGTCTCCCTCTCCTTCAATAACTTCCTGGGCTGCAATAGTGTCTTCTTCATCTTTCGCTGAAGCAAAGCATAGAATAATTTAAGTTATATCTTTCTGTCCAAATCAATAGGACACCCAAGTTAAGTGTCTGTCTATCTAAATAAAACTCTACTAACCATCTTCTTCATTGGCACTGAATTCTTTGTCTTCATCTTCAACTGTAGAAGATGAAGCATCCGAGGCCTCTTCTTCTGTTTCAACAACCTTTGCAAGGAAAAATAAGTCTATTTAAATATGTGAGAACTGAAAAAAAAAAAAATATATATATATATGATGCCATACTGAAACATCTGATGTGAACAGTGATGGACCACATTAATCAGAGAATTCTGACTAGGAGTCAATGGCTACGTAAACACTAAGGTTTTGGAGGTGACAACTGCATTTAGGGTGTGTTCAGACTTATAGTTTGGTTCGCTTAATCCAGACCAAAAAATAAATAAATCTTTTCAGCGATCTCAATCCTCTTGTTTGGTGCGCACCAGGGTTCGGATGGCAGTGTTAATTCTTATTCAAATGAACCGCACTAACAGAGCAATCACACCAGGGTTTGTTTTAATCGAACCAAACAAGTGTGAACACGCCCTTAAACAGTATTTAAAGGGTTAGTTCACCCCAAAATGAAAATTATCCACTGATTTATATAGAGAACTGGATTGCTCATGACATCATAAAAAGCGATTGTGGTGTTCTGTTCTTGGGTGTAATAACGAACACAGGAGTCATTTTAATGTTCCTAAATCCGAACTGCTGAAGACGCAGTGGCTGAGTTTGTTTTCGAAGGGAATATTCCCCACGAGCAACGTCAATGCTTTCATGTTTGCGCGAATCATTTCTCACCAGACTGCTTTATAAACGAGGGTCAGTATGAGCTGGTTTTGCTAAGAAGCTGCTCCTGAAAAAAGGATTGGTACCAGCTATTCGTGGTCCTGCTGAACCTCTAGAACAACTGAAGTGAGTGTAACGTTTTATTAAACTTTATATTAATATTTATATTAATCTTTGCAAATCGCTAGCTGCACGCTTCACAATGAATGCGTCTAAGGTTTACACTCAGGGTACATTACGGCATGTTTTCTATGTATGACGTTCTCAATATAATTCATAATCCCACGTTTATACTGAACAACGCGTTATGGTTATAGTGTTATAAACGGTGTACACACAGAACAGAGAGGCGGGGTGAGCAAAGCTCATTATCATTTAAAGTCATATGCACTGAAACGGCGTGCTGAAAACAGAGCTGTTTTTGACCAAGTAAAATAAGTGTTTTCTTACAATACTAATGAGAATTTTTAATTAAAGTATGTTCCAAACTTTTAATTTAGACCCTAAAGAATCATACTAGCTTGTACAAAAATGGCATCATATGACCCCTTTAAATATTAATTTTACCTCACATTATGCTATTGAATGACTTTAGAAGTCTTGGAATAAACTTGATTGTGCTTTACAATGTTTTTATGCCTTAACATAATAGTATGCACATTTTATGCCTTAACATAATAGTATGCACAATATCGGACCTCACGGAGAAGCTGCAGCCGTGGCGGGATGATTTTAGGTGTGGCGGCCCGCCACGGCAGAATGAATGTAGCGGAAACACTGATATAACATCTGAAGTAACAATTAATTTACATGCATATATCGTAAAACTAATCCTATGAGACTGAAGGCCTGTTCACATCGGGACGAATTTCGCGCGCGATATTCGCCGATGTTTAACGCCTCGTGACTAAACAAAGGGCGCCAATGTGAGAGTGCACACCGACGCGAAAAACGGTACGTGTAAAAGCGTCATTAAAAAAAAAAACGCCTCAGGTTCGTAGAGCTGCTGGTCTCGTTGGTGTCGGAACAAAGAACTATATGACAAACGCGACAGCAACTACAAAATAGGACTATTTCTGTTTTACATTAAGCGCCATCTAATGTCAGGGAATGAATTGGCATGTTCACTCGGCTCATCGTCAGCGAAAATCGCTTGGGTGTGAACACAGAAAACACGTTGAAAAACGCTGGCGAATAACGCGCGCCGATATTCGTCCCGGTGTGTACGGCCCTTAAGACACCAAAAATTGGGTGATTTCAGGTCAATGCTTTGGCTGTAAATCAATGTTGGTAGGGAATAGTAAGATGGCTGCTGGAACACTTCCGGTGGCTTCACCACCTGATGGCAGTTTAGAACGCAATGAGCAATCCAGTCATTTATATAGATCAGTGAAATTATCCCATAATTTACTCACCCTCAAGCCATCCTAGGTGTATATGACTTTCTTCTTTAAGCCAAACCCAATCTGAGTTATATTAAAAAATATCCAGGCTCTTCCAAGTTTTATAATGGGAGTGAATGGTACCTTAGATTTTGAAGAAAAAACCACATCCATCCATCCATCATTAAAGGGATACTCCACCGTTTTTGCATATATAAACTATGTTTAACACCTCCACATTTTCTCTATTTAAATACAGTTACACGAGTAGTGTAACTCGACCAAGAATGGTGACACAAAATAAAATGTTAAAACGGAATACCATAGCAAGTGCTTGGGAGCACTTCGACTCGGCGCAGTAATATCATCACTCGTGAAAAATCCTCTCCCCCTCTCCCTCTCCGGAGTGATGATATTACTGCGCCGAGTCGAAATGCTCCCGAGTCGAAGTGCTCCCAAGCACTTGCTATGGTATTCCGCCATACTTATAGTTATCCATTTTACACGCTTAGAAAAGCGCAACGTTTTATTTTGTCACCATTTTTGGTCGAGTTATACTACTCGTGTAACTGTATTTAAATAGAGAAAACGTGGAGGTGTTTGGTCGCTTCTCTGCTTGGATCCTAATGAATGAAATGGGCTAAGCTAAGGGCTATCAAAGTTTCGCCGCAAGACAGAGCGATTTAGTGCACGCACTGAGACGAGAGAGGTATGCATCAACTCGTCTTAGTTAAGGGAATAACAGTTTAATATGAAAAAACGGTGGAGTATCCCTTTAAAGTAATCAATACGCCTCCAAAGGGTTAATAAAGGCCTTCTGAAGCTAAGCAATGATTTTTATAAAAAAAGTATCCATATTTATAACTTTATAATTTATAATCAATGGCTTTCGGTAACGGCTGTATGTTAGTCAAGTTCCGGTGGAAGAGTGACTTCTGACCCGACTTATGATGTAGGAGTAGAAAATAATTGTCGTTTTAGGCTTCTAATTCATGACCGGTGTTTTGTTTTGCTCTATCCTGTGCTTCTGCATTCGTCAATGCGCCGGGTTATATTTCACTCTTCCGCCAGAACAATACTCACTTACGGCCATTACCGAAGCCATAGATTATAGTTTATAAAGTTATAAATATGGATATTTTTTTTAAATACAAAAACCGCTTCAGAAGGCCTTTATTAACCCCCTGGAGCCGTATGGATTACTTTAATGATGGATGGATGTGCTTTTTTGGGCATCAAAATCTAAGGAACCATTCACTCCCATAATAAAGCTTGGAAGAGCCAGGATATTTTTAATATAACTCAGATTGTGTTTGGCTGAAAGAATGAAGTCATATACAGCTAGGATGGCTTGAGGGTGAGTAAATTATGGGATAATTTTCATTTTTGGGTTAACTAACCCTTTAACTAGATTGCATGTGACCAATGAGTGTTGGAGTTGATCCTGGGAGATTGCTGTACCTGGGGGAGAGTTAAAGTACTGAGTAGCTGGTCCAGAGGCAGAGTGCCCTCCTCCCTCAGTAACTCTATCTCTCGCCTTTGTGTCTCTGCATCATTCCCCTCTTGCTGCTCCTCTACCTCTATGGTCTCTTCATCATCATCCTCCTCACAAGGTGGCTCAAAGTCTCTATCTGCAGCAGAAAATTGACAATTTATGAACTAACTTTCCTTAATTGTGGTCAAAACATTTCAAACCATAACAAAAACAAACAAAAGTCAGTCCTCACCATCATCATCAACAGCATTCAGCTGTGGTTCTTTTGAGACAGCTGCAGTGTCTGAACTTTGTTCAGGAGCGGCATGCAGGGACTGACTTAACAAGTCAGAGTAACGCTCTGTCTGACCCACAATGAAATCCAGCTGGAGATCTAGGGCCTTCTTCCGCTTCTCCTCCAGTCTGGACTGTTGTTTATACTGGACCACCTGTGTACAGCAATGGGCGGGAAACAGTTAAAGCGTGAATCATTTACAGTCTTTAGTAGGGGTGTAACGATACACAAACCTGACGGTTCGGTTCGTCCCACGGTTTTGAGGTCTCGGTTCGGTTCGGTTCATTTCGGTGGGGTGGGGGGGGGGTTTAGAAAGCTAAAATTGCTTTTATTTTTTATTAAACAGTGCTTTAATGAACAAATTGTGTCCTTGTCTTTAAATTAATTCAATTACAAGTAAACATTTCTCAAGGATAACAAAATTATCTGCTAATGCTGTAAACTACAGCCCTTACTTGCACATTACTATAACATTAAAGCTTAACAACAAAGCCTAGACTTTTAACCTAAATGATATAATAATAATCAACACTCAAATAACAAATTGTATGAAAACATGTAAACTGCATAAGGCAATTTTGCATTAACATGTTTTTACTCTAATTTGTTATTGTCATATAATAATTTACACAGTTGCTGTTATTTTCATGACTATTTTAAACATACATTAAATAATCAAGATATCATAAACAGGTTAAGTAAAATATAATATATAGGCTAATATATAGCATTTATTTAGTGAAAGAGTTAGCAAACCAGCAAGCTGTGGACACTGAATGACTTGCCTGAGGTAACAATATAAAGCTATGTGAAAAACTAAGCGTTTTATTGACGTATTTCCGCTGTTGAAACACTGATTGAGTGTTTACACGAGTTATGATGCCTTTCAGTAAGTATACTGTATCTTTCAACATACCTTCGGGTGTCCATTCATGTTTATTCTGTAACTGAGGAAGAGATGATCGCGCTCCGCACTGCCGCATGCATACAGTGATATCTGTCACGCCACATCTAAGAGCGCCAAAACGGCATTTATTGTTTGCATTTCATGATCAAATAGACGTAATTTGAAAGATTACACCTTGCTTATTATCAAAAGTAACAAAACACTGAGCTTATTGCGATTATATGTGGTTAATGGTGGTTAGGCAACAGCCCTGTGCAATGAGCCGGGGCTGGGCGGGGCAGCAGGGGGCGGGGCGTGCTCGGTTCGCCATGAGAGTATCGCGATACGTATCGTGGGTGGTGTATCGCGGTTTTTCGGTTCGGTTCAAATATCGTTACACCCCTAGTCTTTAGTACAATAGATTTTGTCCAAAAACAAAAAAACAGTGAAAGTCACCTTCTCAACGCTGCTCCAGAAGGCACGGACCTCCTTGGCAATAGAAGAAGCAACTCTCCTCAGTTTGGCCTGCTCCTCACGTTTCGCTCTCTCTTCCTTCTGCCTCAGCTCCTCATGGTGGCGCATCACCATCCGTACTACCTGAAAATGAGTTCAGACCGGTAAGATTTTCTAAATACAAACAGCATATTTCAAATAGAATAGCCTGAATGTAACATTTACCTTTCGGGCCACTCCTCTTTTCCATCGCCTCTCTTGTGCAAAGTCTGCAGAGAGCCACTGCATTTCCTCACAGAGGTAATCCCAATGAACTTTTGGCCGTACTGGTTCGGTTATACGAGACAGGCGTTTTAGGGACCAGAAACCTTCACGTTTCAGTGCAAGGGTTCGATGTTCTATTTCTGCTTCCTGTTAAAAGTAAAAATAAAAAAATAAAAAACAAGAATAACGTCCACTTATGAATGTCAATCACTGTTTCAGAGAGTAAATTATGTAATTTGTCCTTCACTCACATGCTTTGCCAGTTCTGCCATGTCTGTGTGCTTCGGGGTGGATTTCAGGGTGGTTGTTTGCTCTGACTGAGAACAGCATCCAGAACCCTGGGAGGAAGTGGAGGGCATGTTTTTGCCATGAGAGTTGAGTACAGGTGAGCCTCTGCCTGTGTGAGAACGCATCCAGTCACCGGATGAGGGAGATGGAGATGGACATGGAACGGGGGAGGAGGAAGGAGTAGAGACTGCTGTAACCTTGCCTGCAATCCACTGGCAAACCTTGGGACAGACAAATAAAACAGTGTATCTGACTGTGACAGCGCAGTATTATTCAGCGTAGAGTACAAAGGAGAGATAGAGTGACCCAGAAGAGATAAAAAGAGCTTCATAAAAACCGGAAAGTCTACAAGGACATCTTGGTGAGCAAACATCTTACAAGATTTCTCCTTATTTCTAAATAATACATGCTACTCTAGGTGATCAAAACAGTTTCATACACTCAGCTCTATTTTCCTTCCAGATTGTACTTGAATTTATTTTTATAAATGTAAGAAAGTGAGTTGAAGCAGTGACAGACCGATATATATTCCAGGTCAATTACCTGGCCATTTTGAGATTTTTGGCATCAGTCAGAAACCATGCCAGCTTGGCTGATTGAACACACCTTTACTTTCCCCCTTTTTATGAATTTAAATATTTGGTCAAATAAATGTTCACTTTGTCAGCATATTTGTTAAGAATAAATTGTATTAGCCTACATAGTATATTCTGAAACCTATATCGGTCAACCACTAGTTGGAAGAAGCAGGATCATCGCATCAATTTGCAACGATCAGATTTGAAGGATGCCTGACACCTCTTACCTTCAATAACAAGCCTTGTCTGTCTGTCCTGCTCTGCCCATGCTGGAAAACACACATGGCTTAATATACAGCCAAGAAGTGTACTAGCATCAGACTATGGCTTTGAAACTGTTATGGACTGTGTACACAGGCTATCTGAATTATAAAAACACTTTTGCTGACTAACTCTGATGCCTCAATGTGACTAAACATGAACAATGATGTAGCAGTGATCTCAAGTCTAATTTGTTGTATTCGATGTACAACTCATAACAGTTAGGTTGCTTTTACCTTGTTCGCTGCTGGACTGGACATAGCATTGCTATCCTCATTCTGGACCTCCATAGAGCTGTCAACCTCTCCGTCGCTGCTCTCTTCTACAGAAGCATCAAGTGGCTCCAGGATGGTGTGTTGAACATTTTGCATTGTTGACAAAAGTTTGTCTGGTAACTGATGCTGCTCCAACTCCAGTTCACCTCCCAAAGACATTGAATCTTGGCATGGTGTAGCGGCCGATGACGGTTTACACTTATTCCCCTCGGGGACAACACTGGATACGGTACCACACACATCACCAGTAGATAGAGTAAGGTGGCTTTGTGTGTTATGGAGTTGTACTGAAGCTGATGAAGTGTTAGCAGGGGATTCATTTTGAAGCATCTTGCCAGAACTATTTGATTTATTTACGTTTTCTTTCACAGATCTGTTCTGTGAAAGTACATTAGAAGTGGAAACAGTCTGAGAAGACAAAGAGAAAGTGTTTGAGACAGGGCGGTCAGCAGGTAACGTGGCATCCTCCTTTACTGTGGGAGATGCAGCTGTATCAGTTTTAGCAAGGCACTCTGAAGCTTTATTTAATCCATCACTGGGGGATCCAGCCTGGACAAGGGAGTTCTGATTGGTTGAGATCCTTGCTGACAGAGAAGAAGGTTGCTTAAGGGCAGGGTTGTCACCCTTCTTTAAGATCAATAGCATTGGGTCAATCGTGCCACAAGATAATGAAATTAATGACACACCTTGTGTGTTTTCCACTACATCAGATTGTTGCTGCTCTTGCACAGAGTTAAGCGTGACATCCAACACTGTGGACGTTAACCCTGTTAATGTGTTCGCAAGATCAGTGGGACTTGAATCATCATGTTGCTTGACAATTATAGATCCTTCTTTTTGCATAGAAGGTATGGTCCTTAAACCTCCTGTGGGTTTGAGTATATCAGAATGAGTCCCTAGATTACTCTGGGCTTGTGAATCTTGCGTCAGTGTTTCCATTGGTTCCTCCTCTTCTTTGTCAGTTAACAGGAGCTTAACTTCACTGTGAATGGCAGCGGATGTAAAGCAGGGCACAGTGCATTCATATACAGCAACAGTTGACTGGGATTCGGGGCACTGCACCAGAGACTCCTCGCTGACCTCCATCTCTGCATGCTCGGACTGCCCGTCTATCTCACTTACAACCAGCCAAGTATCCTCCAAATCTGGCTGCATTAAAATACCTGCATCAATCAAATCTTTCACCTTGACAGCATTGAGAGCCTCTGCACTCACTTCCTGCCTTTCTTCCACAGTCACGATATCTGGGTTGTCATTCAGGCATATCTGAATTTGTGAGAGTTTATGATCTGCTGGAATGGACTCTTGTACTTGTTGGACCATAAAGTCAGAAAGATTTGGCTGATCTGATTCTTGACCCTCTAAAGTCACACAATTCTCCATGTGAGCGAGCAGCATGCTCCTATCCTGTTGGTGATTTGAGGACATAGATATTTCTATTGGATTGGCACTGTCATTCTGCTTCAAAATCGCATCAGAAGAGCCGCAAACCATGACTTGTGACCTTTCACTCACAATGGAGACCTGTACATTGTCAGTGCATGTCACATGCCCAGACAGCTTTGGTTCATCAACAGAAATGTTGTGAAATACTTCTTTAGCAGCCACGTTACAACACAGATCTCCATCAACAGGGACTTTCTTATTGCCTTGTCCCTCCCTTGCACTAGTCTCTTTACCCAACAGAAAATTTTTTGGGGTTTCACTTACATGTACATACTGAGAGCTTAGCTCTTGCACACACTTTGTATTCTCAGGCGGGGTGGGCACGCCAGGTGTTTTATGAAGGGGGCTTGTCTTTTGTGTAGCCCTTTGTGTTTTACTGCAGTCCTCTGAGGGATAACAGCTGCCCTTATCTGAGTCATTTTGCATGCTATTTCCACTCTCAGGGGTAATGTGCTGCCCCCCTTGATTTGATGATGAATATCCTGAGCAAAGATAATTTCCGCGAATACCTTGTTTTGTTCCCTCAGCTGACAAGTTTTGTCTACCTGGACTAACGGCACCTTCTTTGTTTGTTTTAGGCAGATCTTGTGTGAAAACTTCCATAGCCTCCTTAGAGTCAAGTTTACTAGCCTGCTTCGCTGAATTTGTCGTATTTTGTTCTTGTAGGACCTCAAATGCAGATGAGGCGGCAGTCTGATTTGTCTGAAAAAGGGGAGTTGTTTGAAGCTGCTCCATGTCTCTGTCTGTAGTCTTAACTGCACTCGAGACTGGTGGCATGACTTCTGTTCTTGGATCACAGGGGCTTTCTCCAAGTGTGTGCTTTCCACACATGTTCTTGTAGTCCAATTTGATTGTGTCTGGAGGCAAGGGTCCCTTTTCTGCCTCAATAGGGGCAGTAACACCCCCTGCATCTCCAGGGTGTTGGCTCCAATCTTGGCAGTGGCCTGTGCTGGATCCTTCCGCCATATCGACCTCCCTGTATGCAAGGCTCGATTGCTTTGTGTTACACCCGTAAAGCAAATCCTGTTTTTGCCCAATACTATCAGTCCCGCTTTCAAAAAGTTTGTCTGAGGGAGTCTGACCCTCCAATGCGTCTGTAAGCTTTTTTGAGTTTTTATCAGTAGCTGACACCAGTCCTCTTTGGACCGCCAGTATCTCCTCGGGTTCCTTGATGTCGCAGCTTCGTTGAACGCGAGCGATGGTCTGTTCTTTACATGCAGCCTTTGAGTCTCCTTTCTGCTGCTGAGATCCAGTGCCGATGTTAACCGATGACGGTGGTAGAGTGGCAGCTGCGACTGGCTGCAGGGCATGCTGGGGTGGCCCAGCCACATTCTGCGCAGCCACGGAGGTGCCACCCAGCACAGCCACTGCCGGACAGGTGTGCTGCTGCACCGCCTCTTCCCCAGACTGCCCTGCTTCAGAACCAGCAGTGCTACACACTGAACCTGAAAGAACAGTCAGATGTTGAAATGAACATCTAAACCAATAAAATACCTATGTGAAATCTGCTGACATTTTTTGTCTAATATTCATTTTTGTTTCAAGATTATTTTTTCAAGCAGTATTTAAACATGGTGAGCAAAAGCAAGGGGTGGAAGATTTTAAAAAATGTATGGGTGACAGACATTAGTTTTGAGGAAAGTGTGTAATTCTACTACAGCTTCACATTCCATGTGGGCCTGCATATAACTAAAAAGGAATAAAATGGCTAAATACCTCTATGTGATGAAGCACCAGTCTCTTCCGTGATTTCCACTTCCAGGATGCTGAGATCAAGGGTACCGCTGCATCTGAGGGTCTAAAGATAAACATTTAGAGTGAATTTCATGAATGTAACATCAAATATATTATCCTGAAGATACAGCAAGTGCATAATGCCACATGAGATAAAAACGTGTTTTTTAGAATGCAAATTATAGATGAATTAGCTGCAGAAGGACTATGTAATCTCCTTAAAACCCTATCTATTCTATGTGGTCGATGGTTAAAACGCAAGTGCAGCGAAATAATTTAGAGCAAACTCGGGTAAATGGTGTTTATTGGCAGTACTCTTTTTTAGAACGATAGGAAATGCATAAGTATCGCTAATATTAATTCTTTAAAACTGCCGGCTTCTATCGAGCATATACTAAACGAAATACAATATTGTGGTTTGAACAGGAACAATGACTCCCCACACCTTTTAAAACACATCTAATCACTTGAAAGTTAAAAAGAAAAACTGTTGTATAGCCGGACAAACAGTCTCATTCGGTACAATAGTGCGGGTGCTTCACGTTCAGCTAGCCTTTAGCGACGAGTTACAGCTTGTTCGGACGTTATTCTCCCACGATTGTTCATAAACTTCAGAAGATAGTATGGCGGTTAACGTGTAATATCGAATACAGATAACGAATACAGCCGGCAGTTATGTATACATGAGGCGGGCGCACACACATGGGCCTTTAGCAGGCTAGCAAGCAATGCTAATAGCTTATAGACATTGCAATGGAGCCGACAGACACGATAACGTTTAATTTGTTATAGGCGATTACATGACAGGGAGCTACATTCTTTGACTGTTTTGTGTAATAGTGTGTCAGAGGGTGTCTGTTATTATCTAATTTTCTGACTCAGACAAACACATTTATATTTATATATATGTATATTATATATAAATAACGTTACACACACCGTCTCAAGCTCTCACGCACGCGCTGAAAACACTGCTCGAGCAAAGAGCGCGCGTGTATACATCGGCTTCCATGAGAAGTTATGCAATGATCAAGAATAAACTATATCTCATCATTATCCATATCGATGGTTTTTAAAGACTTGTCAAAAACAAACATATTATTGTATATGTATTATAACACCCATTACAGGAACGACGTCTTGACGTCACTGCGCGGGGTCACGCTACACAAAAATGCCAGTCAACTTGCGATGCCCGATTCGCGAACAAGTCGTTCTTTTGAGTCGGATCTTTTCGAAATGAAAGTTAGTTTTCTACCCGATTGTTAATACAAAAAATTACGTTATGTAATCGTATGAGAGTTTTATAAACAAGTATACGGTCACGTAATTGTTTGACAGTTCGATCAACACGCAAACGAAACAGTTACAGTTTTTATTTTAAATAAATAACATTTTAGCATTTGATTAAAACCTTTGTAACCTATTTGACAAGATATGAGTGCATTTCAGTACTATTTAATGTATCCAATATTATATTTAGGGTCCAAATAACTTGCAATTACAAAGGTAATACACAGCTAAATGTACCTACATGTAGCTTTATTAGGGAAGTTATTTAGGGACAACTGGATGACAAAGAATCACTGAGTCGGTTCCTGAGTCGTTTTTTTTGCTCAAAAGAACTGATGCGCAGAAATGAGTTGGACTTTCCATCCCTACAGTCAATAATTCTACATTCTGTCATGCTAACTATATACTGGATTAACTTTATCTTCATGACTCATAGCAGTGCATTGGTTGATATGACATTTTATATGAATAACTGCTTTAACTAAGGACACTTAAAACGTACTGGAGGATAAAGTAAAATGCACAAAATAACAACTTGGTTGTTGTTGCACTAGCAGTGACAGATGACAGTTTCGTTTCCAGCTTGCCCTCTCAAAAGTGTGCGGTACAAAAGGAAACCGGAACCTATCTGACTTGCTACGGATTTGGGTACAATTCTGTATTTTGCAATTAAATTAGACCATACGGAGGTAGGTGCAATGATACAAATGTGCAGTTGATCCAAATCGAATCAGTTCAATAAAGGCCGTACTTTACTCTTAATCTTACACAACCCATACTTTAAGCACCCGACCGCTTGAAAGTCAACTTGTCCCGCCATGTCAAAATCCCCCCCAGTGACCCCCTTACCCTCCTCCCCCGCCCTCTTCTATCACTTCCTCCCCAGCATTCCCCCCTCCTCTCACCACCGCCATCTTAAGTTCCCACCTACCTGAAATTTCCGAGCACTTTTCTTTTACTAAATTCTCGCTGAAGGAGTCGCCATCCGCTTCAAATCGTACTCAATCCGTGTTGAGACTATTCCGAACTGTCTCTCGGTACCCAGTGAGGTACTGGCAGGTTCGTAGGATCAAGTTAAAGAACGGTCCGAGAGAGACTGGGTCCGGAATCGCTGAATCTAGCGGTTGCGGGGAGGAGACTTTCGACGCAGCGAAATGGAGGAACGAGCGACTGCTGACCAAGTTGCGGAGCGAATAGACATCTCGCGAGACGTGCTTCAGCGCACACTTCACTCACTGCAGGCTTCTGAGACTGCAGATACCTCAGCCGCTACTGAAAGTTCAATTTGTTTTTCTATTTCTAACAAATCCAAGACTTGTTTGCACGGAACTTTATAACACATATTTGGTTTTTCAAACTAGTTTTTAAAATATTATCTCACTGCCTGACTGGCAGCAGTTTGACAAGGTAAACATTATTGATGATTCTATTCACTACTTTTAGATTCATTTTAAGAAAGTTTTTATCCACAGACAATAACATATTATGCTAACAATTATGACTCGATATACACTTTCAGATCTCTTGAATTTTACTTATGGTGACAATTAATGTTTACTGCACATAGGCCACATTAATTAAAAGAACATATGCAAAGTTTAGTCAGATAAGTCACAATTTGGCTCTGAAATAAATTGAGAAAGGACAGTAATTCACCATGCATCATTTATACTTGCGCAATGAATCAATACACTAACACATGTAAATAACCAACCATTTGTTTAATAATTAATCTTTGTTTCCCTTTTCAAGGGGGAAAGGGACATATTTAAAATGTATAAAATTGTTTTGCTCAAATAATTAATCCAGAATGTCCTGTATCTCAAGAGTATTTCTAATCGTATAGTTTAGCTGCAAGTACAAGACGTGCACTCCTTTTGTCCAGTCAACAGATGCCTCTGTGCCACTCGGTGTGTTTGGATGATGGTTGTTGGAGACTTCCAAAGGCTTCAACTGTGGAAAACATAGACATAACACACACACACTTCTCTCCCAAAGTATGAAGATATACAATTCTCTGAACTGTATAGGCTGGCTTTGATACATCCGCAGCACATTGACTTGAACATAACCAGCAGTATATTGGAGCAAAATATATCACTGGAGTGCTTTGCTGGACAATAATCATATCTCTGACTTATTTCAACAAGTGAGTGCATTTGGTAAGACCTGAAACATGACATAACATAAACAGTGAATATATTTATTATGGAAAGTAATTAATGTTAACAATAATTATTACAAAAGCAATATCACTATTCTACTATATTCTGACCCAGCTCTTGTACCGAGTCAGACTAATGAATGGGAGACAGTTCTTTCCCTTTAAATTTTAAAATATTATCCAACAAGATGTACATACAGTTCATAATAACTTTTTTTTTTAAAGAATAAAATAAATCTTAAGTTCATTCTGATGTTAATGGAAGTTGTCTGATGGATGACTTGAATATTTAAAGCAGAATGTGGACCAAGTGTTTCTTTTAATTCATACATTTGTCAACAGTGCTGATTCAGACAATGAGAAGTAATTGATTACTTCAGCCAGGGTCTGATTTCTCTTTCTTCAAATGCGAAGCGGAGGACAATAACTCTACAAGGGTTTCTTTGAGTTCACAAAGACAAACAGGTTTGCAATTTTTTTATCCACCACTTTTCAACATAACTTGTCTTCATATTATTAGTAGCAATGAATTGTCTTTGAGCATCCACAGGCCTCTTTTTAAAGAAAACCCTACATAAAAATCAGGCCACAGCAAGAGAGTACCTAAATTGCACCAACATAACCACAGTGGATAAATGTATCAAACAGCCCCGGGTAGTGTCTCCGTTCCCTCCCCAGGTTGTTTCAATACTTGTGTATGGTCATTGAAGCTTAACTCTTTTTGAATGTCCTGCAGAACCTTGCCATGTGAGGAGCAGTTTCTTCACCAAAGTAGTTCTGGAAGCTCCTCAAGCTTTACCTAGTACTATCTCGACTCGCCATCTTTATGTGTGGTAAAAAGGGCCATGTCTCCAGCCCCACCAAGTCTGGAGCCACGGGGTGGAGTAGAAGATCTGTTAACAGATGGAATGAGAGGTGGTGGAGCCCCAACTGACAATGCCCCAACTAGACCTGGATTCTTGGTTAGAATGCCATTAGGTACATGAGAGTGTGAATGCAGAGGTCCAAGTCTAGAGTAGAGGCCAGGGTGATGTGATGCTTGTGCTCCAGCTGGATGGAGATGAGAGTGAGAAAGTAGCCCGGCATGAAGCTGTTCAAGGTGGGCAGCATGAGATGGGCTAGGAAGGTGAGGGGCAGACAGATGCGGATGTGAATGCATCCCAAAGTACCGTGCTCTCTCAAAGTCTTCGCGCAGTATCTGAGCACGTTGTTCCTCTTCAAACGGGTGGGGCATCAAACCAAACTCTGACCTGCCTGCTGAAGCAGAAGACGTAGAGGTAGGTACTTGTGAATGGTGCGGGCTGTTAGCCACAGCGGCCGCAACTGCAGCTCTCTCAGCCTCCAAAAATCGCTGTACCTGCTGATGCTGGAGAAGTCTAGACAAGTGTGGATCAGAGCGAAGTGCAAGGTGGTGATCTGACCTCAGAGTCAATACTTCCCTGCGTTGCTGCTGATGTTGGGCAGCCAGATCCCTCCAAGGGTCCCAGGGAAAGCTGTGAGTGGCTTGGGCATGACCTTGCGGAGGACCATGTGGATGGGGTGGAAAACGTTCAGCTGCAGCACCTAATACCAGTCCGGCTGAGCCTCCAGCACCACCGAGATAGGCATCAATGGCCCGTGAACGATCTAAAAGGGACAGATGATGATGATGATGATGATGATGGGGAGGGTGTGGAGTTGCAGGAGGAAGAGACATGCCAGGTGTAGGTGTCAATGAGAGGGTTGAGGAAGGGGTGGATGGATGGTGTGTGTGTCGACTACTGGGCCGTTCAAAGTTGTGTTGAGGTATGGCTTGATGCGGTATGGAGATGGGCACTGGCTCAGGCTCCTCTTTACGCTCTTCTTTGACCTTGACTTGGGGGAGAAGCAGCCCAGAGGTTAGACCAAGTACAGGCTTGGATACGGGAGTTGTGGTCCGATCAGGTTTCTTTACTGGAAGCGAACTAGAAGAGGAAGAGGCTAGACCATTGTTCTCTCTTTGCAAAGAGTGACTTGATTCAGTGCTGAGTGTGTGTGGTGGCTGTCGGTGAAATAGATCCAGAGGAGAAGAAGCTAAGCGGACATTAGAAGGAGAGTTTGTGAGAATAGAAGATGTTGAAGATCGAGGTCTGTCCGGTGCTGTGGAGGAAGCCGACGCTGGTGTCCTGGATGCAGAATGTTGTCTCTTGTCTGACTCTCTTTCTCGTTCACGCTCTCTGCTTTGGCCATCTGAAGGGACCCCACCTACGCTCAGTGGACCCAAGCCATTCAAATGTGAACTGGGGGTGTTGCTGCGGTGCCTGAGGGATGGTACACCAGGTGACATTCGCACTGGTGGGCGTCCATACATGAGACTGTCTCTGTGTGAAACAGTGTTAAACCATTTAGGTATGTGTCAAATTGAGAGACACAATACATAATTCACATTTGATCTTAAAAGCCCCTAATGACAACAAACCATTTAAAGTCAACGTGAACAGAAATGTATTTTGTTTTAATGTCATACCTGTCCTTTTCGTCTTTTATATGAGTCAGCTCTCTTTTCTCCACTTCCTTTCCTCGATCATCTTTTTTCTCTGGTCCTTTGGCCCAAGACGATCCAGAGGGGAAAGAGGCAGGGGTAACATGCAGACGATTCCATGGATCATGGGGGTTACCTAATCCTCCAACCGCATTTGCAGAGGGCTCGGTCTTATGTCCAAAAACACTGGCCGCTAAAAGGAAATGTGTCAAATTTGATGACTGATAAAGCAGTACTTAATTAACATTTGAGAAACCTTTTAATTAAAATGCTTAAGAAATGTTATAAAAACAGATTCTAGTTAAAGCAGTGGTTCTCAACCAGGGGGCCTCAGCAAACTGCCAGGGGGGCCTTAAGATGACTTAAAATGGTTTAAAATGAGACAAAACTAGCTTTACAATGACACAAAAACTAAAAACACTAAAAATAAAGATATGTCAGATTTTGATTCACCCCGCAACAACTGTTTTTTTCTTTTTCTTTAGAGAACCAGGATTTCCTTGATGTATGAGGAAGCCTAATTTTAAAACTAATTTCTCAACCTGGAAATGTCATGTAAACTGGTGAAACTCTATGGGCATTTTATAATGAATATCCATACATATCCATTTTCTAGTGATGCCAAGCTCTGTAATATTTTGTTGAGTACCAATTGTGAGTAAGTAAAACTTATTTTTTTACAAATCTTTATCCAATAAATCACAAAAAAGTGATTCTCAATCTTTTTGACTCCAGGGCTAAGTAAGAGAAATCCTACTGATTAATACATCTCCATAAAAATAAAAATAAAACAGCATGACAAACCTATTGTGGGGCTGCCTAGGCCTCCAAAGGCACCAGAACCCAGGGCTCCCAAAGAGGAGAAGGGAGGTGAACGAACATATGGTTCTGCAACAAGAAACATGGCTGTTAGTGATGATGAAATCAGACATCATTGTTCTACTAAAAGAGAAAATTATGCTCTACAAAGCTAGCGAGTGAAGCAAGCCTGAAGAACAGAGCAAAAAGAGCAGCATGGGTAACATTGGCTTTTGATGCCCCTACTTTCTCAGAGACAGTCTCTTACCCAGATGTGCTGCTGGGAGGAAAGAGTGGGGCGTTGATGGAGACATGAATGGTGTGGAGGACGGATTGACTCCACCTGAGAAGACATAGGTCAACTCAGACAAAAGCTTAAACACCCATAAATGGACTACCATTGAGTGTTGACATTTAGCCAAGTATGTGCCTTAAATACTCCTTAAGTCTAATGTAAAAGCTTTGTATGACAGCACAGTAGTGCTCTAAAAATCCTTCAGTAGTGTTGTCAAAGTGTCTTGTATCTAAAAACTATTAGGCCATCTTTAATAATATTTTGTTTAGCATTAACAGCAAAAAAAAAAAAAAGGGTAGGTAGGTCTATATATATATTTTTTTTTTTTCAAGAAATTTTGGTCATGGTGATTACGTAGGTATGAATTTAAACAAATTTGCATATTGTGACATCACTGACTGGGTCTTCAACCTGTGCCTTCGGGTGCACCATTGCAAACCTCATTCTTATGCAGGTTATATATAGACCACAAACAATTTGAAATCAAAAAACATGTTTATTGCATTAATTCCAGTTGCATTCATTTGAGAAAAAAAAAATGAGGCAGAATCAAGAAGTCACTAGATTTCAATGAAAGTGGATTTTCAGAGGGAAACAAATAAATTAAAATGACTTTAATGTGTTACATTTGGGATGTTTACATCCATAAAACATAATTTCAAAGGTGTTACTGGTTACTAGGTTATACTGTTTTACTTGCATCCACCGCTAGGTGTCAATGGCTGGGCTGTCACTTTTGTGAAAAAAATCCTGTTTGATTTTTGAGACAAGTGTTCATTGAATCGATTGTAAAATCGATTTTTCATGTCTAAAGACGTTTCCATTTTCAACGCCAAATATAGGCAATTCCATGGACAACTAACAAGCATTAGGACGAACGTAAAGAGGGCGCTTGAGACGCGCACAAGTCAGCAATATTTCTGATGATTTATTGGCGTGAAGTTTCGTGCACAATGACAAACAGGAGTGCAACATTCTCGGGGGAAAAAGCCGCAGCTATCATTACCAAGCTCGAACCATTGACAGTGAATGAAACAAAGCGAACGTACAGGCCATAGTGTGACATGCGTAAACCAATGGTGTAAACATAATCATAGATGACACCACGGGTTTTTATGGCAATTTGTATTCACAATACTTACTACAATATAATTAATATTATTTAACTGCATTTGTATTAGTTGTCTTAACGCAAGTTTACGACCGGCAAGTCCTAAACTGACATGGTCGGTCGGGTTATGGCAAACAAGAATATTTTTAAGGATGGCCTTATTTAGGTGGAAACAACTCATTTCAACAGGTTAAGAATAATCACAGGCTTATGTCACCTGCAAAATTCCTAAATTGGTTGCAGCAAGTGTAAGGAGTATCACCCACCAGCGGCTGCAAACAGGCTTCCTGGCCTTGTAAGATCATGATTTGGGGTAAGGGGACCACCAAGTGGTCCTAGACCTCCTAGTCCACCAATACCAGGGCCAGGGAGTCGAGGCAATGGGTCATTACGGAAGTCAAGCTTTTGTGGATCAGCGTGCATAAGCTGAGGAAGATGGTGACAAAGAGAAGGTCAACAGGAGTGACACCACTGTCTAAAAAACATTTATAAAATCGAATTGCTTCATGGTCAAAAATTTGATTGTACATTAATATACATTTTTATAAAATACTATTAAATATTTCAACCAGTCGATAACCCATTTTTTGAAATGAAAACACAGATGAACGCAAAAACCTTGACTTTTTCTTGATGCCTTAGAATCATCCAAGCCACACGGACATGCATAGCGCACCATTTTCCAGGTTTCTGTAAAGAGACCGTCTATGTACAGTTAGAAAGGAATTCCCCGCTACTCATTTAGAGGTCAACAACTAAAATAAATCAAGTACAAAACAAGAGTAAAACTTACATTACTGACTTTTGGTGGTGGTGCAAATGGGTCTGTTATCTGTGGACAGAAACACAAACACCATATATTATTCGAACTAAAGTTTCTTGATAATGATGTATGATACAAATGTATATGATACATGATACAACATCTTTACCCTTGCTTTAGGTTGCAGATGGGGCGGTACAACTCCCAAACCAGAAGTCATCTCTGGAGCAGCTCCCTGAAGGGCAACAAGCTGTCAATAACAACACACTATTCAAACCCACTTCATGGACTCAAAATAAAAACAGGGCAAAAAGTGGTGCCGTTGCTGAAGCGGCTGAGAAGGGTCCGCTGTCATCATACAGTACGAGAGCGGCCTCTAAAGGCAGAATCACTGATGCCTCGTGTTGCTTGTTTTGACAGGCGAGGCTGCGCGCTGCACGGACAGCACACTGCGCAGAGAGCACTGACACTTCAGATGCGCATTTAAAAGACAGACAGCGAAACGGTATGAATACAGAACACTAAAGTACATGTTGCCATATCTTTATAAAGTAATTCATTTGCTGACTAGATGCTGCATTAGCAGAGAAAGAACAGCAGTATGTTTGTTTGCCGTCAAGGCTGAGAGGACGCTAACATTAGTAGTACTAGTACCTCAAGCGGTTAAAACAATGTGTTTATAAAACAATAAATCTAATCCGACCCAAATGTTTAATGTCGCAATTGTTACCACCTATTTGGATTAGTTTATATCCGGCTGGTCACTTTTATGCATTTATTAGCCGGTGAAATTGCATATTTAAAGCTATTGACGTGAGAAAGCAAATTGATATGTTCATGCAGCCAACAGAAACATTCAAAACATCAGAAACGGATTTGATTTCAGTTCATTTTTATCATCACTGCAATACATAGTTTGTTATTTTGATTAGATAATCATCAAGTGTTCTAAAATAGAAGCAGATTAAGTGCGAGACTATAGATATAATATTCATTTATGTCATTTCAATGCTATGGCCTTTGTGTAAATATTTAAAGATGGCCATCTTTAAGCATGACTGTTTGGATTTATATGAAATGGCAATAATTTACAATAAGATTCTATTTGTAACATTAACTAAGGCTACTAAATGCTGTATAAGTATTGTTCATTGTTAGTTTGTTAATTTCAACATTTACTAACACATTTTTAAATTAAGTTAATTTTTATTTGATCTGTTAACCTTAGTTAATGCACTATGAACTAACATGAATGATCAAGGTACCATTGTATAGCTCAAATAGTAATACATGCTGTAAAACATTATTTTGGATAATGCATATAGTTCATGTAAGCTAGCGAATATACATCCTTGTTAACAAATGGGACTTGCAAAGTGTTACCGATGACATTTACATATATGTTTCTAGGTTATAAGCTAAAGAAACACACATTTGACCTGTAATATTTTAATGTTTAAATTATTTTCTGTAGAACTTCTCATTTTAATATATTCATATTTATATATTTATTTCATTTAGCACATTTTCATGGTTCAGAACTGTTTTTCTGAAAAACAAAGCACTGTTTATTTCATTTGTATCTTTGCTCTATAGTATTTTTTTTTATGCAGATGCACTCCCCTACAAAAATCACCCCAATCATTCTAGAATGATTACTTATTTTTTTATTATAATTATATCAGCCAAAATTGTTTGAATCTCGCCATATATTGCAGAAAAACAAAATATCGTTGTTTTTTTCCAATATCGTAGCCCTACTTCACAGGTGGGTCATTCATAAAGTCCTTTCAAAGACAGTTTCAAAATGGCCAATTAAAGAAAGAGTAGAAAATGGTATTTTAAAAACTACATTTTGACTGTTTATGCCTTTGTTATAAATCACAAGACTAGTTTAAATAATGATGAACCTCATTTTAAGATAATTATAAATGCATTAAATACCACTGAACTTGTGACAGAAATACTATATTTGAACTATGGTACAAAGCCATTTATGATGTTAAGCGTTCATTTGTGTAATAACATTCATGCTAAATATATGTAGCAACAGTGAAGGAACACACTCAAACTGAAATAACCATGCATGCACATTACTGTTCAAACGTTTGGGGTCAGTAAGATTATTGTATGTTTTTGAAAGATGTCTCTTGTTATGCTCAAGGCTGCATTTATTTGATTAAAAGTACAGTAAAAACAATAATTTTATTAAATATTATTGCAATTTAAAACGGAATTCTATTTTAATATATTTTTAAAATGTAATTTACTTCTTTGCTGGGCAAGCTGAATTTTCAACAGTCATTACTCCAGTCTTCAGTGTCTCATGATCCTTCAGAAATCATTCTAATATTTGGTGCTCAAGAAACTTGAGGACCAAAGAGCACAAACATTTTCATTATCAATGTTTAAAACAGCACTTCTTAATATAATACATTTGTTCGGGATTCTTTGATGAATAAAAAGTTTTTAAAAAATGTGACAAATATCTTTAATGTATGTCACTTTTGACCAATGTAATGCATCCTTGCTGAACTAACATATTAATTTAGTCTTTTGAACAGTAGTGTACATTAATAGCAAAATATGCTACTTTTTTTGCAGTGGGCAGATAGCACATTGTTGGCTTTCCATGAACACTGGATATGCTGGTAATACACAATCATTCTTCACCTGTTTTAAATATTTATACACAGAGCTTTTAGATATCAATATTCAAAACACGGACCAAATGACATGCAACTCTTACCTTAGGCTGAAATGCTCCATGCAATGAACTGAAAGGTCCTGTGGGCGGAAGAACGGGCTGTATTCCAGGCACAGATGGTGGGTACTGAGGAAAAAACTTTGCAGGAGAGGAAAGAAATTAATAATAATCACAAACTAGAAAAACTAGTGTTTATAGTGGCCTTAAACCCTGCTATATTCACTGAAAGTTTGAAAATTGCCCCAGATACAACACTTACTGGGTGTCGAAAGAGACTGTCTATTTTGCCTGGATACTTCTCAAACTGAAAGACAACAACCACAAGAGAAATGTCAAAGCATGATTTGTCATAATCAGCCACTTTCTGAAATGAGCCATCCATGGGCTATAGTTGACTCCTCACCAATGGTGGTGGTGCAGCTGTGGGATGTAAGAAGTGTTGGTGAGTATGAGTGTGCTGGTGCTGGTGATTGTGCTGATGGAACTGGTAGGCCATTGGTGGGATAGACGTCTGGGCCTGCGAAGATCTGCTACCCGTCCCAGAGCTCGAACTTGAAACAGACGGTCCTCCAGCTACAGAGGCAACATTTGATTGTGTTAAATCCTGATCTGTTAATTAAATAGAAAAGAAAGAACTTCATCTTTCTTAACAAGAACATACACGCTTCGTTTCTATGAAGATTTTACCGACACACGTGAAATAACAGCTGTTAGCATTTCATAACTTTCTGTAGTGTATCGGTCAGTAAACTTTACCTGATGAAGGGTGGGGTGACACCTGCATTAGTGGAGGAGGTGGGGGAAGGCTGGGGGACGGTGTGAAGACGGCACCAGGACTTGGTCGAGAGGAGGGTCTTACTGTCCCCACACCCCCTGGGCCTCGAACAAGGGACACACTTGTAGCAGGAGTAGGGGGTCTGATTGATGAAGAAGAGGCTGATGAAGATGGAGGCTTGCCTGAGGTACTGCTCCTGATGGAAAACCAATGTCACATCACATATTTAGGGAATACAATCTGTCTATTATATTAATAGACACTCTTTTGAAAAATAACTTAAGTCAGATTGCAGCTAAATAAGAGCTGCGCAATATGATAGGGACCATCTGATGCATCATGTAAATAATAAAATATTCGGTGATAGATTGATGTCTGAAACATCAATATGTCTCAGTATCAATCATTCTGCATCAGTATCAATTATTTATTATATATACACTACCGTTTGGGGCCGGTTAGATTTTCTGATGTTTTTGAAAGAAGTCTCTTATGCTCACCACGGCTGCATTTATTTGATCAAAAATAGAATAAAACAGTAATTTGTGAAATATTATTACAATTTAAAATGCCGGTGTTTTATTTTAATATATTTTAAAACGGAATTTATTCCTGTGATGGCAAAGCTGAATTTTCAGCAGTCATTACTCCAGTCTTCAGTGTCACATGATCCTTCAGGAAATATGTTGATTTGCTGCTCAAGAAACATTTCTATTATCAATGCTGAAAACAGTTGTGCTGCTTAATATTTTATTTTTCCTGAAGGATCATGTGACACTGAGGTACTGAAAATATTTAAAAAGTACTTATCCATGCCAAACGCATTAAGTACAAATTATTTAAAAGATGTAGGCCTACACTACCTTCCAAATGTTTGGGGATGGTAAAGAAAATGTATGTTTTTCAAAGAAATCTCTTATGCTCACCAAGGCTGCATTGATCAAAATATTTGATAAAATATTATTACAATTTAAAATGACTGTTTTCTATTTTAATATGTTATTTACTCCTCTGATGCCAAAGCTGAATTTTTATAATTCTTTGTACGGTAGTGTAACTTGAAAAACTAAGTGCAGTATCAACCTAGTATCTTGTTAACATTACTTTGTTTCCAGGTAGACTGGAAAAAAACACCCGTGTACCCTTTACGGAAGCTGTGTCGAGCCAGGCAAACACATTGAAATATTTTATGTACAATATGGATTAGAAGATATGTGAACAGACTGTAGGTTTGCCGAGATTATTCTATTAGCTTCAACAGCATGATTTGTTTTTAGAAGGCTGAGAGCATTATTTAAGTTAAAATACACAGAAATGCTGTTTCACTACACTGACCTGTTGTTGCTGCCCATTGAATAGATCGATTGTGACTTTCCATGGAAAGGGAGGAAAGGCTTGTGTTTGTGCTGTGATGGGCTAGGATCATGGCGGTGATGGGGACCACCATTTCCATTACGCTGATCAGGAAGTGAGTTGGAGACAGAAGCAGTGGAATGGGCTGCAAGGCTAGGCAGAGAGGATGAAGTAGAGATGGGCTCAGGGTAAGGCTGCTCCATACTCATCTCCTGACTCCTCTCCAGGCCAGAGACCCGGGGTGTGACTGACAGAAGGGGTATTGAGCTATTTGAGGGCAAGAGAGGGCAACCGTTGCCCACAGCAGCGCTTGCAGAGTTGGAGTTAACTGCTTTAGAAAAAGAGAGAGATACAATGTAATCCATGTAATACTGTTTTCCATGCATGACAACAAAATAATCCAACAATTTTATGCAAGAATGCACAAAAGCATTGTTCTTCATGAAAAAATATCTGTGTGGCATTTAAATTGCATATGCATTTTAATTCATGATGAACACCATTGCCTAATTCAAATCCTTAAAACATACAGTAGGGGTGGGAATCTCTAGGCACCTCACGATTCAATGCAATAAGATGATTAATGCTAAAATACTGGCGGACGAGACCGCACATTGTAAGTGTAACATCAAGCAAAGTGCATATCCTGTGCAATGAAGCCCGCGATTGCACTTGTAATTCGCTTCAACCTTTTCAAACTTTATAGAGGATTATTTTATGGAAGGTTAGAGGGTTTTTGTGTGTGTGTGTGTGTGTGTGTGTGTGTGTGTGTGTGTGTGTGTGTGTGTGTGTGTGTGTGAGCTGTTTCTAGAGCACACACAGTGCCATCATCACGCATGTGCGGTTAAAACGAAACTCAGAATCAATTCAAATCGTCAGAGAGAATCGATTTTTTTTCTCCCACTTCTAGTATATAAACCTGCCACTGGCAGCAGATATTTACCTTCTCTTGTGCAGACGATGAATGCTGGCTCCAGATTGTCAGAAGCCTAAATAATAGCAAGAGAAATGTCACTAATAAAAAACACATCACAATACATGCATAAATGCAAAATCAGGTAAACAAAGAAAGGTTTTTACCTTATCTCCCGATTCACTCTCTGTATCGCACTGTGGGTTAAAAAGAAAAGTGATAGCAGTACAATGACAATTTTCCATTTATAATATAATTTATGACATGCAAACAAACCAAAACATACACTACAGTTCAAAAGTTTGCTTTTAGTTGGCTAAGAAATCAAATACACAGCTGAACAATAACCACTAATTTGTATTCTATACTATTTTTTTCCTATATTTTCCTTTTGACAATTATTTGATTTATGTACTACAAACACTTGTGCAGTAAGTCATCATGGATTTAATAAAATACAAATATATTTTATAGTTTCTATACAGTAGTAAAGGCTTTGTCAATCAGCACTGCATTATTCATATTCTTTACTTTATTAAAAAAATACTCCGAGATGGCTTGAAAAACACACATAAACCATGTATAGTCGCAATCGTTTATTGTCTTAATGTTTCATCAGTCTAAATGTTTCTGCTTTTTATTCAGCTACAGCAAAATTTTAAGAAAAATAAAATTTAATTAGAGAAGTCACGGACAATTAGGCAACAGGAATGATTCAGTTTACGGCAATTCTCATTCATTTCTATGGTATCCGCAAACAATGCATTGACTGTCGCACAGCTATGACGTCAAGGCTGTAATGTGATTGGTTATCAACAGTGTTGAGCATGTTACTTAAAAAAAGTAATTAGTTATAGTTACTAGTTACTTCTCCCAAATAGTAACTGAGTTAGTAACTGAGTTACATCATTATAAAAGTAACTAATTACCAGAGAAAGTAACTATTGTGTTACTTTAAAAAAAAAAAAAAAAAAATAGGCCTATCAAATAATTTGGATGCCCCCAGTATTACATATGTTAAATTAATGAAATGGACACTTAATAGTGTAGATTAGTGTTCAATGTTTTATAATAATAATTTATTCTATTGCTGTGGGACAATGTGAGAGACGCCTATTAAATTCAATATATTATTCTAAATATTAGCATTACTATAGTAGAACAATAAAACATTATAGATGGTTTATACTTAATATCGCAGAATCGCACAGACCCGAACTGGCCAACAAATAAGTTTAAAAATAAATTATGCTTCTTAAGAAATGTACCAAAAATGAATAAATAATAATAAAAAATATACATACTCTTTGTGCATATTAAAATGATAAAACTGTTACACAACTTCACAACTAGACATACTGTAGCCTAAGTATTTTCTTCCTAACAAAAGTAAACAGTTTAACAAGTGCTCTCTCAATATAATACTGAACAATTTACCAAAAAAAATTATAATACTAAAATATAATATTTTGGGGGTTTATTTTTATAACCTATAGCGAACGTCATCATCAGAGATTATTTAAGCCAAATTATAGACATTTTGCCGCACGTGTTTACAACCGGTCAAACAAAGATGTTTTCTGTGAATGTTCCCTGCAGGTTATTTTCGGGTTTATTTTATGACCTAAACAGAACGTTCCCTGAAGGTAATTTTTTAGATTTTATTTGTATAACCATGTAAATTAATTAACGTTGCAGATATGTGTCATTTTTTTATAAACAAACTATATAATGCTCGGACACCCTCGGTCTCTCTTGCGCAACTGTTGAGCGCGCTCTCGGACACATTCGGTCTCTCTCGCGCATTGAGCGCGCTCGCGCCGTTCGCTTCGCTTTTGTCCACTCCGGCACCTCATAAACACACACACACACACACACACACACCAGAGAAAAAAACTTTGCAGGTCATATGGCGGAGAGAGAGCCTACTCGGATGAAAACCGCTTCAGTGAGTTCAATTATAGTAACGCCACATTTTTTTTGTCAGTAACGGTAACTGCGTTGTAACGGGGGAAACAGTAATTCGTTTGATTACTCGTTACTGAAAAAGATAACGCCGTTAGTAACGCCGTTTATTTATAACGCCGTTATTGCCATCACTGGTTATCAAGGCACACGTGATCCAAGTTAGCCGTTAAGCTTTCTCCAATGGTAGAGCCACGGACCCTCGCATCTCCCAATAATAAGATCATCTCTGTTATTACTTCTACAAGTCTGTTTTGGAGTTTCTGCGAGAGAGCACTCTCCGGCTTATAGTATGAATAATAAATACTATAAGGGGACGAATTTACATGGTAGTGCATGTGCAAAATATATGTATTTTGAAATTCTGAAAACATTTCAGTCACATTTATGGGCAGCAAGAAAAAGACAACACACGGGGAAAAAACAACTTACAATGTATCCTGTCTCCATGTGATTCCCAGATATCTGAAACCGACATTTGGAAAAGTCAAACCATGGTGAAAAGAATACAGTGTAGCAAATAAATATATTTATTTTTATCTTGCATTAAAAGGGTCGGCTGCCAGTAGTTAGTTACAGGCTGATACATAGGTCAGACTAACTAATCAGCCGATATTTGGCCAATATGAGATTACTGCAATGGCTGATAACCATGTACACTTTGATTAACAGAAGTGGCAGTTCCCCCTGGCATCATTTCTGAAATCGACACATTGCCAATTTTTGCTGCCTTTGAATTGCATAACTCCATACATGTACACACATGGGCCAGTGGTTACCCTACTCTCCAGATATCTATACAGAGTCTGTACAGCAGTCTTCTAACTGCTAGGACAGCGAGAAGCATATGCACATGTGATGCAAATTTTGTTTAGACCAGTCACTCACCATTACGCCTCAATATTAAAAACTTATTTTTAAATATACCCAACTGGTTTATCAGGTCAGAAGCGCATCTACACAGGACTATTCTAGAAATATTTGCTGCACCATAAATATTACAGTGATATTTTTAATGGGCGTTTTCAGATACTGGATTTTCTTTTTCTTTTTTTGTCAACTAAGGTGTGATGAAACTGCAGTACTAACCTTAGCATCTCTATTTCTCTTCAGTTTTGATTTGATCTTCCTGCGCTGCTCCCAACTGTTGGTGTATGTAGCAGGAGGTCCTTCCTCCGGCTCTGACAGAGGCCCTCCGTTTTCATCTAGACCTCGCTTTCTTTTGCTTCCTCTACCCATTAACAAGCCAGATCGCTCTGGAGGCTTTAGGGAACAGTCCATCTATCAAAGTAACACAGTAAAACATGTTAGAGCAGCAAATTTTCAAGCTCTGTACTTAGACTGCAGTAATTCAACTCACTGTGCTTTTATTTGTTTGTTTAACACAATTTACACTATCGGGTATTATTATCTTAAATATATAATTACAGGCATATTTTGTCCAAAACTTAATATGCAAAATTTCACAACTTCTAATCTCCATACAGTAATGCAACATTTAATACAGAGTAGTGAAAGATGGATAAGCACACAAACCTCCAAGGCCTCCAGGCTTATGAAGCTGGCTATGGCGAATCCATCGATGATGTCCTCCTCGCAAGACACCGATTCTCGCTTCCTCCGACGCGGAGGCCGGTGTCTGGCCCCAGGGAAGCCGGGTCTGCATTCTCCTCCATTGGCACGAAGCAGGGAGTCTCCTCTGCAGAGTTCTTGGTCCGAGGCCGAGGAGGGCGACGAGGCCCTGTGCTCCGCGAGATCCGCTCTCCTCCGCCGCCGCTCTCGGTCACGCTGCGAGCGGGAGCGGCGGCTCTGCCTGAAGCCTCCGCTTCGACTGGGACCATCCATGTCAATGTCCGTACAAAGGCACTTGTTAAAAACACACCCTGTTCCGGCCTGGGAGACTTTACAACTATTACTGAATAAAAACCAACGCCTCCAGGACCAGTGCTCTTGATTTCAGAGCTCTTAATTGTGGTTTAAGGTTTCTGTCTTATAATTTAATGGAGTCCAGTGGAAGCTGTATGGTGCGAGCACACTGCAGTCTGAGTTCAGTCATGTCTGGGCATCACCGGGCCTGTTTTATCCAATAACACAGCGATTATGAAAGCTTCTAGATAATCCACTTACTGTCTTTCTGTCAAGACATTGTCACTTTCATCTGGGGAAGGAAAAAAGGAGAAACTACCCATGAGTGGCGCAGTCGGGCTTTTAAAGATTCAATATGGCTGTTTAACTAAGAAAATATGCATTGGTTATGTTGGAAACAACTGGTTTTCTTCATATAGAATATTCACTAAAAGACTAAAAAAAATGTTTTTACTAAAATTGCAAACAATAACTATCATATTTTAATGACATATGAGAATATCTGCCTAAAATATGCTACTTTATAAGTTAGGGCTGAGTTTTCGTTAGTAAACTTTATTAAAAGGTAGATTATCTGTACAAACAAAGGCCAACCGTGGCGCAAAAAGATCCTTATAGACTAAAATATTTTAGCCAAAGTCTTTCTTTTCTCAATCTGAACCAGATAAATCGGTTAATGAAGCGACGAGTTAAATCGCTCGATGTTAGCTTGCTAACTTAGTTAGCTATCTAACCAGGTTAGGATCGCGGATTAAACACTCGCTTTTAAACGAGCAAATTCGTAACATTTTAGTTTATTGTACTATACATGACAGTATTAGAATTATGCAATTGTGATGTTGCCAATTATTCAACGATTATTATATATCCGGTGTAAACAACCAACCAGGCGAGCAAACACCAGCCAACGTTACGTGAACCACCTTACCACATATCAAATGTCATTTTAAAAGATCAATCACTCGTTTTACAATTGTCTAGCTCGTTAGATCTCTTCTAAAACATCTGTCGAGGGGGTCCAAAGCTATTTAATATGACTCTAATAAAACAAGCTAACCATGTAACGTTAGCCTGTGCTTCGTTGACACCCCACCTTGCACTTCACATTTAAGAAGGAAATTAAACTAATCACTCAGTTCAGTACATTAATGCATCCGATGAATGTAACACGAATCTTACCCACTTGTCTATTTGCGGATTTAAAAAACAAAACCCGTCAGCTGAAACAACATACTAGCCCTTCAGCTTTCTTTAACGAGCAGAGGAGAAAAGAGGACACTGCGATGGGCTTAAATCTCAACTGAACTATAAAACCTTTTCCCTTCTTTTTGCTCGAAACTAACCCACTCCGCCTTGCTTTACTATCGATACTCAAAGGCACAGACACGAACAAAACAACGACAATATTCCCAATCACACCCACCACTCGCGCTGTACAGAGGGCCATTTTCCTCTGGCTTCTGCTTTCGTCCGAGCCTCCATTTAAAACGATAATAATATACAACAGGCCCCGAGGCCTCGGTCTGGAGTTGCTCCGTCAGGGATGTTGAGCGCAGCCCCGTCAGCGCAGGCTGGGCTCCTCCTTCCGCGGCCCGCTCTGTGATCCACTGTGTGCGGTCAAGCTGGAGATTTCGCCGGTGTCCGCAGCAGGAGCTGTTTTCTTTCTCAAGTGTATCGTGAAAATGGACGTATGAAAGCTTGCTTTTCGTTGCGATCGTCAAAATGGAATAAATAGATTTCTTCAGTTTATTTGGGAAGCTAAAGCATATGAAGCCTGGGTGGATAACCCGTAGCAGTCAAACTGCATTGTGTGCTTCTGTCGGGTTTTCTTCCTCTGTTGGTTCACTGAAGACAGGCTACACTGAATGCGACGACAGTACTGCCATCTGCTGTCATTGAAGGGCACGAACGATAGTAAGTGCCTTGTATTTAGTATTTACAAATATAGCTTATGGTTTTTTTTACCGTCTATGGTTCAGAGAAGGTCCTGGCAGTAATACACATTTGTTCTCATCATCCAAACCAAGTGTTTTAAGTTTTGATATTTAGATATTTATTTAATTTAAACTGTATTACCATTTGCCATCATATCTGATATATGTATAAATAACCTAAACGTGCCTATTTTATGTTTTTCCTGGATATTTACTTTAAAATTTGTTTGGAGATTTTCTTTAATCCAATTATCCATGATGTTTTTTATTACTGTATATGAATTTGTTTGTGTTTTATAAGTAACATATGCATACTAGAACAGTGCAGAATATATTAAATTTGCATTGTAGAATACCAAAATAAAGAGATGGTATGTGCAGTGTAAGAGGTTAAAGCATATCAAAGTGCATATACCTTACAAATGTTTTATTATTTTTACATTTTAAAAATTGATTATTTGATTTTACATAAAAAACTAAGGAAACTCGTTGCCTTAAAAATATTACCGGTAAGTAACACTTATTTACTTTAATAAAAATAATTGTCTTAAAAATATTAAATAAATACACTTCATGTGTAATTGAAAAAATGTAACTTATTTTTTTAATTACACATGAAGTTTATTTACTTAATAATTTTAAGGCAATGTGTTTCAACTGATTACTTTTTACAGTGTATTAAATACGAATTATTAATATGAAATGTATCTAACAAATGAAAGATTTTACCAATATTTTCAGGAAATGTATCTTTGATTTCATACGATAAAATAATATATTTCCGTGTAAGAAGAACATAACCAGTATAATCTTGAATTTGATTAATACAATAACAATACAATTTTATAATAAGAAATAAACTTTTTTTATTATGAATGCTTGAACAGAAATTGCATAACAAAAATATGTACATATAAAATATCTCAAATAAATACAATCTATTTAAATAGCCTAAAACTACCAAAAATAAAAATAAATATAGTAAATAATAAATAAAATAATCAAACCATTGTTATTTCACAAAATCTTAAATGTATTAAATAAAGAGACAGTTTTGACAGCATTTATGTTTGTGCTCGCCATAGTATATAATTTTCTAATTGTTTCAGGACCACATAAAAAAGAGGTTTCTGATTGCTGAATATAGCCTACACAGCTGAATATGAAACTTAACAAGTATAATCACAAGATTAATAACGTATAATTACAAAAAAACGAATATAACGGTCATATAGCAAGAGAATTTTGCAGAACAATTTGTAATTTATAAGTTTAGTCAGTCATAAATGTAGGCTACCTGTTGTTTGTTGAAAGTATTGTATGACGCATTTCCTGTGACGTAGATCTTTACAAAGGAAGTATTGACAATCATATGCGGAAGAAGCAAGAAGCTAGACTGGGGAAAACATTCGGGTGGATCGACGAACTGTAACTTTGAATAAGGAATAAAAGAAACAGACGACGGCGTGATATTTGGCCTGCTCAACTACTTTTGTCTCTGGTGGACGGTTTCCACATAAAGAAAGGGCAAGGTAACGTAAAAAAGAGAGAGATGAAGGCCTCCAGCTTTTCTTTCTTTTGTTGAGCTAATTTTAGCAACTAAGCTCATTATTATTTATGTTATTTAGGAAAAGTCTGGGTGATTTGATTTTATAAAAGGATAATCATTTGAATATGTTATTTTTTTAAGTTTGAGTCTGGGTTATCGGTGTCCTTTCGAGTCAGTCACAGAGTGTAATGCTATATGGCGATGTTCATTGTCATTAACAGTATCATGTATAAGCTAAAAATAGTATGGAGTGTTCTTTTTTCTCTCTCTGTCTTAAATTGAGAAGAGAACAAAATTGTAAAATATTTTAATTTGAGACTAGCTATAGAAACCACTTGTTCACCTTATGATATTCCTGAAAAGAATGATATCATTGCATCACGTGCCCGAGGCGAGAGTCACTGTCGTTAAGTCTCAAATGGAAATATGAATTCCTATCTGTGACATAATCATCTTAATGTATTATTGTCTGGATAATTTATCAGATTGTGGAAACCCTTAAAGGGATAGTTCAACCAAAAGTGTAAATTATTTCATTACTCACCCTCATGTCGTTCCGACTTTCGTTCATCTTCTGAACACAATTGAAGATCTTTTTGATAAAATCTGAGAGCTTTCTGGTTCTCCATTGACAGCAACGCAACTACCAATTTGACGCGTCACAAAGTCCATAAAGAGATCATAAAACTATTCCATATGAATCGAGCGGTTTTACTCAACATTTTCTGAAGAAACTCAATCGCTTTCTTTGATGAACAGATTGAATTTAGGCTTCTATTCACATATAAACATTCATCAACTCACACATTAGTTGTGGTAAACAAGCTCAAGCATGTTCGCCTGATGTGCGATTTTTCCTTCAAATGCCTAACAATCTGGTCTTTTTTTTTTCTCTCTTTTTTGTATTTGGTCATGTCAGATGGAGTTCCTGTTTGGAAAAAGAAAGACTCCGGAGGAGATGCTCAGACAGAATCAGAGAGCGCTAAACAGAGCCATGCGAGATCTAGACAGAGAACGCCAGAGGCTGGAGCAACAGGAGAAGAAAATAATTGCTGACATTAAGAAAATGGCCAAACAAGGACAGATGGTTAGGAGAGGTTTAATTTGATATGTCTCTGTTACTGACATGTCCATGAAGTCTCGCTTGAGTGCAAGTAATATTCTTTTACCGACAGGATGCTGTGAAGATCATGGCTAAGGACTTGGTCCGCACAAGACGATACGTTAAGAAATTCATAATGATGAGAGCCAATATTCAAGCAGTCAGCCTTAAAATCCAAACCCTCAAATCAAATAACAGCATGGCGCAGGCCATGAAGGGAGTCACTAAAGCTATGGCCACCATGAACAGACAGGTATATCTGCAATAGCATTCTCAGTTTGTATTTGTCTTGTCAACAGACAGCTTGTTGATGTGCATTTATTTGATGTGAATTCTTTTTCTCTCAATGCAGTTGAAGTTGCCACAGATTCAGAAGATCATGATGGAGTTTGAGCGCCAAAGTGAAATCATGGACATGAAGGAGGAGATGATGAATGATGCAATTGATGATGCAATGGGAGATGAAGACGATGAAGAGGAGAGGTGAGAATTCCACCAAATCAGCAAATTAGGATGAATTCTGAAGGATCATGTGACAAAAAAAAAAAAAAAAAAAACCGAGTAATGGTGCTGAAAATTCAGCTTTGTCATCATAGGAATAAATATGTATAATATATTTGCATAGAAAACAGCTATTTTACACTGATCAAATAAATGCAGCATTGGTGAGCAAAGGAGACTTTTCTTTCAAAAACAGAACAAAAATCAGTAGTGTAGCTCCAGAACAGAGATGTCTCTATACCAGACTTCGCGCTCTCCTGACATGCACTCTTTTTGCTTCAAATGCAGTGATGCTGTGGTTTCTCAAGTTCTGGATGAGCTGGGTCTGAATCTGTCTGACGAACTTTCAAGTAAGCCAAAAAGACACCAGAGTTTCTGTCGTTCTCATATTAACCCAAAGTCGTTCTCATATTAACTTTATTTCTTTCAAACAGGCCTGCCTTCTACTGGAGGGAGCCTTTCGGTTGCAGCTGGGAAGAAAGCTGAACCGCAGCCTACACTGGCCGATGCTGATGCTGACTTAGAGGAGAGGCTGAACAACCTCAGGAGAGACTGAGAAAGACTTTCAGTGAAGGTTTTGATTCAGTTTGCGCAAAGCTCGCTTCACTAAAATGTAGACTGATGCAAAGAGAGAGGATGTGAATGCTCTTTTATTCTGACATTTGACGCTTTAATGCGTCCCTTTTGTTTTTCTGTCCTCTTTTTATGACATGTGCTATATAAATGTTACCAAACACGTAACCCAAATGAAGATGCAATGCATCAGACTGCTCCTTCTGTTTAGACAAAACCATTTAACGGTGATAAAATCAACAAAGAATCTGCTTACCCTGCAATTCCAACTTGATCTTTTGAGGAAGCTTTAACACTATTTCATTGCTATAAAGTTTGGTTTATCACACATCATCTCTTAATTCTAATAAACAGATGGTGATACTAATCTTTTATATATATGCAAAAAAAATATATATATATGTGCAAAATGGAATCACTCCAAGGGTATATCAGAGAAATCTCTTTGAAATACCTGTGCTATTATACTATCATTATCTTCTAATAATATTTTTATTGTGATCTTTTAGTGGTAAATACTTTCATATAATAAATGTGGTGGTACAGTATATTTGTTTCTCAAAGTGATTGATCTCTAGTCCCAGGCCTGTTCAGTGAACTATAAACCTTCATGAACTAAAGTTTGTGCAAGGCAACGTCTCACAATAACTTTTCATTCAATTTAAAAAAATCTTGGAGGCAGTTTTCCAAAGCTTGTTTTGTCACAGAATAATCTAAAGAAATATTAGAAATGTTATCAATGTATTTATCTCATGGTGAATCAAAAGAGGTGGTATATTTTGAAAAAAAAAAAATCTTATTTTGCATTTTTTTTTGGTCAATAAACATTTTTCACACTTGAGTTTTGTGACATTTGGTGTTACTTGCATAACAATGGCCTCACATCAGATATAATGTTGCACGCATGGGTAATTCTCACAAAGACATCTCTAGGTTCTGTGGATTTCAAAAAATTAACAGATGACTTAATTTTATGATGAAATTAAAAATTTATTGAATTTACCCCAAACTGAATTTTGCATATAACACAAGATTAAAGTGTTTTTATAATACATACACAAAACTGTTAAAATACTTAAATCATAAAGTCTTTGAATAAATGTGATCTATTTTCATTATCTTGCCATTGTGGCAAATCACATCTTTGTAATGGTAAGCTGCCAAATCAAGTTATTTGGGAAGAAATACTACAGTAAAACCAAATATGGACACAAGACGTTAAAAACTGTGCATCAATTATGAAATCACAAGAGTGAGTTTTGTGTACTTTTTATTTTTTTGAAAAACAAAAATTCTTGTTTTGTAAATAATGCTATCAATATATCTATGCTGGACATACAACATTTCTGACATTAAATAAAAAAATAACAGCAACATTTTCCTTATTTACAGCCAATATGTGTCAGCAAGGCTATTTACATCGGTCCAGTTGTACACATTCACGAAAGAAAGAAAAAAAAAACCTTGATGTGTATGGTGTTCACAAAATCAACACATTTACACACACAAAAAAAACATTTTCAGGAAAATTATCAATTTTCAGTTAGAACAGATCTTTAGGAAATGCATTACAAAGGCCCTGAAATGAATCCCACGAGGCACAGAATTAATGCAAAATTCAAAAGACAAGCAACACTTTTGGACATGGATGAGGTTTAATGAAAATGGTGGTGTAAAATAAATGTATTTTCAATAAGAATGTTGATCAAAAAACAACCAGCAACAGACCAACTAATCGATCCAAAAATAACGTTAAGGGCATTGTCCTTAAACCTGCATGGGATGCTGAACAGCTTCAGAGAACCCTAAAATGCCGTACAAACAAACTCTTGCTACTCTTTTACAAAGGGTCATTCATCTAAACAATTTAGCATCCTCACTCTAATCCTGCCAATATTTTTTCTCTCTAAACGACTAAGCTATGCTTACAAAAATATGTACATTTTGAGGCAGAGGATTTATCAAGACATTCATGCACAATTACATTTTCAAAAACAAAACAAGCTCTTTAAAGTCATTCGGAACACAACTACATGCAAATGTGCAGCAATACTCCATAACCACAGTTTAGTGCACATTAAAACAGTATTTGCAGTGGAGCCTGCAATAATCAATATCACTAGCCTCAGTGAAAGTACACAGAACAGGACTACAAGTAAAGAATTAAATCAAGGCCACACACTGATTGTGAGGGAACTAAAATAGCAGTTAACCGGGCAGTTGTTGCTTTAGTATCACGGCACAATACAATGAAAACTCAGCTGTAATGCTGCCATTTCCTTCTCGCCCAAACAGTGCTTTGCCTCCTTTAACCCCTGTTTTGCCACTGGACATGAAGTAGCACTCCTCTGTGTGGCATTCAACTCGAACACGTGCCCAGAAACGGTGCGGCTTATTTCCGACAGGTCCTGTGGGGAGTTTGTTTCTTCTGATTTTCAATGCGACATCGACTTCTTTCATCAAGCCAGGGCAACTCAAAATTCCTAGCAGACAACAAAAGTGGACCGACATGTTCACTATGCCTTATGATTGTTATGACACGTAATCAGTAGTTAAAAGCAGTTACATGTTACACATGAGATATTTCCAACAGAAAAAAGGCTCTTACTGTGCAGGTAAATTGGGCAAAGGCCGACCAAACGCCACTACTGGCAGAAAGGGTGTGACCAAGATGGCCTCCACTGTACAAGGGAAAATCGGTGAAATTATAGTATATAATATGATAACAGCTGGTTTGTTCATAAATACAATACAAAATTAATATTTTATCAAATTAATCTTTCTTAGGCTCATACCATTCTCCAAATCAGGATGAAACGAGGACACTTCTGGCTCGCTCTCCTGAACATTAGTTTTTTTCTTCTCCATGCGCTGCTGCAGTCTTTGAAGCATACGCTGTTCACGTATTCTCTGAATGTCCCATCTAACGGAAAAAACAGCAAGAATATTAAGAGCATTAAAATGGTTAAGTGTTGTTTTAAGCAGTCTGTAACCATACATACACCTTTTTGACAGTTATTCATTTAAAGTATATTATTATATTTTGTTGTGAAGAAAACCTACCACAAAATGAATCAGTTAAGGGAACTCGTGTAACCATAAAGATTGATTTCTTTATATTATATATGCATATGTAGGCAGGTATTATTCCAGCATGTGTGGATAGGTTTAAGCTAGAATGCTCTTGTCCGAAATGTAAGCAAGAGGCTTAAATAACACAACATAACTCATAATTCTCTTTTTAATTGAACAATATGTGCTTGTTTAGTTTATACACCGTGTTGTAGACATACACTAGCATTCAAAAGTTTGGGGTCAGTCATTTCTTTCAGCAAGGATGCATCAAATTGATCAAAAGTACAGTAAAGACTTTTACATTGTTACAAAATACTTCCGATTTCAAATAAATGCTGTTCTTTTGAACTTTCTATTTAATAAAGAATACAAAAAAAAACAGCACATCGGTTTTCAACACTGATAATAAAAATAAATGTTTCTTGAGAACCAAATCAGCATTTTTGAACGATTTCTGAAGGATCATGTGACACTGAAGACTGAGGATTGGCTGAGAAAATTCAGCTCTGCCATCACAGAAACGAACATATTTTAAATAGAAAACAGTTAGTTTAAATCAACAATATTTCTCAATACTACTGTTTTTACTGTATTTTTGATCAAATAAACCAAGCCACGGTCAGCATAAGAGATTTCTTTCAAAGGCACTATAAAATCTTAGAGACCCTTAACACTTGAATGGTAGTGTACAAATTTATCATGCACATGAAAAAAATTAAAGGGGTTAAAAATGTGTTGATGCCACAAACACAGATTAGGAAAACACTCTTCTAGAAATAAATCTCACCGTTTTCGTCTCTTCTCATCCAGTTCTAACTTTGCGTGCCGTTTCAGAAAAACACTGTCATCAAGACTCTACAGAAACAAATGATGGATACATGACAATGGACCTCATACTTAAGATTCTTGTGACGTATGTATAATACATATATGATGCAAATGATGACTCTTACTTCGGGGATGTCAACAGCATCCTCCTCCTGGATGGGTTCCATGATGTTTTCCCTCCATGATGGGACTAAGGAAATATTTGTTGTATTAGAATTTGAAAATCAATGTTTATAACGGCCATTTTGCATTTGAACCAGGCACTTACTTGCAACATCCTCTTCTATCTTTGGACACTCTTCCTGTAACGGAGAGGCTGGAGGTTGCTGCCAACAGCACAGGTACATCTCGGTCGTTGTCATGTACGGAAGCTCTTCGGTTTCTCTGCTGTCGTCTCCCTCTGGATTCAGGTCCATCTGTCCGGATGATTTCACGTTCGTCTTCTCCGGGGTCTCTTTGCTTCGCAGGTCATGCTGACATGGCGATGTCCCTCCTGTATCTGGTTTTTGGGGGGTCATTCTTGAGGCCTTACCCCTTGACCTCTGCATCTTTGTTTCCAACATGTTCATCTTTCTAGACAGAGTATTTACAGGTTATATCAGCCAAGCAGAAGCCACAAGAAGAAAGAATAAGTGAAAAATAACAGGAAAGAGTGACTAACAGGTAGAGCTGCACGATTAATCGTTAAAAGATCGCAATTTCGATTCAAACACCCATTCGATCTCATTCCTAAATGACAACGTAACAGCTTCACAAACAGTCTTTTCAACCACACAGTATCATTATTTCTGTTACAAATATTCATATTATCGCAGAAGTACTGGGATAAAAGTTTATAGCTAATACTGATGTCTACGGAAACGATCAAACTAGAGAAAATCCTTTTGAAAGTAGCTTGACGCTTCAAATAAAGATTGTATCAATTACATCGTTATGGCAGTAGGTGACGACAAGTGACTTAAAAATGTATGTCATTGAATCATACATTCAAAAAATTCGTTCAAATACACTGATTCATCCAGTAATGAAACAAGTGAAGTATTTTTGAGCGAGTCATTGATTCATTCATTCAAACTGATTTTTTAAAATAATTCATTCAAATTAATTAAACATTTTAAATAGACTGCAGTCTGCCACAATTAACATTTTGTCAGAACCTATAGTAGATTACAGTTTATTTTGTTTATTTGTCTCATGTCTGTTCAGCAATGTGAACTCTATTTGAAACAAAAACAAAATCGTGATTCTCAATTTATCCAAAATCGTGCAGCTCTACTAACAGGGGAATTTCCCATTCTTACCTCTTTTGCACTTTGCCACCTGACTTAGATGTCTGAGTTTGAGGGTTGTCCCCCATATCTGATTCCCAAAAGTCATCCGTGTCAGGGACCCATCGCTCTAATGGCTGGAAGAGCTTCTTGTCACGTGGTTCCTTACTTAACAACTGCAAACGGCGCTCCATACGCTCAATACGGGCAAGCAACTATTTCAAGGCAGGACAAATACATTAGGAAACATATAAAAATCAGTATCCCACAAACCATGAATCTCACACTTCTATTTAAATGTTTCAGGTCTGTAAGATTTTGTTTTTTAAAGTCTCTTGTGGTCACCAAGGTTGCATTTATTTGATCAAAATTACAGTAAAACAGTAATACTGTGAAATATCATTACAAAAACAACGGTTTTCTATTTTAATATAGTAATTTATTCCTGTGATGGCAAAGCTGAAATTTTACTCCAGTCTTCAGTATCACATTACCACATGATTAGGTGCTCAAATAACATTATTATTAATGTTGAAATCAGTTATGCTTAATATTATTGTGGAAACTGTGAAACAGGTTTATCCAGGATTCTTTTATGAATAGAATAAACAGCCCAAAAGAACAATTTATTTGAAATAGAAATCTGTTGTAACATTATAAATGTATTTTGATCAATTTAATGCATCCTTGCTGAATAATAAAATATTGCAGACCCTAATGACAGTGTACATACCGTGTCTCTGTCTGATTTGAGTTCATCTATTTCCTTGTCCTTAGACTGCAGCTGTTGCTGTTGTTGCTCTATTAAGTCCAGCTGAAGCAGAAGCAGTTGTTTAAGGCAGGTGGCTTGTGCGTGAGGATGACCCGTGATCTTCCTCAAATTTGTCTTTTTACCCTCCGAGTGTTCATGTGACGCCCCCATGGTCTCTAACCCTTTGGCGTTTTTCTCACCCACAGGGTCTCTAGAATTACTATGTGAATTCATGGATACAAACTCTGGCTTGTTATCAATGGTGTTGGTCTGTCCAAGAGGAGTTTTACTTTTTACAGGGGTGCCTTCACCCCCCATTTGTTTAGCTTGAGATGACAGTTTTTCTGTGCCCACAGAGCCAGCCTCTGAAGCCACAGCCAACTCTCTGCCAAGCTTTAAAGGCAATGAAGTCCGTTCTGGTTTCCCACCCAAAGTCTTGTCCAAGAACAGATGTTGTCTGGTGCTGTCTGGAGTGTCACCAAGAGGATCACTGAGCTCTTTACGGACACTAACTGGGTGTCTTGTTTGAGATGGGCTGAAGTCACAGTTGTTTGAGTACAATCCCACTTTAGAAAAGCATTCAGGTCGCATATTCATGGCGAAGAGAAACCTCTACCCTTTGAACCATGGCTACTAGAGTTGATATCAACAATTCTGTGTCTGCAGACCTGTACCTGACAAAACATAAAATATTCAATTAGAATAAATTTTATAGCAAAGTGACGAATATGTAAATAGCATATTATTATTTAAAGATCCCAGTGTATGCAGTGGAAATGTGAAGAAGCATTTCATTCCTGTCTATATATGCCACATATACTTCTTTATAAAGTTACAATAAAATCAGTGGGTAAGCAAAGACTAAATAAAACACCAAAAACCGTCCACATAATATCTCGTATGGTATAAGTTGTTTAGAGGCTAAAAATCAGTTGCTTGGTCACAAACAACAGATCACTGCAGCTCAATACCGGTTGGACTTGGATAAAGGCAGACACACGTCTATTACACCAATACTAATGATACATGTGAATCTTCTTACTAAACGCTATGATGCATATTGTTCAAGAGATATGAACCATTTTAACTTGAGCTAATAATAATAAAGCGCGCCTCCATTTTGATCCTCACTGCTAGCTAGCCGCTGTTAGCAAACGAGGTTATGTCGTTTTCGCTGCACAGCAGTTCAGTCTGAATCCACTCTATACCGCATTTCTTACATAGTTACGGGTTCGCCCAGGGTAACTCCTCAACGATCAGAAGAAACGCGTCTTAAATAAGCTTTCTACTTTACTTTTATTGCTGTTTGTCCCCCATTTTCAGGCTTGAATCTGCACAATGTCCCAACATTACGAGTGCGTTTGACTCGGTGCGCATGCGTACTGTCAGGACATGTTTACATTCAGAGTGATTGGGTCTATCGAGCTATATTAAGAGTCAGTATGCATGTCATTTTTTAATCTGCACTAATATTGAGCGCCGTTATTTTAACCTATGGAAACTGGTAAAGATAGTTGTGGTAGGCCAGGGAACGCTAGTTGTCTGTCGGAGGGAAATTATGAATCGTACCGTGCACACTTGGGGAGAGGACCGTTCCAACGTCATTTCCTCCGACGTTTTCGCACTCGTTTCGTTTCATTTTTAAATGTATTTAGCCTACCCAGTATTAACCCTTTCATGCATGAATTATGATAATCACAGTGCAGGATCTTAGGGAATGAAAAACAAGATTTGAACTTTTTTCTTTTCTTTTTTTACACAATTTACAAATGGATTTTCAGATTTCCATTAAGTGGTATCCGTTTGTTTTTAACTGAATAAATACTTAAACATAATACAGCAATAGCACAGTAAGACTGTGTGTATTTAACAAAGCAATGTTATAAAATCATGTGTAAACTATAAAATATATAGGCTAGCCTACAAAAAATATCCTATACGCTTCAGCCTATTGAAAACGCAACTAAGTTGGTTCCCGTTCGATCCATAGATTGTAAAAAAAAAAGAGGTTCGAACAGCCGACAGAGAATAACTTCGTACAAGTTGAATGTCACGTGTCTTTGACAACATGACGTGAACCAAAGATCTCAATACCGGTGAAGGTGTTGAAAAAAGGTAGATAACGCTCATCCCTCCAGTCAGAGTAGGCTACCGTGATTTTCCCTAATGTCAGCTGATCATTCTGATTATGTTAAAATGGACAAATTTAGCTCTCCTATTTGAGAAAACCTATCTAGCCTATCTGTTGTTTCCAGACTGTGGAAAAACTCGATCAGGTGTTTTCAAATTTCATCTGAAATGAGCAGTGTTAGGGGTAAACACGTAGGCTATGCATGTGCATTAGGCTACGTGATTAGATTATTTTTTTATGTAAAGAGTAAATATAGGCTACTACACCAGCACGGATCAGAGCGAGCGTTTTCAATTCATTCCTAGTCGAGCTTCACAAAGGCTTGCACAGTTTGTGGTTTATGTGCATCGATGCCAGGCAGCATATGCATTCGCAAGAAAATGGATAATAGCTTTAATAGCTGCATGTCCACTCTAGTGACCTGTATGAGTGATTCGCCCAAATGTTCTTTTTGTCATCATTGTGTTTATTGCAGTGTTTTGGATTGACTTTTCGATTTTTGTTCAATTAAATGTATCCGTAAACTTTGTTATTAACCAAAAAATAGTTAATAATTAGTTTATTACTATATAGGCTATGTATTACACCACATAAGAATAATTTAGTTGCTGACAAGCACTTGAATTGTGTGTGTGTGTGTGTAGGCTATATACACATACACACAATTCAAGTTGCTTGTCAGCAACTAAATTATTATCATGTGGTGTAGGCCTAATATAAGATAATTCGCTATAGTTCATTTCAGCATTTCATGTATTTTAACCCTAGAGCTCTTTATAATGTTTTCCTTAGGCCTATTGTCTGTGTGCTTGTTTTGTTGCAATAAAAAAAAACTAAAAATACAATCGACATCTAGCAAAACTATTACAGACTTACTAAATAACTGTGCAACTCTTTTATAATGTGTTTATTTTCCTTGGATTGTGTGTGTTTCCTAATAAAACAAACAACTCAAAAGTAGCTGATTGGGATAGTCTGGTAGAATTAAAAATGAGAAAAGAAAATGCATTTCACACTTCAAATTCTCATATTTATCTTTGCTACATTAGTCATAAGGTGTGATGGATAAATGTAGACATTTGCATTTCACACATATGGAAAAGTATTTATCACCCAATAGCCTATCCTGTTTTTAATGGCTCAGTTCACCTGTTGATTTCAGCGGCATAATAGGCCTATTACATGCATTTACGTGTGTGTAACTGATATGACCAGCAGGGGGAGATGTAGTACAATTGATTATAATTTTCTAACACTGGCTTTCTCTCGTAGCTGTATGTCCATACCAGTAGGCTATGATATTTGTAGAAAAGAGAGATTTCAAAAAGTGTGCATAAGGGTACCCAAATGCAATTATGTTGTTATTTTACCATTACCAGTAAGGCCAAGGAATGTGTCTTAAATGATTGAACACAAATATGTTTAGTAAGAGTGACTGACGTTCACTTCCCTCAGCTGGAATAGCCTATTACATGCCCTCTCTCTCTCTCTCTGAGAAATTGAGGGAAGTGAACTAAAGCGTATCTCACTTGACAAGCTATTGATCTCTTAAAGACTTAAATGGATCACATCAATGTATGTATGAATGCGTTTTTCTATGTGTGTTCGCAGGCTGTTTATGTTCTTTTTCATAGAACAGAGAGAAAGACAAATTCAGAGGTAGAGAGAGAAACGGTACGTAATTAATGGAGCAGACACTCTACTTATTATCATGACTTATCAAACTCGACTTGTTGAGGTGCCAAATGTTGGCTAATCTTAAAGTTTAATGGTTTTGTAGTAGGCTACTCAACAATAAGAGTGTCTTAGTGTTCATAATCCAGTCAGATCCACTTTTATCACTGTGCTATGGCCGTATATGCCCTGCTAACAAAAATATGTATATGAACAACCAACGCATTGCTATGCCCAGTGTGACACCGACATAAAAACGTTATTTAATGTTGAGAGAATTCGTGAGTGAGGTGCAGAGGCGTTGTGTGAGCTGTGTGAACATGATTGTTACTGTGGTTCTAGACTAAATGAGGCATTTACTCATCTCACTTGCACAAAACCAGATTCAGTATTCCTCAAATTGAAGAAAAACAGTGAAATGCAAACTCAGTATCATGCAAACCCTGCAATAATTAAATTTTAAATAATACAAATTCCTTATGTATTTACTCCTTACTCACTTTATCCAGTGTCTTTGCTGTTGACCTTGTTGAACTTTCTTCTCCTGCGTCCTAGAATGGCAGCACAGCTGAAAGGTTTGTTGTAGCTGCGCACTTTACTGTACAGGCGTGAATTTGCTTTTCTTTCAGTCTGAGGCTTATTTGTTTCACTTTTGGTGTGAAAGGGCCTGTACATTTGCCAAAACTTAAATAAAAAAACAAGCAAGCAAGCCCATCCCAGGTGAGAAAAAGTAAGGCAAAAGTACTGTAATGCATTACTTTCCATAAAAAGTAACAAAGTAACACAATTAGTTACTTTTTTAGAAAGTAACGGATTACTTTTAAACCTGGATATGAAACTGGTTCCTCTTGTATAAATCTAAGACTCTTGAATCACTAACCTGTTGCTTAAATGAAATCGTTCGTCAGGATTTTGTCTTTAAAAGTACAGAAAAGCTATTTAGGAACACCAATCCTTGATGACTTTGCATTTGCTTGTCTCATGTGCATCGCAGCATCTTCAGATCGAAAGTGATCAGTATTGCAGATTAAAGCATCATGTCAATATAGACAGCTACAGGTCTTGTGGCATCTGTTATAGTCTCCTGTGTAATGTACAAATGGCTCTCCTCCAGTATGTGTCTGCTTGAGTATTGAATATGTGAGCATGTGCATGATTAATTATTAGATTATGCCGTATATAATTATAATATCAGTCAATATTTACCCCACCATATGCTGCAGATGCACAGGGGTGCCCTTCTCTCCTTATCACAATGGCTTTCACACCAGGAGGAGAGAGCGGGCTAACGTTTGGCAGGTATCTCTCTAATGCTCTTAGCCATCTGCCAATCGCCTGGGCTCTCCCCACAAGAACATAATGTTTCTGATTACTGGGTTAATTTCAACACAGTTTGGCACAGTGGATGCTCTGCAATCTCTTGCTGCACAGTTAGCATGTTTGGCTGGCAGCCATCATGCTGACAACCTCCAGCCCGGCGTTGAATAGGTTCGGGTTTAGCCGAAGGGGTTGATTCAGAACAGTGGATCCTGGAGGTTGCTGAATACTATGATCGTCCATATTTTTACAGTCGCTGATTTCTCCTCTGCCAGAATCAGAACATCACAGTTTGCTTTATATAACAGATGAAACAATGTATTCAGTCCTCTCTTTCTGCTCCTTTTCCATTCATGCATTTTACTGGTGGATATCTGCTTCTTTAATATCTATCTCCCTCTCCCACATAACTCATCTTGTTTGTCCATCTTTTGAATTGCCATCTGTATTGCCCTGCTTTTAGTCTCCATAAGCTCTATTTCTGTGTTCTATTTCCACAGCCGGCCTTAAGAGTGAATGACCTTGGTGGGTGCATGGGGTGTCAAGTGTAGAAGAGGATAACACATTGGCTCATGCTTTGTAGAAGAGGATAACACATTGGCTCATGCTTTTTGTGAATATCATATCAAAAGCCAGTTAAGCTCAATTCATCCACACTTTCTGTTACATTTGTATAGTTACATCACTTCTGGAAGCATTTTAAATAGTTTAAAGAACTACTGCTGAGAGAAAAAATACTCACCAAAGAATTGTGAACTAAATAAATCATAATAAGTTTTGGTTGTGTCATCTTGTGCAATGAAGTTTAATTTAGACAAATCTAAACTTTGTGCTTAGCTCTGGCAAATGTGAGTTTCGTAACAAATAATTTAGAACATACTTAATGACACTGACCCTGCCTAATACTAAATTGTATTTGTCACTATATGATCTAAAAAGAAATTACGATACTACAAACATAATAACTGTTGTTTCCGGTACCCCATAAAGCCCAAAATGTCTCTTCAGTTCATACATGAGGTGAAAATATCCTCTTATAAAGAACAGCCGATGTACAATCTGTTGTGATACTGAAACCAGAGGTGCACAATATTATTAGCTGATTAATATTTTAATGACTCTGTCCAAAGTCTGTATTTCTTTATGTCATGTCCTAACGTAAAACCTCGCTATTGCTAATAAAATCGATTTTTTTATTTTCAGTCATGTACAAACTGTTAGAAGAAGTGTTAAAAAATTGTGTTAGACAGGTGTGATATTTCAGATGAGACACTCCTTGTGGGGCAAGTCACTACTTTGGCATTTCTGAATCTGTTTCTCTTCTTTTGTGGTTTCTTCATTCCCTTTCTCTGGAAAGGCCTCAAGTACTTCCCGTTT